CCCCCCCCCCCCCCCCCCCAACACACACACACACTCCCTTCCATCAGCCCCTGTCGCCAACCAACAACCACCACCACCACCACTCACACCGGCTATTCAGCTGCAGTCAACTCTTGGTCCTGGGAAATCACAAACATCACGGATCCACCAGGGGAGTCGCAAAACATAGTCTGTTACCGCGTACTGTGTTAGCTGCCAGTGCTTCATCATCAAGTTCACATGATCTCCAAACGCAATGCAGCCACTATCGGGCCTCTCGAAAAATGACAAGCCATCCAAAATTCCGTCCCAAGTCTTGTGTTGGTGATTGGGACTATCCACGTAAGGCGACCCGGCTTATACTCTCGCTGTCCCTCATTACCTACCTACCCAGCATCTCTCAATATCCACAAAAAGAAAAGAAAAGGTCAAGAACCAGCACTCGGCTATTCACTATAACCTCCCTTCACCAAAATCACCAAGTCAACTTTGGAGTCATGATCCCCTGGATAATCCTCGAATTCTGTCCGCACATTCTCTCCATCTACCTACCCCCCTCCCCCCAGAAATTCCCCATCTGCCTCGAACAATACCACTCCGAATGACTCCATCTACACTTTCCATACTTGCCAGCCATGATCAGTACTATACCGCACATACACCATTAGCAACCAAATGTCCTTGTTAAACCTCCCTTTTCTCTCCATCATCCTCTTCTCCATCTCACTCATAACAGGTAAAGGGTATCAAGGGGGTATTCTCACATCCAACAGTATAAACCGCCACCCCAAACATGATTCCCAGAATGATATACCCGCTCAACAACATCAGTGGCAAGCAGATAACATTCCTTAACAGCTTCCGCCACCAGCTTTCTTGGTTTCTAGTGCTTGTGAGTGCTAGGCGGTAGTGGTTGTCCATGTCTTTGTCTCTCTTGGCTTGGTTGTAGAGGGGAAGGGGTTTGACGTGTGGCCAGGGGTCGTGGTAAGGAGTGTACTTGGTGGTGGTGGTCTTGGCTGTGTTGGCTGTGTTGGGTCGGTACATGTGGTTTGTAGTGATGAGGTATTCTTACTTATTGGTGAGGAGGAACAGGTTGCTGCTCTTGACTTCAAAAGGTGTTGGAGGCTGGTATTGGGCTTGTTATATATCCATTCGACGCATGGATGTTTTTGAGATAGCTTTCAGACTTTGTGGAAATACCTACTCCATCACCAACGTCAACAAAGGCTCTAGAGTTTTTTATGATCATCGCTTTTCCTTTCAGTAATGCAAACGGGGAGTGAATGCGCTGTCGTCACTTGCATGTAACTATCAGTCAAGGGATCCTATTGTATCACGGAAAAGAGCCGTGTTTCTTGCTGTATCATTTCTTTGTGACCGCTGTCTTAGTGACCGCAGCCTCAATGACTGCGGCCACTTTTGTCGTTCTATCACTCTATTATCTATCAGACCATCATCTTGTTGAATGGCGAAGCACAAGGCGACCAAGAGTAGGTATCTCATACCATCCGATAATACAATTGACAACATCAGACAACATTCTTCACGAGTGTTGCGAGGCAGTTAAATCTTCTTACGGACTCTTGAGCTGCAAAGTGTTCGAGGACGGTATGACGATAAACGTGATGTTCAAAGTCTTCTCAGATATCCTTCAAGTCCTCCTCGCCTCAACCGCAGAAAATCATAATACCCTTCCAGCTTGGCTGCTTCCACCTTTTGCCAATGTCTACGCCTTTTTTTATCGCGATGTTGTCAAGACAGTTATGTACATCACCTCTCCGTCCTCCACGGGTGGATATGAACTCAGTGTCCGTCCGTATACAACCCTTCGATCAGAATCCTGCTAGAATAATCGACAACACAATGATACGGTTATCGGACTTAATGCAAGCTGTGCCTGCGAATATACAATTTAGCACGAGAAACTATGCTACATCCGAGAATTTATTTTCTTCTTGCCTGGGAAACAGATTCAGACATATGTCCACAAGTGTTTAATAACCCTCCAAGTAGCTGGGCATGTCCTTGATTCCCTCTCCTCTTTGTAGTTATGGTATCCCCTTGGTTCTACCATTTAATGGCCAGGACAGTCCAAATCACAGGCACAACCTACTTCTCCAATCTGTCTACCCGTCCTCGAGCTTGGAAGCGGGTGGAAAACATTACGCTCACTTTTCATCTGGTCTTTCCCCCCCACCAGAACCTGAACTCGACGACCTTTTCTTCACCTTCGCCTCGCCGCCATGAGGAGCACACGGACTGGGCAGGTAACCGATCCACCACCTACAAACTTTCCACAACTCACCCGAAATGTCGCAAGCTCCTTCGACTAGCTTGATCATCACAACTACAAACGCAAATCCATCCACAATCTCGATCTCCTCAGCGACCGACTCGCGCGATGGACACCCCAGTCGCCCCGATGGGCGATGAATCACCCCCTCCATGTCCTCCCCAGCCCCAAGAAAGCATCCTCAACCGCAAAATCCTCCCCCGCGGCCTCCCTCACAGCTTCTCGTCCAACCTCAACCGCGACGTCACCACCCCCAAGAGATCAAAAGTAAACAACCGCTCCGTCCGATCCATCATCGCGTCGTTTGAGAGCGCGGCGAGTAATCAGCAGCCACCCCACTCACCACTTTTCGAGCCGATTACGCCGCAAAGCAGTATCATCAGAAGTGGCGCGTCGACGGGCGCGAGTCTGGCGAGTTTTCGGAGGGTGAAGGGTAGTCAGGGTCGGGACAGGGGGGTTAGTGAGTGTCACGATGCGAGGAGGAGTCAACCTGGTGAGGATGGGACAGAGGGGTATAGTGACGCACGAGCTGGCATGGAAGGTACCAGAAGCGTTTCGACACCTGTCATCCCAAGGATGAGCTCCATCATGCCCTTTGGTGTGGAAGAAGAGGATTCGTTGACGTTGGTGAATTACAAGTCGTATTTCAACCAGCCATTGGCGAGGTGTCTCGATGAGTTTGTCGGTTTTGAGGATGAAGGCAAGGATTCCCCCAAAGAGAAGAAAAGCAAGAAGGAACACGACGAGTACAAGCTGAACGACAAGATCGACGACGTCGACAAACAAAACATACCCCTCCGTATCACGAAACGACAGGACAGAGTCAAGACGGCGGCGGCCCAAACCGAGATCCAGCCTACCACAAGTGCCCCGCGACCCGTACGACAGCAAACGAAGAGACCGAGTCTCACGCACAGAAAGTCCTCGGCCTCGGTCATTGCTTTGGAAAAGCTCATGCACGAGCTCGAAAACTTCTCGATCAGCCCGCCGTTGGAGGAAGAAGAGAGCGAAATCATCGCCATGCCCGAAGACAAGCCAATCATTCGCCGCGACCCAAAGGAAGTCCAGGACTATTGGTGGGGAGTCCGTCGGAGCCTTTGGGTTGACGAAGACGAGGTTTACAGCCCAGAGGCCTACCCTGAGTCCAATATCACAACATCAAGTGATATCCCCAAGATCCAACTACCTCTGCCGGGGACAACCGCTGTCTCGGCAAGGGCATCATGCGCCTTCGATAAGCAGATTCCGCTACCAGCACCTCCTATCCCTTTCCGCTCTCCGAGCAGAGTATCTAGAGACGTTTCCGGAGGGAATTTGCCATTCGGCACCCCGACTCGCTTGCCGAACAGGTCGATATCCTCCAAGTCCACATCTCCCCTGAAATACTCAGTACTGGCAGCGGGCCACCCTCCGCCCTCACCGTCCGCTTCTGTCAGGCCCGAGCCTCCAACGCCCCAATCCCCACCGACTCTGTATCGGCAGAGTCCAAGCCCGCCCTCCAGGGGCTCCAATCAGCCAGTCTCTCCCCCTTTGTCGACAGCGGGTAAGGATAACTACTCGAATGGGAATACCCCAAAAGCTTCTTCAGCCAAGGAAGCAGACCTTCCCTTCTTGAATCATGAACACAGCCAATCTCGTGACCCAAGCTCGTCATCACTCGATGTGAATGCGAGCACATCGCAAGTCGACTGGGACTCGGCCTCGGAATACGGAGACGAAGAAGTGCGTAAACAGAAAGCCGAGGAGAATCAGTGTCGTCAGACCCAACCAAATGGTCCTTCGTTAGACGAGATTGACGGATTGTACAGCGGAATTCCGACCGATTCTGCGATTCCTTCCCCAGCTACAGCTATCGACGTTGGAGGCAGCCAGGAGAATACACCTAAAGCCGAGTCCGCTTTCGAGCAGATCAAGAAGCGGATCGAAATCAGAAAAGAGAAGACACGGTCTAGTCACAGTCGTCACTCTTCTCTGATGCTGTTAAGCGCCAGCTCACCAGGCGAGATTTCCGAATACCAACAACCCAATCAAGTTCTGCAACAAAACCAACCCCAGGAAGAGCAGGAACCCTCTAACCGTCACTCCGACTCACACAATATTGGCAACCGCCGTCACAGCAGTCGCCGCCTCCACCTCTCAGCCATGAACCTTCCCGGCCTCCGCCACCTCCGCAGCCGCCACAGTAGATCTTCCCTCTCCAGTCCCGACTCTGTCGACGGCCTCAAAACGCCCACCACCGCCAATAGCGCCACCAGCTTCAGTAGTACCCGCGCGAATATTAGCAGTCCCGTTCCCATCCTCAGTGCCGGCATCAGCAACCCCATCAGCATCCCTTACTCAGCCACCCGGTCGGCTTGCTCTTCTTTCGTCTCTCAATCGGAATCTGGAACGGGAAGTTCTTGTCAGAATCAGGGCGAGGGCCAAAAAACGCCAACGGACAAGGGAGAAACATATAAAACGGGAAAAGAAACGACGGTGGGAAAGACGGAAACCAGTGCGACCGTGGTGGTTTACCCTTCGCGATCCGTAACGAAGGTGCCAAAGTTGGAGGATGCTCCAAAGGGTGGTGGAGGGTTTAGAGGACATTTTCGATGGAGGAACAAGAGTCGGGGAGAGGACAAAGACAAAGATAAGGAGATGGAGAATTCTTCGATGGCGAACGGCAATGTGGATGAGTTCTTGAACTCACACAAAAGGATGAACAGTCTGAAGAAAGAAGGGAGTGGCACCCAGCAAGCCCGGGCTGTGGATATGGAGGAGGGAAGGATCGATCCTCGCCATCCCCACAAAGAGAAACTTCATCAACGGGTTGGATTCACTGAAGCCACAACCGGCCTCACCTCAAGCACCAGCGCTTCCAGCATCCCACTCTCCACAGCTCACCACTTCAACTCCCAGTCCGAAACTACAGGTACAAGTAATCACCGCCTCGCCTCTCAAGATGACACCCACCTCTACAAGAACCATCATCATGACCAAACTCCCACCCAAATCCAAATCCCCCACCCGACATACGCCAACACCATCTCCTCTTTCACCTACACCACCACCCCAATATTCAACACCATTAATAATCCCAAGAACTCCCACACATCCACCACTGATGACACACCCCCCTCAAAAAGTAACCCAACAGCCGGGCGCTCTCGGCAAGACCACCTCTCCGAAATCCAATCCTTCCTCCTTGACAACAACAACAAAGACAGCTTTGATACCTCTACCGTGCAGTCCATACGCCCCTCGCTTCAATCGCAGTCGCAGCCGCAGTCGCGATCTTTGCATTCTTTGCACTCCATTCCCGAGTCCAACTCCACTGGGAGTATGTACAGTCAAAGAAGTCAAGATGAAGAGGAGGCAGAGGAGGACCAAAAGAGGGAGGAGGCGTCGATGTTGATTGGGGAGGTTTTGGAGACTGTTAGGAGTTTGGGGGAGGAAGTGGTGAAGAGGGGTCAGAGTTAAGGAAGTTCTAGGAATGGGAATGGGAAGTTTCAGGGGGTGGGAAAGGGGGGTGGAATGGAGGTGGGAAATTGTGAAGAAAGGGATGAGGAGGAGAATAAGCACAGAGGGGAAAGGAACAAGGGAGAAAAGGGGAGTAGGGGTCATATGTGTAGGTGTAGCTGTTAAAGATACTTTGATCATGGATTTGAAATGGAATTGATGCTCTATCTAGGGACTTTAACGTTGGCGTTACACAATGGACAGGGACGTTGGTTTTGAGTGTGGGGGAAGGACGAATCGGTGTTTAGCTTAAGTTGCCTCTATCTATTTATGTCTCTGACTTGACTTGGGTATATCCGCGGGTAAGAGGCTCAATTTGAATCAAGAAAGAAAAGCCCACATCTAGTTGACGTCGTTGTTGCTCAGTTAGTCTTATATAAAAATGTTTGATGCCTTTAGTTTAGCAAAGGACGCAGTGACACTCGAGCGTAATCGTGTATTACCACAACATTTTCCTGAAAATGCACATATCCATCGTAGGGAAAACTCTGAGGCTTATTCATCATGTCTTTCGTTCAGGGACAAAATGGTTCCAAAGCTCTGCGAGCCCATCTCGGATCCCACTCACCACTACCCATCAGCATACCTAATACAAGGATCAAGCACTTTGGTAAACATCACTCAGTGATCACTCCTTTACCTTCCATGATAACCACAACTAGAATTCTCTCCGAGAGAAATACCTATTCAAACCACCCTACCTTCTCTCCGTCCTCACTGTCCAATACCAGGAGTAACGAACTCACCCTTCTCCGTGTCCGTCTCCGTCTCCGTTCCCTCGTCTTCCAACTCCCTAACCTCGATGTTCACTCCTCCTCTTCCTCCTCCTCTTTCATTCACCCTCCCATTCCCACCATCCACGATCCTCCATCCCCCCCTCCCATATTCATAACCACCTCTTACGTCATTATATCCCGTCCCTGTCCTGATTCTTTCTCTTTCTCTTTCTCTTTTCCTTTCCCATTCCCATGAACCTTCCACATCTCCTCCTCCTCCGTCTCTCTTTCTATTTCCCTCTGCACACCCTCTTCTTTCTCCGTGTCCATTCATGTTGGTTTCGGGTGCATCATCAGATGGTACTTCTAGACAGCCATCATCACCAAGCTTAGAGGTACTCTCAAACTCGCCATCAACACCTCTACTGTCAGAGGAGGAGGACGAATGTGATGACGGTGGAACAACATACTCCTCCACTTCTTCCAACGGTATAATCAACAAATCCGTTTCCACCTGAAACGACGCCGTTCTCGCATGTCTTAACAGTCCATCATTCTCTCTTTCTCTTTCTCCTGTTTCTTCCTCCTCTAGTGTACCTCTACTGTCGTTTCCACTGTCCATGGTGCCAGTGTCAGTAGTACCAGTAGTGGTCTGATCACTGTACGTCCGGGAATGGGAATGGGAATGCGTTCTGGAAGCCGAGGAAGAATCGTCGTTGGTAGTGATTTCATCGAGGGACGAGACGCGAGAAGAGCCGGTTGTCGTGGTTGTGGAAGTGGTTAGGGATCGTTTCCTGTTGGAGCTTGAGAATTTGGTTTCGTACCAAGAGCTCGGACCGGCGTGGGAGCTGCTGTTTTTGCTGTTCGGCTTGTTCTCTCTCTTGCTGTTCTTAAAGACGCGGGGGCTCCTACCCCTGGTGGAAACGATGGAAATACTCAGAGACCAAGAAGTTTTATATGAGCGATGATTGCCGTTACTGTTGCTTTTGGTGTTTCTGCTACTTTTACTGTAGTGGTTTTGAGGATGACTGCGTCCATGTTTGTCGGCGCTTTGGTGCCTTAGATTGTCCTGTATTTCGGGATCCTCTTCCTCGGTGTTGCTGTTGCTTTCTTCGGAAACATGGGACAGCAGAGCAGGGGAAACAGGGGCGGAAGAAGAAGCACAAGAAGAAGAAGAAGCTATAGCTGTTGAAGCACGGGGAGAAGAACGGGTGAAGAACATGTCGGGCGTTCGCTGGCTGAGACCAACATATGATGGGGCTCGGCCGTAGAGGTAATTGTTTACTTCGTCGTACCGTTCATGTTCATATTCATGTTCCTGTGTATTAATCCCCTGGTAATATTCTTGATTCGAATCGAAAGTTGTGTTGGAAGTGATCTCGGCGGCAACGTGTCCGGATGAGCTCGATATCGAACGATCTTCTTCGCTTTCTAGGATTTGCCGGTGGCTGTATGGGTGATTCTCGTGTTTCAGCAACCTCTGCGACCGATTTGTTCTCTGCGGTCCAGCCGGTAGTTTCAGGGGTGCCTTCGTCGGTGTCTTTGTCCATGTCTCCGTCCATACCCTCGTTGGTATCTGCTCGCTCGTCGTAGGCCTCAAGCTCTTCGTCTTCAAGTTCGAAAGTTCTTCCACTGCTGGATAGTAAGTTTCTCCCCCCTTCACAAAACCATAAAAACCTGGTTTCACAGAGTCACCATGCCTGTTTTCGCTGCGAGTTACCAACCGGAAACTGTTGTCTCTCTCTTCACCGTGATTGCCGTGTCGAGAAGGAGTCAAATTCCGACGCACCGCAGACTCCTGAAAGGTCCCTGAAAGATGGCCTGTGGGTGAGTGAGTAAAGGCGGTGAACTCTGGCGCCTTGCTAAAGTCCCCGGAGATCTGCAGCGGTGGGAGCGCCCAAGTGGCCTGGTATGGCGGGAGTAATGAGCCTAGGTACATTGGGGAGGATCGTAGTGCGGGTCGAGGTGGGAATTGGTCTTCGGGTGGCGTTTGGTTGCTGGAAATGGACCACGAAGAGCGAGTGGAGGTGGTCGTCTGGTAAGAGGGAACCGGTCTTTGATATGTCTGCAATAATGACCCGTTTTCTTGGTTCCCAGTGGGCGTCGTTTCTCGTAAAAGGAGTGCCTTGGTACAATTGTAACACTTGCACCGTTCCTTCGGGCCCGAAGATCGACGAGGAGGCGGGAAACCACGTGTTTGAGTCTTGAAGACGGAATCCTCGTGGTACAGACTGTAATCAATTCCTTTGCCTTTTTCCTCAGCTGACCTGGGTCGTTTCCCTTCCTCGAAATGACTCACTTCGTCATCGTCGATGTACCAAGTCGTCGGGGGCGCCACCATGGATTCATTGTCGGACTTATCTGTCTTGTTGTCCCGGGCCATTGTTGTTGTCGTTTCTGGCACTTCCATAGTTGCTGATTTTGAAAAAGAATGTTTTGGACGTGGGAGTAATGAAGGAAGAAGAAATGCTCCCGCTGGAGACTCGGAAGAAGGATGTTGGTCGTTTATACCTTTCACCTCGCCCAGGTGCCTCCCCTTCCAGTGTGGATGCAGGAGGCTCGTATCAACAATTTTTGCTTTTGCTGCATTGTACGGCCTTGTTGATGTTGCAGTCCGACTTGCTGAACGTGCCTTGCTTTTGTCCGTCGACAAAACCAGCAGCTTTTTAACCTTTTCCATGCCCCGCTTCCAAAGTCTGGAGGTCCGGTTCTTCTGCTTGCTTTGCATCTTCTCATGCTCATGCACTTCCCTGCCTTGGCCTGCATTATTGGCATATTTCCGGTTGGCCGTATCCTTCTCCTCAGCCTGCCCCAGGCGGTTTCTCCTAGAGCCGGAACTTGTTTTGGTCGAGCCAACACCAATCCCCTCAGCCATGTACAACTGCTCCATGACCACCGAGTTTCGCGGCGGCTTTGGTACCGGTGAAGGTGCTGGTATACTTGTGGTCTCATCCCCAGGGCCAAGTGCAAGCTGCCACCGAGTCTGCTCCGCTGCTGCAGCCGCTGCCGCCGCCGGTTTCTCCTTTGACTTCTGCCCTCCGGATTCCCCCAGTCCGTTATCTCCCTTCCATCCGCGCTTCCAACTCCACCTCGCTTCCTTCTTCCTTTCCCCTTCTTCCCCTCTCCGTCCTGCAGCAGCAGCAGCAGCAGCACCCCCATCCTTCGAACCTCTCAACCCTTTCAAAGTCCCCAACTCCCTCCCCCACCTCTTAACCCTATCCCTCATCCCCCCTTTCTTCTCCCGTGGATGACACCCCTCAATGATCCTCCTCGCCGCCTCCTGGGCCTTCTTGTTCCGCTTGGGATCATGTCTCCATTCCCTGCTGCTAAAGTTGCTGCTTCTCCTCAATAATGCTAACCTTTTCGCTCTCAACCCCGATTCTGAAAAGGTGCTGTTGGTTGGGAATATGTCAAGGGGGTCAGAGGGGAAGATTGGTTCCGTGACTGGGTCGGTAAGAGGGTGGGAAACGGGGTTGGAAATGGGAAAGGAAACGCTCGTTATGGGTGTTTCTGAGCGGTCACAGCCATGTGGACAGGGGTGATGATGATGATGGTCGGAAGGAGCTGAGGGGTGGGTACACCAGTCTATCGGGACTGGAGGGGGTGTGGAAGATGGGATGGAGAGGGATAGAAGGGGAGGGGAGGAGGCAAGTTGCTGTGATAGTGATGCGGTGTAGTCCGGGAGAATGGCGTCACCGCCGTTGGTTGTTGTCGTGGTGCTGGCGGTGATGTTATAACGGCGGAGAACGGTGCCGCCGCTGTAGTGGGTTGTCGTGGTGGTGTTCCTGGATCCGCTGGATACGAGGGAGGTGGTGCTTCGTGGGCCTGCTCGCGAACCCGTCTGGATTTGGAGTTGAGATTCGTGGTTGGGGTGTACACCGGTCGGTTTTGGCTTCCACGCCCGTGAGCTTGACCTTGACCTTGACCTTGACCGCGATGGAGGTAAGAGACTCGCCCAGGATGGCGATGGGTCGACGATAGCTCGCGCCGCCATCTTCGTTCCTCCTCGCGGTTGGCAAGCGGAAAGCCCTGTTTCGACGGAGTGAAGCTACTGAAGCGATCGCGAAGTCGAACTCCGTTATATCCCTGCTGCCGTACCCGAGTGGTTAATCCCTTCGAGGAACCGCAACAGGCCGAGTGTCGTAACCAATTCCTTCACTCTCAGGAAGTGAATGAGCGACGCCCTTCTTGTCAAATACCTTCCAATCTGCGCCCATAGTCAGCAACAACATTTAATCCCATCATACTCATGCTATTATACAAACGAACGATCGAACCAGTGAAGCTAAGCTCAAACGTGAGCCAACTTCAAGAGCTTCTGTCGGTTCGAGCCAACGGCGTCCAGGACAATGCCGCAGGCGCGTAAGGCCAAGCAACACAAACAATGGAATTCACACAAATGTACGTACCTCGAACCTTTTTGTATGTCTGTCCCGTCAGTCTCGTTCTAGATCCGCCAGTCCCGTCAATGACGAACCGCGGCGGTCAGATACCTACTCAACGGCAAGGAAATATACTAAGCCCCAACTTGACCGATATGCGTCCCAACTCGGTTTCTTTCTTTCAAGCTAACGGCGGCGCTTAGGAGATCATCTTTTTTCCCGTTCGTGTACCTATCTTCCGATTGTGAGACGAATCGATCAGAATCTGATTTCGCCCCGTGTCCGAGACCCGACACATCCGCTCTCCTCTCTCCTTCTTCTTCTTCTCCCTGGTACCTACCTCTACATTTTTTTCCTCCTGGCCGTTATCCATGTTTCGCATAAACACAACTGACTCGCTGCCACCAGATCAAAGTTTTGACTGTTTACATCGATCGGTCCGATAATAACAACTTGCCATGAGCAGCCCAGTATAGGCCGCTACTTGGCCATGAGATTCAGGCGATTGATTGATGATGAGTTTTCTGTTGTCCGTTGTGGGCCGTCATCTACCCCCGTGACAACGAGATGAACAGATTTTCCACCGCGAACCCTTCCAGGAGCATTCCGTGACAGCTCTCCCGCTCCATCCTCACTAAGTAGTACTGTGATCCAGAGGCGCGGCGCAGTGTTTCGGAAAACACCAGATGAATAACTTCCATACATCGTTGGTCAAGGTTGGTCCCTGTTTTGGCCCGCTGAGACGTTCGGGTTGGAGTTCAGGGGCAAAACCGCACGTACCCTTCCTTCTACTTACCTCTACGTACACGATCGCAATCGCGGGAGGTATTGGAGGCACCAGTAACATTCTTCTACCAGAACTTTGAATTGTTGGGTAGGCGGGAGAGTTGACGGAGCAACGCCAGGGTGGTCTTCATTGCGACATCGAAAAAGAACTTGGAACGCATCGTTGAACCGAACACGTTGGCCCGGATCGAGGTGGCAGCGATGAGGATGCGATTGTTCTCAGCGATGATCTTAGGCACATCGAAACGATGTTGGAGAGAATCCCGACGACATCATCTGCATGTTCGAACGAAGTCCGAATAGATCCCGTCCATGATCGACGTCCCGCCGCTCCTGCTGCAGTGCTGCAATCCGAGATGTGCCCGTGTAGGTATTCTGTTATCAAGTGAAGTATGCGCTGCGGCTTCGACGATGTTTCGGCATATGCGTACGCTTCAAAGTTTCACGTCAAGCTCAGGCGAGAATAGGCCCGAAGGCTGAGGGAAAACAATAAACTATGATTTATAAATTTACATCGCTGGAACTAGAGGTATAACCGACTAGAGAAAGACCACGTCCACAATACCGCTGCCACCATTGAACGCTCTACCAGCCGTTATCTTGGGCCCAAACGGATGTGGGAAGTTTCCCCCAAACGCCATTGAGGATATCATCAAGTCATCTCATCTTTGTGGCCCTCAGCTCCTGGAATCCTCCTCGTCCTCAGCATCCTCAACCGCAGCGGGAGCAGGCCTGGGCCTCGGTCTATAACCTTCACTTACGTCAATAGACAAATGGCCGTCAGCTTCAGCATCTTCCTCCTCTTTTTTACTGGGCTGGGATGCCTCTGGCTGCGGAGCCGGTGGAACGTTGTTGAAGCTCCAGCCTGCGCTCATCCCTCCCAAGGGCCCAGTATTCACGTCCGGCGTTATCGTTACTGGATTTTGGAGTCTACTTTGTGGTTGAGTAGATGATGTTGATGGTTCTGATGAACGCGGAGCTTGCGTCTCTACAGTCCCGGCAGGTTTTGGTGATGAAGTGTTGGTGGCCGGTTGCTGCTGTTCGGCAGGACTCATGGGAGTTGCCGGAGTTGTGGGGGTGATGGGTCGGCTGGTTGGTGTAGTGGTTAGAAGACTGGGGGCTGTATTTCCCTGGGCTTGATTTTGGGCTCTATTTTGAGCTGTATTATCGGACCTTGGTCCCACAACTGTGCGCTGCTCAGGCACCGGCCCGGCTGTTGCTGTGCCTGGCGTTGCTGTATTACTGTCCCCTTGCTGACCAGCTTGACCGACCTGACCGGAATTCTGTCCCGGAGCCACAGCACCACCATCCAATCGCTCCAAAGGAAGCAGCGACCACCCCTCAGGGATCACCACTCCTTCGGGCAAGTCGGGACTTCCAGCTGGAATGGCCGTGCCCCAGTCCGCAGCGCCATGTCTAGTGATATTTTGTGGGAATGGTGGGATCTGTACTGGCTCATGAGGAAGTGTAACCCCCAGAGCTTGCGCTTGTTGAGCGTGGCGTACCCGAGCCAGCTCTGTAGCGATGTTCTGCAACGAGCGGAACTGTCCTATCGTGGCGCTCAATTCCCTCAATTCCTGATCCAGACGCTGCCCGACTTCCACCAGCTGCGCCTGAATTTGCTCCATGCCAGTAGCACCATGTCCATGGACAGGTTGTTGTGCTGGTGGTGGTGCCTGCGCATTCAAGGGTTGATGGCCATTAGCCATATCCTCCGGGATACCCATTCTCCTAGCCATCTCTTGAATGTCCTGGCCTTGGGCAAAGCCTAACCTGATAGGACCCAAGTTGAACATTCTAACTCCGTTATTCTGGTGGTTTCTTTGGTTGCCTGGCAGCAGGCCATTCGGATCCTGGTTAGCGGGCGCTTGACCGTTAATCTGTTGTTGAGGTTGCTGATTCTGTGCGGCCGGATGGTTGAGTCCATTAAAGTCTCCTCCCTGCGCATTTCGGTTCGGTTGCTGACCTTCCCTAGAAACCGGTCGTCGGCAGGTCGGGCACACTTGCTGGCGTTCCAGCCAGCTTTTGAGACATCCTTGGTGTAAAATATGGCCACAGGGCAGCTTCTTGGCACGAGTACGCTCGAGACGAACAGGGTCCTGGGGGTCCCAAGGGCGCATTTCTTCTCGGCAAATAATGCAGGTGTCGTCTTGTCCGAGATCTTGCTCAGTAGCGTCGGCATATTGATCCATGTCCCGAGTAGCCTGGCGGTAGCGAAGTAGGGCGTTGAGTCGCCTGATAAACGACCTCGTCGTCATAAACCAGTCTCTGATGATGTGAATGGGTAACCCATAGAAGGTTATGAGGACGCCGAAGAATGCCGTGTAGATGCAGAGCTTGAGGAAGTCTGTCATCATGGTTAGTGCACTGCGCATACGCATGGCGAAGAGTTCCCCGACGTACCAGAAACCAAATCCAACGACAAGATGTAGAGTCCCTTGGCATCCCAGCCAGGAACCTCGATATCCATCTCTTCCACATCATCCTCGCTCGGCAACTCCTCATTCTCCGCCTCGGCATCACCCTGCTCTCTGCGCCTCAGAATCTCGGCCCTGCGCTCTCTGATCTGCCGTCTCCTCTGCTCCAACCCATTTCTCGTCTGCACCCGCGTGATATGCTGCTCCCACATGGAAAACAGATACCTGATGGCCGTCTGGCTCGAAGTCACCGTCTGGATCGCGAACTCGAACAGGAACATGACCATCATGGTAGGACGCGCCTGCTGGACCACGGTATCGATGCAGTACTTGAGCATCCAGACATTGTAGGCCACGCTAAGGAGCAGCGAGACGGACAAGCGGGTGTGGAACAGTCGTGGGTTGGCGGGCGGCTGTTGCTCAAAGACCTCGACGCGGCCTTCGCCTATCCAGCCCCATACTTTGCCCGTGACAAGGGCCGTGAACATGCACAGGAAGAAGGGGCCGACCTCTTCGCGGAAGATGGTCATGGCCAGACATGTCTCGGTGACGGCAAACCAGGCGCGTTCGTACAATTGCTCGATCTCGACGGGGCGGAGGGGGCCGAAGCAGAGGCGCTGGAGGCCGTACATGAAGGCTCCATAGAGGACGAAGATTAGGTTCACGAGGACCTATTGGTAGGAGAATATGAAGTTAGCTACTGGGGGGTTACCAACACAGCTGCTGGGGGGATACCAACACAACGGCAGATAAGGTTGTGAGGACACATACCACGAGAGAGAGGCTGCTCTGGCCCAGATGGACAACCGCAGAGTAGAAGTTAGCTCGCTGATGGAACGCCGAAAGGATGACCGAGGCCGCCAGGGCCGTCGAGCACTATGCATGTTGACCATGGTTAGTTTGAGTGTATATCTAGATGTTGGGATGTAGATCTGAAGGTGAAGCCGGAGCTGGAGAGTTGAGAGATGGGTGTGATGGGGGAGCTGTAGTTGAGCTTCTCTCTCTCTCCCTAGGTAGCAACTGGGGGAGCTTCCACTTACCCCTGCGTACCACGCCAACCGCATCTTGGCCTTTTGGTTTTGGTGTGCAGCGATGGATGGCGGAACCGTAACCGATAGGGAACAGAACAAGAGGTGGAATTTATGACTTGGCAATGGAGAGGGGTCGCATTAAGTTGCCGTCATTATGGATGGAAGTGGAAGGGAACTCGTGGTCGAGTAGTCGTCGAGGTAGCAGAGGTAAGGTAAGGTAGAGGTATCTCGAGGTGGATGAAATTGACAGTGGCCGTAAGCAGGCAATGTAAGCAGCTACAAATTACAATGTAGGCAGTAAAAGTCACGTTTGGGGGGTTCAAGGGTGCTGTAAGGAAGACTGTCAATTGCCCGGATGGTGGACTGGACCTCATTGCCGCGCCAGTAAATGCCACGTTATGGGAAACTGCAGTTCAAGGTGACGCACGGCGACAGGGAAGGTGGCCCGGAGATCAGGAAAGCCAAGCGCGAACGACTCCGCACAGCCACAAGACGCTTCTTTTGCAGTCACGGACTCACAGTGTTCTGGAACATTGGGTTGTGGCGGCTGCACGTCAAATGCCATGTATAGGTTGCACTACGGCGCACTACTTCAACAACAACTACCACGACTAGTCACTTTGGCGGAGTGGTTAACGCGTTGCCCTGCTATTACGTCATAGTATAGTGGTAGGCAATCCATTCGTGGGCGCAGGTTCGAATCCTGCAGGTGACGTCATCTTTTTGGCTTTTTTTTCAATGTTCTTGACGTCTAAATGATCCCTTTTTGTTGTTTTTGATGTTTTCCTTTTTATATCGGTCGAATTGGTTGTTAAACGCTTGTGGTGTGGTGGTTTTGCACGCAAAATGCAAAAAGGTGCGGATACCCACTTCATGCATGTAAAGAAAGGCAAGTGCATTCACATCGCTCCTTCCGCCACAAAACACCGAGGCGGGTGTGCGCAATGTGCGCAACCTAAATGACTGATTAGGGTTGGGGCTAATCCGGGTGTATGCTGTGCAGATCGTGGATCGAGCGCTTCGAGGCGATCGCTTTGAGCGCTCATCATCGTCGTTGAAAACGATGGGTTCGCATAAGAACTTGGTATGGTTGCCGGCGCGAGCACAGTCGGATTATCCGAGACGACTTGTCTGCAACATATCACATCAGAGTATCGAACTTGCAGCACCTGTCACGGATACCGCATAATCTCGTCAAATTGACTTTCGGGCAGACACTTTTCATGTAGGTATAAGTAGGGTTAGAGGGGTCGGTCAACTATGTGCATGTGGGAGACTTGGTGTGGGAGTTGATCGCAAGCACTAGGGATATGAAGTTGGGGCATGTACGGGCAAAGAAGGAAGCGTGTTCATGCCGAAGTGGACGGGACCGTGAGAAGTCATTGAAGTGGTGTCACCAGTGTCGATGAGGGTGGTAGACCCAAGATTGAGGGGGAAGGTTCGGAAGGTGCATATAAACAATATCAAACCGTGGGAAGCAGATAGAGTGAGAGAGATGGATTTGGTGAGGGAGATGGAGTCGCAGAGAAGCATGAGGTTGGAGAGAGAAGTGGGACAGGTGGAAGAACCGGTATCGGTGATATTGGAGATCGATTTGGTGGAAGGAATGACATGTGCAATACAAGTAATAGCGTATCCAAGGTAAGATCACGCATCAGTTCAGTTAGATATGAGAACGCCCAAGGAAGTTAGGTAACGAGAGATCTTGACCTAACTAACAAACCAGTATCGATCGGACTGTACACATCATCTCACCAGATCACAGATCACACTTCACCGTTGACAGAGTATAATCATTTCATCCTACACCCAATCTCTCCCATCTCCCATCTCGAGAACCAGCGAGGATATTGTAGTTACACCCGTTCGCTCAGAGTCAGATCCGAACGGCACGCATGATACTTTCCATCCACCATGACCCGCCGTGACCCGTCCGTCATACACACCTCATGTATGTTATCCCCCCTCGAAGCTCGAACCACTTCGAAACACCCCAAAGCAAAAGCCCCACGCTACAAACACAGTATACCAAGTTATCAACCGTTATCAAGTTCGACTCAGCTGCCCGGTACCTGTTTCATCACTACACTACAGCTACAGCTACCTCTGCCTACCATCACGCACATAAGCGGTGGTGGTGGTGGTGGTGGTGGCGGCGGTTCAGCTGTCCATCCCAGCCGCCAAAAACCCCCCTCTCAAGAAACGGCACGGCACGGCACGAACGGACAGGTGGCATTGTCCATCAACGGCAGATCGGTTGAAATGGTTGTCGTTGTCGTTGTCGTTGCCGTTGCTGATGTCGATGTCAACGCTGATGGTGAAAAAGGGATTAATGATGTGCCGATTAAGTTCTCTAGAGGTACCTAGGGTTGCACCCGAGCGGGCTGAAGATGTCTCAATGCAAACGGCTGCAAGAACCCATAGCTGAGTGTAAGCTGAATGACATATACGGATATATAGGTGAATAAGTGACTGACTTGGTGATTGTTTCAGGAAGAAGGTGACAGTGTATATTGGGGGCAGATAACTGCATCGGTATTCGATCGGAGAGAGCGCAAGTTTTTCAACACGTACAGGTATGCTCCGCGCTTGATGCGCTTAAACAAACAGCTTGATCTGGTGTGGAAGAAGCAAAGAAACTTCATTTGAAGATGCGGAAGAAACAAGAACATGAGTTTTGTACACTGAAATCCTTGACGCAGGGAATTAAATGTAGAACTGGAAATCTATGGGTAACCAAGGAAGAAGAAATGAAGGGGGTTTTCCACTAAACGACCACAAGCCATTAACTCCAGTGCGCGTATCCATCATTTTGACGGGTGAACAAAACCAAACTCAACAATTGTAAGCAGACAAGTTACTACTGCGCCAGGAAAAGAAAGATAAAACCACAGTCAAACAAAAAGGGGTATGAGATCCAACGCGTATGCCAAAACACCATTTGATCCTCCCTCAACTCCATCTCTATGCTCAACACCCATACCACATCCTCTCGTAAGCTTTTACACTTGAAGACACCTACAGAACACGTCCCCAAACCTGCTCCAACCACGTCCTGAATCTCATCGGCTGAAAAGCCGTCCTCTCGCTCTGATTAACCAACTCGCCGAGGTTCGTCGAGCGAATACAATACCTCCCATTAGCAGTCTGCAACAGCCTCTGATAGTAGAAAGATGTCGCGACATCGCCAGCAAGTTGGCATTCATTCGCCCAGGCCTCAGCCTCTTGATAGGACCGTCTTGTGACGCTGAACTGGGCTGCTCGTTTGAAATCCATTAGCAAAATACTCATATCATGAGGGGCCCATAGAAAAGAAAACTCACCACCCCTAACAGCCTCACAAACCCTTACCACCTCCCCTACCGCCATACAATCCCCCCTAACCCTCCACTCCCTCGGCCACCTCTCCAACGGTAATCCCAACGCTCCCACTCCCGTCAACTCCACCGCCGCCGCCACGAACCTCGCAACATCATACATACTCGTCATAGCCACATACGCCATCCGTCCCTGGGCATCCCGCTCCACCACCTCCGCCGTGCCCTGTTCAATATTCACCAAATAATCACACGTTGGCATCGGCCCCATCAAGCCCAGCTGTGTCCCAATTCCCCAAGGCTGAAGCCCACCGCGGGCAAACCTTTCCATGAAGATTCCGCATGAGAACACGGTGTAGTTCATCCGGTGCGAGCGGGATTGGGACCAGCTTTCTAAAAGGTCCAAAGCGGCGCGGGAGCCGCGGTTGTCGAGCGGGTCGATTGAGTTGGCCGGTGGGCGCTGGGAAAGCGGCCCCTCGAACTCGGAAGGGACGAAGCACCGGACGCGGGCACGGCGGGCGGCGTCAATGAGGTTGAGCTGCTCGTTGTTGGAGATGGTGGAGATGAGGAGGTCGACGCCGCGGAGAACGTAGTGCAGGTCTTCGACGTTTTGGTAGTCTACTAGGGCGAGCTGGCAGGAAGGAAGGTTTTCTTCGAACTCGGGATGGGGCTGGTGGTTCTTAGCAGGTGGTCAATCATGAACAGCGATTAAAAGGGGAAGCCTACCTGTCGAGTGAGAATGAGAACGGGATGAGCACTCTTGGAGATCTCCTGGGCTAGAATGTAGGCAAAGGAGCCGCCTCCTGCAATAGCGATCCTCATCATGGAAGCAGGGTGTTGAGAAACTTTCTGGCGCATCGTAGAGTGAGGCATACAGTGAGAAAGTTGGGGTTGATGCCCGACTTGTTGGTGATGCTGATATCTGATATAATGTTCGAGATGGGAGTGATCATGCTGTTGAACTTATATGAGAACCCAAGGTGTTGTCGCTTCGTGATGTATCATCGTCTCACACAGAACCGTAAACCTTGACGACAGCAACCCAGAGGCACGGCGCACCAGGAAGGGGCCAGGAGGAGAGCTAGGCAAGCAGAATAACAAAGGGCAGCATCTCAAGCCGACGGCACAGGAGTAGAACCGACAGGTGAAGATCGAAGTCGGCAGCGACAGACCGATGACATCCCACACCGGGTTCCTCCACCATAACGCCTTTCCTTACGAGGCGGTTTGGCTCCGGCTGGCGGCGTAACTGATCATTTCAAGGATGGTCTGACGTCCATACATGTTGGCCTACCCAACCCCAAATATGCGGACCAACGGTGCCCATACCGACGACCCCTTGTCATCACACGGAAGGACTGCCGCTTGGCCCTTTTCTGCACGAGATAGTTGCCCGCCGTAATGGGCCACCGCGGAAACCCCACGCTTCGGCAGTTTGAATAACCTGCAGGCTCTTCCGAGAGGCTTCTCGCTTAGCCATACTCTGATCTCACGACTCGGGAGTCGGGGGCAGTCGGGGCAGAATGGGGTCAATAATAGTTCTCCTATGTGAGCACGAGCAGGGCATGGTAATGGAGTCCTGTTCTCAACGTAGAGTTCTTGCAACTTTGCGAGAATATGCAGTGAACTAGAATTAAAACGCATGGTGATGGCGTCTTCGGCGGAAATCTAATTCGAGGTCTAGTGTTACCCGGACCGTAGATCGCATCATCTCCCGTAGGGCTGTCCCCAGGCCAAGCAACAGCTACAACAGGATTTGGAGTCGGAAGCTGGAGTGTTTGGATAGTTCCTAAGAAAAGACCTGAAAAGTGGCAAGTGAGCGAAATTGGCCAATTGTAGAAATCACAAGACATATTAAAGAGTGAGAAGAACCACTGCAAATTGTCACCGTCAGAGTGAAGTGTTGGAAGTCATGGAGTTGAGTGTTATATCTGGGAATAGCAAAGCCACCCTAGGACCAAGCCACATTGATGCTGAAGTACTGGGGTTTGAAGGTTGCAAGATGGTGCGACAAGGTGGGATAATAGGGCTGGCAAGGATGGTGATAGGGCATTGTGGGCGTTAGACGCCGTTGAGAGAGGTGATGGAGGGTGAAGTCTTGCTAATACTGGATCAGAGAGGCGCGTTCCTGAGTGGTCTTACTCGAGGCTTAGCAAAGTCTAGGTGCCAAGTTCTTCGAGTCTTGGGTAAATGAAAAGCAAGGAATTAATGGAGGAATACTCGAGTTGTCCAAGGTTACACGCAGGCTTCAAAATAACCTCCAAAGTCTAGGTTGTGGGCTTTGAAACCAAGTTGAAAGGAGTCTTCAAGCTGTTACCTTGCGAACACCCGTGCCTTGTGGGATACAAGACTGAGACGGACTGATGCGTGATGACTTGCATGCCCCTTCGCATAGTCCCTTGGACTCGGTTCGGACTGTAGGACTGTGATGTAACGGTGATGGGAATATGGGATTGACGACAACATATTTCGGATAGCGAGACCGAATGATCAGATCTCCAAAACGCCCGAAACAGAGAGTTGGTGATGAGCAATACCAACAGTAACCACATTTGGAAGGATAGGAAGAAAAACTTCAGCCTAGTTTGGGTCCGGTCAACCAGATTTGTGTCGATAAGTTGGGCGGATTGGGGGCCATGCTTCATCTCCTTATGTTGGAGGCAGAGCGAGGAGGCTTGGCCGTTGGATCGTCTCCCGGCTTGGTATTCCCCCGTCTCCAAGGCCAGAAAATAGAAGTGACAAGAACGAGCGTGGAGTCCAGCTGAGGTGGATGCCGACCAAGCGAGAAATTCGCCGGTATTTCACTTCTCGGCATCGTGTGAGATGATGAGGGAGTCAATTGAGGTTCAGTTGTCAACAGCGAACGTTCGGCATTGAAGCGGGAGCTAAGCTGCCAAGCAGGCACCCGAAATCTACCCCACTTGCCTGCCGTTGTTCCCACACTCAAACACCTGTGCAGTCTTGGCGGATGTGTGCGAATGCACACACACACGACTTTTTGGCAAAACGGACCATCGATGAGATTTCATTTACTTATATCTCTACTAAACGAAGAGATAAAAGGAAACGAACTCAAGATTCAGAGTTAGCGTACTTAAGACTATTAAGATAATAGTCTTTTCTATAGGATAATTAAATTTCTTTATCTTCGTCTTTCGTTTCGATGGTCCGTTTTGCCAAAAAGTCGTGTGTGTGTGCATTCGCACACATCCGCCAAGACTGCACAGGTGTCTGAGTGTGGGAATGACAGGGAGGAGGCTTCCATGCTGTTGCCTTGTTGCAGTGCCGCCCCATGCAACTGCCGCCCGCTCATCCGGGCCCGTCTCTATCAGCTTATCATCTCGTCTTATCACCCCGGCCCTCTTCTACTTCGAGGTTTCAACTTCAGTTCTCTTCCTCAAACTTCCTGTCCGGGGCGGACGACGACCTCAAACTTTTGGGGTTACCCCTACAAAAAATGAACTTTGGAAATATTGATAGCCTGAGGGGAAATACTCACAAAAGCAATTTAAGTATCGGTCCTGCAGTGAGCTTCAACATGGGCCCGTTTCCGCAACGCGGTACACGGAAGCTGGCGCATGTCAGAACCGTGAATTAAAGCCTGCTCGAATCGTTTCGGTGTAAGTCATCGAAACCAACACCAAGCTTTTGGAAATCGTGAGCCCAAAATGCCATTCCGTAGTAACATAAATACCCGATCGCAAAGCTTTGACATCGACATATCACTGCAGTCAACCTCACGATATCTTCACCTCACGTCCATCATGCACAAGCATATCGTTCAGTATATCATTTTATTATCCGAAACTAAAGTCATTGCGTGGTCATGAATTCGTTAATAGGTAAAATAGGGGGGTATAATCTCCAATCCATCCTCAACCTCGTCTTCCTTCCTTTCGTCAAGAGTCTTTCCTCAATCATTTAGAGATCAGCGTTCTTCTGCGCCTCAGCCTCCTTCTGGATATCATGCTCCGCACCACGCTGCTGGGCCTTGCCAACATCATGCTGAGTCTGATATTCGGCCTGCTTCTCGCGGTCGCCGACAAGCGCGGCAGCAGCATTGCCGAGCTGGCCAGTAAAGCGGTCCTTGGCGCCCTCGCCGAGGTCCTTGACCTGGCCGCGGGCTTCCTGCTCTTGGCCTTCGCGGTTTTGTTGGCGGCCGGCTTGCTTGAGGTCCTGTTATAATTGATTCGTGCGTTAGCGAGCTTGTTTGGGGAAGACGAAAGAGTGAAAGAATGGAGGTAGAAAATAGACATACCTCAGAGCCGACAGCTCCACCGATAAACTCCTTGGCCGCGCCGGCGGTCTGCTTCCAAGAACCGGACGTGCGGTCGGGGTGGTCGGCGGCGACGGCGCCGTCAGAGGTGGCCGTGAAGCCGGGGACCTTGGCGGTATCGTGCGAGGCTGCGTGCTCGGCGTGAGCCTTCTCCTGCTTGAGCTCACCTTCGGCCTGTAGTCTCAAGTGTTAGTTATGGGAAAGAGGTGAATGTGAACCGAAGGACTGCAACCGTACCTGATCGCCGCGGTTGCCAATAATATTACCAACGGCGCTCTGGACAGCGCCGGTGGCGGAGTCGATGTAGGACTTGAGGGTGGAGTTGTTCTCGGTAGACATGTTGGGTGGTTGTGGTATGTTTAGGTTAATGTGGTGATGGATCGGTTCGAAGTTGTTGTTGGAGAGTAGTTGTGGTTGATTGAGTGATGGATTGTATCGTGAGAATGATGATGAGAAAAGTGTCTTAAGGGAAAGGATATCTTTTCTTTATATATCCCACGCTCGACATGCACAAGGTCCAACACGAAACCGCATGAAGACAAACAAAAGCAAGATCGGATGACCAGAATAGAACTTCCCGTCCATAAAAATTCAGGGTCCTACCGAAATCTTGGCCCGGGGTTGGAGGCAATGACGGACTGGAGAGGCCTGAAAATGGCCATGTGAGCCTGGTGTCAGTTCATCACTTCCGAAATGTCTAACCCATTTCTTGCTCTAATTGGTTCAGTCATGGTTTTTCTTGTTTGTTCCAGCTCGTAGCTTCCAGCAACTAACTAGTCATTGCATGTGGCAGCAATGTCCATTGGATGGCCTTACCATAGTGTGTGTGCCTGTGAAGATGTCGTTTGTAGTCTCACAAAGCACACCAGAAAATATGATGTCATAGGCAATAGGCTGCCAACAGGGGTTTGTTCGCAACGGTGTTCGTCAGTTCATCCCACCATCCCAAATGAGACTGTGACATCATAAGTTGTCGCAGCCACCAACGAGCCGAGCTAAGCCCCTCAAGTCCAAGGCAGTTTTTAGATCCCTTGATCCCTTGGTTCTGAGCACGTACACTACTATGTACACACTCATTGTCTGGCCTTCGACCTCAGTAGCTGGCCACATTGTATATGCCCTTTGTAGAGTTGTTCAGCAGAAACTATCGGGTTGGGGGGTTCAGAACAGCCACAAAATGGACACAATCTACACACAGCCAAAGTCAAATGAAAAAAAAGAGACGTTCATCAGCCACAATGCTGGGAATTATGTGTATCCATTATATGATGAATTGTTCTACTGACACCTCCGAGCGCCGCCTCCCAGCCCTATGGTATCATTCTCTTGCTCATCAAAACAAAGGTCATCCGCAAATATCGCTTACATACATGATAGTATACAATGGGTCATGTTTTGCCCCTTGCTTCCGTCCTAGCGGGAGCCTGGACAATTCGTAAAGTTGGGTGTATAAACAACCGGGGCCGAATGTAGTGTTTGTGAAAAGGCAGCGCAGCGGGAGAAATAAAAAGCAATAGAAACTCCGCCCAATTTATAAACCGTCTTAAAATACCGCACATCAACCACATCATGTCACCTCTCAGTGCTGGCTCCACTGGATCGTGTTCAGGTCGATACCCTCCTGGACGAGCTCCCACAGAGGAGAAAGCTCGCGGAGGAAGCCCACACGCTCCGTTACGGCCTTGAGCACGTAGTCGATCTCCTGCTCGGTAGTGAACCGGCCGATACCGAAACGGATACTGGAGTGGGCGCTCTCATCACTGTTACCCAAAGCACGGAGAACGTAACTAGGCTCCAGAGAAGCCGACGTGCAAGCACTGCCAGAAGAAAGTGCAATATCCTTCAAGGCCATCAAGAGGGACTCACCCTCGACATAGGCGAAAGAAACGTTCACGCAGCCGGGGTAAAATTGGTTGGGATCACCGTTCTGGCTGGTGTGCTCCATGGAGAGCAGACCGTTGAGAAGACGGTCGGAGAGGTGCTTGATACGCTTGGAGTCGTACTGTTGTAACAGTTAGCGCCCATCCTTGAACGAGACGATGCATTAAATGTGAGATATGGAAGAATCATGATCAGAGAAGTTGCTGTCTATCAACAAGGAGTCCTTGTCACGGGACTTCAGAAAGCCATGCATGTGTAAAGCGACTCATCATAAAAGGGGCAAAAGAAGAAAAAGAATAGACTGTAACATACCGGCATTTCTTCCTTGGCGATGCGGCACGCCTCTCCGAAGCCGACAACGAGCGGAGGAGCCAGCGTGCCGCTGCGAAGACCTCTCTCCTGACCACCACCGCTGATGATGGGGTCCAGTCTGACTCTTGGCCGACGACGGACGTAGCATGCACCAATGCCCTTGGGGCCGTAAATCTTGTGGGAGGAGATGGACATCAAGTCAATGTTCATGGCGTTAACGTCAACGGGGATCTTGCCAACAGCCTGGGCAGCGTCGGTGTGGAAAAAGATCTTCTTGGACCGGCAAAGCTTGCCGATTTCCTCGAGGGGTTGGATGACACCAATCTCGTTGTTGACAGCCATGATACTGACGATGGCGGTGTCGGGACGGATGGCAGCCTCCAGCTCCGCCATGTCGATCAGGCCGCTGCTCTTCACTGGGAGATAGGTCACTTCGAAACCCTCGTCCTGGAGATGCCTGCAGCTGTCGAGGACACACTTGTGTTCTGTCTGGCTGGTGATGATGTGCTTCTTCTTGCCGGACCGGCCAAAGAACCTGGCGACGCCCTTGATGCTCATGTTATTGCTTTCGGTGGCACCGCTGGTGAAGATGATTTCCTTGGGGTCAGCGCCAATCAGATCAGCAATGTGTTTCCTCGCCTCTTCAACGGCCTTGTCTGTCTCCCAGCCGTAGGCATGTGTCCTCGAGTGGGGGTTGCCATAGACGTTGGTGAAGTAGGGCATCATGGCATCGAGCACTCTGGGGTCGATGGGGGTTGTGGCCTGCATGTCCAGGTAGATGGGACGCTGTCCCTCGTCCATCACGGTAGCATTGCTGAGAACATCTAGTCGAGTCAGCAACAATGATGACTGCGCAACATGTCTCCGAGGAGGTGGATAGTGATGATGCTTACCAGCCATGGGGCTGACGTGTTGGCTCGAGCCATTTTGCGCGCTGATGGCAAGGCCCTGCTTCTCCATCTCCCTGTGATCCAGCTTGATAGCATGCTCAGCCTGCACGTCGGCGTTGTTCCTCTTGGTCTCGGTCACATAGCTCCTGGAAGCAGAAGCAGTCTTGACAGCAGCCGCAGTGGTCGCCCGCGACAGCACACGCGCGCTGCGGAGAGGAGCGGCCGCGGCCAAGCGCGATGCCTGTCGTAAGACGGACGGCGCAATGGTGGACATGGTAAAAAGAAGAAGAAAAAAGGAGAGGAAAAGAGAATATGGTGGTGAGGGTGATGGCGGATGAGAGGGAAAAAAGTTCGTTTTGTAACAAAACCTACAAAAACAGATGGAGGCAGCGGGCGGGGCGGCTCAAAACACAGAAATTCAGATGGAGCTGCCGCCTCCCGCTCTTCGGCAGTCGGAGTGGACTTTCCGCCATACAGAAAAGAACAAATCGAAACAAACGGCATCCGCACGCGGACTTGGCCTCGGAGGGGTCGGTGATAAAAGAATGTGCCAATGAGGGGCGATAACTAACAAGGTCAGGCACTTTGATTGGTGATTCCGCCATCGGACGGCCCCACCTGTTTCTTTCTCGGACAAGCGCGTATGTACGTACGGCGAAAATGACGCTGCTCCAAAATGTCAGAGAACGGGCCGGGCATGACGGAAACTGAATGCTTCGATGTGCAGATGGATCTTGACAAATACAGTGTGGAATGTCCACTTGTGAACGAACTCCGCGGACGCATCTGATCCATCATTGCACAGAGAGGAAAAGCACTGACCAGGCATTTGTTCTCTCAATCGGCATGTCCACTGGGATGAAAGCTACACTACAGCGGGCCCCAGACCCAGTCGGTCTACCCCGTCGTTCCAATTCGTTCCTTTCCGGGGTCTCATCGACCAAAAGCAGAACAACCGAGCGATGACGGTATTTACCTACGTCCTCGGGATTCTGTTTCCATTCGCATTGGATGTCTGCGTTGGACTATAACTTGAACCATCAGTGACATGCCATATACCCGCCGACAACCTACTTGACTTCCATTTATACTGCTAAACTACCTAGCATCTTAGCTCTAGGACAGCTAGCTACTTTACCTCTCACCGTTGAAGAACGAATCCTCCCCTAGGAAGTTTGTCGGACCTGGAACGGAACTGTTGACAAGGGTCCGACCGACGGGATTCACGAACAAACCGAAATCACAAGACGCCTAGACAAAAAGACTTCTTACACTACATCTTGGAACGAGGTCACTGTGTGCGGCGTGCCCAACATTCAGCAAATAGCAGCGCCACGCAAACCGTCGCAAGCTTCGCTCAGCCAAGACTTCGTCCACCAGCCAAACGACCTGCACCGCCCCCCTGTCCACCCCCAGCGTCATCACCATCGTATCCGGATCCGACTTGAAGAGGGCAGTCAGGTGCAACTCGACCACCGATTGCCTTCAACCTCTTCGAACAGCAACCCGCTTTGCGCATCTCCATACAACCACCGAATATACATCAGACATTATACGGCTTCGTAGCAGAATATGAGCTTCAGGGGCTTCCAAAAAAGCGTGGTCCGCGTAGGTTTTGCCCCGCATATTTGATCTCACCTCCCCTAGTTTCGGTTACAGCGTCATCATCACTTCCGCCCTTCCCGTCGAGTCCCCCGTCTATGGCAGAAATAGCACCGAATCGCTCGGGTTGGCAAAACAGGCACTAACACGACAGAAACCAGGCACCACAACAATTCAAGCAAAAGTTTAACCTCGGCGAGCATACCAAAGACCCTGTCTACATCGACTCGGAGCGCAGATTCCAGGAGCTCGAAACCGAGACCAAACGCCTTCACGATGAAAGCAAAAAGTACTTTGAGGCCATCAATGGCATGCTGCAACACCAAATCGAGTTCTCAAAGGCAATGACGGAAATCTACAAGCCCATCAGCGGCCGCATGTCCGATCCCGATTCGCTCGTTCCCCATGGAAACTATGAGGGTATTGCCGCCTGCGAGGAGTACGAGGCCGTTGTCAAGGACCTGCAGGAAACACTGGCGCCAGAGTTGGAAATGATCGAGGCTAGGGTTATTCGGCCAGCGAACGAGCTCCTCGATGTGATCAAGGTCATTCGCAAAACGGCCGTGAAGCGCGAGCACAAGAAGCTGGATTACGACAGACACCGCGCCACCCTCAAGAAGCTCCAGGATAAGAAAGACCGGTCGGCAAAGGACGAGAAGGCCATGTGGAAGGCTGAGAACGAAGTTGAGCAGGCCACGCAAGAGTACAACTACTTCAACGATCTGCTTAAGGACGAGCTACCCAAGCTGTTTGCCCTCGAACGCCAGTTCATTCAGCCGCTTTTCCAGTCCTTCTACTACATGCAGCTCAACATCTTCTACACCCTGCACGAGAAGATGCAGCACTGCGACATTGGCTACTTCGATCTTACCTTGGACATCGAGGAGGCCTTTTACGCGAAGCGTGGTGACGTCCAGGAGCGGGCTGAGGCTCTCTCCATTGTCAAGTTCAAGACCACGGGTATGAAGCGACCGCCCAAGTACCAACGTCCAGGTGCTCTCGAAGGAAACAAGCCAGCAGGTCTACTTACAGCTGGCTCCTCCACGACCACCTCCACCGGTCCGCCTGAGCCGGCTCCCTCAGTCACAGCTCCACGGCCCTGGGAACAGCAACAAGCAGCAGCTCCTGCCGTCACAGCACCGCGACCTTGGGAAACCCAGGCGGAACCAGTAGAAGCGCATGCGCCGCCACCGTATTCGGTGAAGCCGAGTACGCTACATGCCACGCCCGCCTCCTACGCCGCTCCAGTTGCCAGCCCGAAGCCCTCGTCGTTGTCCATGGCGGCGGCTGCAAAGGCCAAGCCCCCACCGCCGAAGCCCAAGCCCAAGGCCCTCATGGCGGCGGCACCCAAAGTAGAGACCGTTACGGCGCTTTACGACTACTCGGCGCAGGCGGAGGGCGATCTGAGCTTCCGTGCCGGTGATGTGATTGAGATAGTAACAAGGACTGCGAACGAGAATGAGTGGTGGATTGGAAAGTTGCATGGAAAGCAGGGTCAATTCCCAGGTACGTACTGTACTTTTTCTTAGGGTGCTTTTTCTGTTGCGAGCTGGACATGTTCTGACATTATGGTCTTTTGCTAGGAAACTATGTCCAGTTAAACAGCTAGAGGATACAAGGCAACTTGTAAATGTAGTTATCAAAGAGTTGCTTTCAGCACGCTTCACTTCTCAGCATGACTTCAACCTATACCCCTTTTTGTGGACCCGTTCATGGTTAGGAGTTATTTGCAACCATAACACGGATTCTTTCTAGTTCGTCTGCTTCGTACCATGCCGTGAAGTCCTGTAGCAGGGCCTTGATGATCCTCTACGGATGCAATCATATGCGGCAGGTGACTCTGTTGGAAATAGCCAGGCAGGAGAAACCTCCGTCGTGAAGGAGGACAACGCGAGGAGCGAGGAGCGAGGGGATCTCGAGTGTTTGCGTCTAGGGAAATGGCGGGTGTATTGTTTTGGAGCGAAGGAAGCACCGGAGTGAAAAGGTCACAGTGCATTGGGTCACACCTGGAAGTTTGGATTGGATGCGTTTTGCCAAGATCGCCGTCGTGGTTTGTTCCCTTTAGGTTCGTTAGGTACTTGCCCGCGCATCAAGCTTCCTCAGGTGAAGCTAATTTCTAATTTCGTTAACGCAACGACCACGCAGCTCAGCTTGAATCCAGTGTCACCAACGACCGCTTGCCTTGTCAAAAATACCTAGCTCGGCTTCACCTCCTGGCTCGACTCCAAGGATTCAGGTCTTTTGGGAGGCAAGAAGATGTGTATCATCTCTGTTACTCATCTAGGTAGGTATCACTGAAAGCCATGGCAAGTGTACTTACTGGAGGGTCCTTTTTGGAAACACCGATATTGAATGACGGCCTCCAGTTAAGATGCAATGCTTCGGTGAATAGCGAGGTCCTCCGGTTTAGCTTCAAGTGAGACATGCACCTGTCTTGTTGTATAAGTATAAGGCTAACAGAAGCTTCCAATAATGCGCCAAGCAACCCAGCTGTATGCTCCTCCCTCCAATTCTCCATTAGTCCCTCCGTGACTGTGAAGCAAGACAGGAAGTGACAATCTCCAGTATGCCGGGCAAACCCAGATCTATGGGCTTTTAATCCCCCTCTTCTCACTTGCACACAAACTCTTCTTCCTCTTCTCACAACCACCACCACTACCACCAAGCGTAGCGTAACTCGCAGACTCCAGGCAATCTTTTGGCCGCCATTTTTTGGGTATCGTCTCTCTATTTGTCTTGCGGTTCGCAGTATTATGTCATCTCTTCTCCTCTGGCCTCTTTTTCCGTGTTGATACACTTCAAGCGTTTTTTTGGAACGAAGGAAATCTTGCCCTAAAAGAAAGAGGACACCCACGGATACGAATCCCTTCTGCAAGACCACTCTCGACAGCCTATCCGAATCAGTCCCATCAATTTGCGTTGGATTTGCCTGGCCTTTTCTGTCGCCGACTCTTCTCTCAATCGTCCCCGCGGAACAGACGGCCCATTCACATCCTCGGAGTCCGTCAACATTGATCAACGAATACACAGATTTGGCTTAAAGACAAACACCGGATTGGTCTTTCCAATCCACGACACCAACGTGATACTGCTGCTCTCCTGGTCTTGGCCGTGAGTTTTTTTTTTTCTCGTTTCTTCACAAAGTATCAACGTGATGACTCCGAGCTCGATCTCCATTGCATGGACACTTCATGAGCATGCAATTGACTAACACGTCTCAGACCAGGAAGGACTCTAGGCCCCTGAAGAACCAAGAACACCCACATCAAGCGACATCCGTGGAATGTCAAACAATATGGCTGCCGTAACCAGCCACATCGCCAATAGCAGGAACTTTAGCCGCTCTAGAGTTCCTGCGTTGAAAGTCAAGACTACCGTGGGGGATCCAGTCGGTTTTGATGGAAAAGGAAAAGCACTTGCATCAGATGACTGGCGCAGGTATGCGTCTGCCCCTGGAATGTCAAACAAGGGGAACCTCCGTAAAAAGATTGCTCAACGGTCGAGCGCTACAGAGCACTCCATGGAAATGCCTCGTGAACCTGGGTTCTACCGCCCGAACGACGGCCAAACTGCTTAGGAAGTGGTTTCATCAGCACCAGGAGACCGCTCGGTCTCAAACCAATCAAGAGCGCACTCTACAGGCACTTCTGAACATTCACTTGACTCGGCTCAGAAACCAATAGTGGTTTGTATTGAAGACATGAAGCCAATGATCATGAACGTCAACGGCGAAAACATACCATTACCTAACCGATTCACTTTTGACATCCGCCCCAGGTGCTTCAAAAGCGACTACTCCAATGATTCATCTAGCTCCTCTACTTTTGGAGAACTCAAACGCGTCATAGATCCCAGTATCCTCAGCGGCAAAATCTCCTCTGACTGGTCGACTATCAACCGCGAGCTCCCGGACGATATCCAGGCCTTGCTAAACACCATTCGGGGACTCCCCACATCAGATGCCTCTTCTAGCAAGCCCGAGAATTGCCAACACGATGCGTCCCTGTCAAGCAATAGACCCCAAGATTCCAAAGACAGTACGGGCGCGTCTGAACGCTCGGAAACAAAGCCTCAGGATGACGAAGAGGAACGCTTTCGCAACATGATCAATCGTCTCCAGAAGCGCCTTCCAACTCCATCCTTGGTAAAGCCCAGGGTACCAAGCACCAAGATACAACCTGCTGATCCCGCCATTTTGTCTGCCAAACTGAAGGATGGTGCAGTGTTCGGAAATGCCCAACTGAACCAAGTCACCGAGCCGCACCCTGAAAGGAAGGACAAATTCAGCGACTCTGGATACGCCAGCGGTAGCAACCCATCGTGCATCGTACATTACTCAACGTCGGATAGCTCTAGGGATTTCCAAGACGAGCCCGCTGCGGCCACCAAAAGAAGTTTGGAGGCCCAAAGCGCAACCAAGAAATTGAACCCTGCAGCAGCTGAGTTCAGAATTTCGACTGACAGTGTACATCTGCCAGTGCTCTCTCCCAAGAAGCTATCTCGTGGCCCACTTACATCGCTTCTTTTCAACCCAACTCCTGATGTGGCTGTGGCCGGGGCTCTCCCTTCGTTGGATAGGCTACAAACTGCTCAGACGAGGCAGGGCACAGGCACTGCAGTTGATATGTTGCAGATTCAACAGTCAAGTCCAGTCAAGTCTGGTATGAAGGCCAAACAACGAAAAGCACCTCAGGTTCCGCCCATCCAGCAAGCTTGCCTTCCTCCTATCCAACATTTTTATAATCCCGCTCTGTCCGATGTCAATCCCATGGCTCTTGCCCATCCCAGCCTGAGCTTACAGCCACAGAAACCCAATGCAGCTCTTCCATTTCCCCCTACTCCATGGATTGGAGGACCAGGTTTGGGCAACTTTGGGACATTTCCACCACCTACCGCCCCATCGATGGCAATTCCGCAGTTCAACATGCAATCTCCGGATATGGCAGCAACTTTGGGGACTGGAACTTTTCTGCCTTCAATGCGGCCGCCCATTCCACCCTTTGCGTCGGCTCCTATCAGCGGCTTAGGGTCGATGTACCCTCAGGCCGCAGTGCCAGCACTGCCGCCAGTACAACCGTCGATTCCACTGACAAGCGCAGGTCAACAAGCTCAGCCAGGACCTAAGGCTGACCGCCCTTATTTTCCCGTAACAACGAAGCCTCGGGTCCCGGATCCGATCAAGCAACAACAGTACGAGGAGTATTTGGAATGGCGCAAGGCCAATGAGCCCGGGTACCACATCAAGTGCAAGATCCGACAGGCGAATCGCGTGGTGCGTCAGCATCAATACCAAGCCGAGGCTCCCAAGCTTGAGGAACCGGGCATCTCGCTTGCATGGAAAGCGATTGCTGAAAAGGCAAAGGCTGTGGTGGGAGCGGCTGAAGCTCGCCGTGCGGCGGAGAAGAAGTCGAAGCAGAACTCGGTGGTTGAAGAGTTCAAAGCCAAGATCATTGAGAGAGTCATGGGGAGCTCTGAGACGAAGGATGATAAGGAGGACTCTGAAAAGAAGATGGAAGACGAACAGGCTGTTGAGAAAGTAACCGAAAAACCGACAGAGGACAAGGTAATGGTTGAGGAGACAGCTGAGAAGACGACCGATAAGACAGCTGAGAAGACGGAAGAGGTCAAGGAAGGTGTGAAAGCATGATGTGCAAGAAAGGACAGTGGTATTGGGAGCGAGTGGGGATAAACAAGAATTGCTGCGGTTTATTTCCTCTCATATGTATACCATGGAGAAGAAGAGACTGAGAGATCTCTTCTCTCATGTTGACATTCTTTGCTGGCGTCGGATTTGGGGACTTGTCATCACAGTTTATGGTTATCGAGACGGTGCGGAGTATTGATATATGGGTTAACCTCGCTATAGTTATGGCCGGCTGTTGTTATTGAGCAAAAGGTGTCTTAGGAGATTCTGAGACAGATGCGGGTATGGTTATGATTAAAAGACCACCATGTTGGTGTTGGTCGTTTTGCGCAAGCTTTGCCTTTTTTCGTCTTTGGGTTTGTTCTGCGAATGGCTGTCAATTATTGTCATTGATATTGCCGTTACCTTGTCTTCTCGATAATCATTATGATAGACATATGAATCAAGAAGATTGGTACGCATCCACTCATCACGGAACTGATCAGATGTCAGAATATCGAGTGCGTTGATGAACTCTGGTGGAAAAGGGAGCAGATGTATCAACCATTCTAGCTTGTATGAATGTTGATATTATACATTGCCGGCTGTTTTCTTAAAGTACCCTTCAACAAGTTAAAAGCCCGAAATTACCAACCTTCTTCCTTTCTCTCACCAGCCTCGTTGATTTCCTTTATATAGCAGCTCAGCGAAGTCCAGTTCAGGTGTACATATGAAACGTCGAGTTATACAGCATGTTTTTATGCGCCCGACATCATTCCATGATATCCATTTGGCGAAAGAGTTGGCGCCTCTCTCCCGTTGCGCCGTGTCTCTCCCCCATCCTTCCATCGGATCCTCCGCGCGGACGGAATGCTACCGATCGGGGGTGTGGTCGGGGGGCCATCATACGACGCACAAAAGTCCACAAAAGGTTCAGGTTCGTCGGTTGGATCTAACTTGTTCAATCTAAATTGAAAGGCGGCTTGTAGGCTGTTTATACAAACATTGATGACATGATGAAGGTTAAGAAGAAGAAGGGATTGACGAAGGTTGAGGAAAAGGGATTGACGAAGGTTAAGAGAAAGAGGATGACGGAGGTTAAGAAGAAGGGATTGACAAAGGTTAAGAAAAAGGGGATGAGGGTAGAGGGGCCGGAGGGCAGGTATCCTGGTTATGCACTACAAAGATTGACGGCACGACGAAGGTTAAGGAACAGAGCATGAGGGTAGAGGAGACGGGACGGAGGGCAGAAGAAATGGAAATAGAAATTGGGAGGACTATGTATACCTCTCCATGGGCAGATATATTATGTTAGCTTGGTACGTTGACTTGCAAAAAAGACGACCGGTTAAGTGCTATATTAGCCATTTCTTGTGTGTGAGAGTAACCATCGAAACACCGCGCTAACAAGTTATATTCGTGAAGAAGGGTATAAAATACGGTATTCATGCGAAAGGTGTATGGAAATATGGCTACGGTGCTTACATAGCAAGAGAAGGAATGAAGGTTTACTATGGTTGTGATGGCAGCAGTGTAGTGTTTATCATCCAGGAGATCGACAAGGAACTAACTGATGATAGTATCGATCATTGTACTGCGTATGGTGTTGAGAGATGTAATTTTTACGAAAGAGCCCATCCATGATGTATGAAGGAGAGACGAACGACGACAACAACGACGACGACGACATCGACGACGACATCGAAGTCCCGAAACGCGGTAGCGCGGTAATGAGCAAGCAGGCAAGCAGCCACACTTGATGAGCTGAAGTGTACGTACAGTACACCTACTTAGTACAATGTATCAATCCGGATTCCGATACGCGGATGGCTCGGGGTGGCGTGGATGCTGTACCACTTCCTTGGACAACAGTTCACTTTTCCAACTGGCTGGTACATACCTCTAACACTAGCAGTGTTTTTGGTTATACTTGGAACAAAGGATGGTGGACAGGATATTTTTTTTTTTTTTTTTTTTTTTTTAATCTGAAAGTATCTTTGGGGTTGGGGTGGCACTGCAGCACCTGTTGTGAAGGTTGTAGTAGCGAGTGTAGGGTCACTCAAAACGAGGTGAGTTGAGCGTGAGAGTAAAATCCAGAATGTTGTTTTGGTTCTTCGACGGGGATCAATGTTTACATCATGATTCTGAAGGATGGTGATGGATGGACGAAACTAACAAAGAGAACAACTTATGGAGGGGTAAATCCCGATCATCAAACTAACTGAAAACGGACCAATCAGTTCCCTAACAAGCCGTGGTCAAAGGGTTCAAGTTCAATGAAGGGTTCAAGACAGAAATCGGAAGAAGGGACCCCAAGCTCGCACATCATGCCCCTCTAACTAGGTGATATCGTCATCGGCCGGGGTCGCCCCACCCTGGCGATGATGCTTCGCATTGCTTGGCGCTCTTTCCCCCATGTCATTCCCATGACAACTGCCATCCCTCGAGTGCCCCTCCATCGATCGGCTCGCTCTTAGTCGCAGTGACATTCGATGTCAAGACGCTTTCTCTGACGGTTAGTATGATGGGATGTACAATGTCGTGCGTCAGTTGGTGGGCAGAGAAACAGGTGCTTTGTGTATGAGGTACAATGATCAAAGTGAATGGCACGGCTACTCCCTCACTGCTATGTAATACTAAGTAATCCAACACTCCCCGATAAAACCGGTTGACCACCCACAACTTCTTTCCCTATTCCTCACCTTGTGCAATCCTCTTCGCGACTTGTGTATCCAAAAGGGTGTTAAGAGACATCTTCCACTGCTCGTGTACATCACAAATTCGAGACACCTCACCGAGCCAACAACCTCCAACTTATACAAGCTTATCGCAAACGCCACGACTCCTCTGCTGCTGCTCGGACACATCACTTGTGATATCTGGCTGAGCTCTGCCAAACTCTCCCAACCTTCCTTCCCACGACACGTGTAAACAACAACAATAAACAAACACCCATAAAGCACCCGCCAAAAGAAAAACAACCGCCAAAATGGAAGTAATACCCCTCATCCTCCGCTTCATCCAGCTCATCTTCCTCATCATCCTCACCGGCCTCATCGGCAACGTCATCGCCCTCGATGTCGACGCCTCCACCACCGCCCGCGCCGCCATCAACTTCACCATGTTCGTCATCGCGCTCTCGTGGGTGGTCGCTCTCTTTGGCCTAGTCGCCGCCCTTTTCCAGAGCGTCGCCATTCCGCTAGTCATGCTCATTTTCGACGCCGCCGCCACGCTCTTCACCGTCATCGCCGGCATCGTGCTGGCGGCCAAGCTGGGTGCTCCGGACTGTGGAAATCTTGCGAATGATCACTATGGACATAAATGGATCGCGTACGGGAGTGCCGATGATGCGAAGAGGTGCAGAGAGATTCAGGCGGGGACAGTGTTTATGTGGTTGCTTCTTGCGGCGTTCTCGGCAGCGTTGACGTTGGCGATTATGAGCTGGAGGAGGACGGGCGGAAGCGTGAGGAGCGGGCCGACCATGTCACAGGTGGTCGTCTAAGGCGGTCGGGGAGATGGAGTGGTGGTGGTGGTTGGAAACCTTGAGAGAGTGCTCGAGAAGAGTGTTGAAGAAAGCTGGAGAGCCTGGATAGTTTTGGTGTGCTTGGATGGTATGAATAGGGTTATGGCATCAAAGATGAGTTGTGGTGACGGATGGCTATTCGCTTCATCATGGGTGTGTGGTGTCGCAACCCCTCGACAATTATACCTAGATCAGTGTAATGACATAGTGATGCCTTGGGTTAATATGGCGAACGAGGAAAGGAAGATCAGAACCTGCATGTTATATAGTATCAGTCGAACCTAAAGTCAGCAATAGTAATTGGTATAATTGGCATTGTCTGATGATCAGTATCTGCAGAGCCTCAACGCTTGCTTCCACGAGTATAATGACAGTCCACATGCATTCTACACATGTCTGTGATTCTTCACCACCAACGCAAACTGTGCAAGAACGAAACATACCCCTTTATGCTAGTGTTCCCATACCGTAACGCCAAAAGAGCACTATGTCCACCCCTGGTATCCCAGATTATACCGAAAAAAGTAGGGTATCGAGAATTGTGCTGCCGTCGCCTTTGACTCGAGTACCTCATTACCACGGTCGCCTATCTGCCTCCCTCATACTGATACTGGCGTAGCAGCTCCTATCCAACCGGCAATGTTGAATAGCGTCTTGTTATACCATTGGACCTTGACCCCGTGCGCCCACTCCATGTACCGTCCCCAACCTGCCGGGCCATGTTAGCAACTGACTTTCCGCATCGCCGTTATTGTCTCCTCCCACAGCGCAAGCTGTCTTTCCCAAAATCTGTCTGGTATGGTTTGTCTTACTCCAATAAGCAAACTTGCGCCCCAAAAACTTGCCCGCGAACGGTATTAGCACCAAGTTCAAGAGAAGCTGCAGCTGCTCGAGACTCTGTTCCCATTCCTTTTGTGCGTCTGATTCGTCGTCGTACTGGGAGTCGTCCGAGCCTAGGATACTGCTGGAGATGGACGGGAGGGAGTCGACATCGTCGTTGTCGGTTGAAGGGGAGTGGTCGTGGAGGACGTAGGAATCGGAGGGGGTGGACATGGTTTTGGATGTCCCGAATGCGGAATTTGTCTATCTGAGGGTATCGCGTCTCTGGTCGGGAGTACCTCTAGGTAAGGCAGCTATCGTCGGTGCGGTTTGGATGAGGCGAGCAAGTGGTCGGCGCCGGCGCACGGTCGGTTGTCGCGGTGAAGATGGCAGGTAGCTATCGTAGCTCGGGCAAGTCGCGATGATGGTTCGGAATGGAGACACTGTACGAATCGGCGTAACGCCTGGCGTGTAGGATATTGTAGAAATCGCGTGGGACGAACTTGATTGCTGCTGGGAGATTCGTTGTCGGTTACGAACACGGCGATAGGTACACGGAGATGGATACCTCTACGGACTCGGCCCGCCTTCCAAGGTTCGTGATGGAGCTGGTTGTTGTCGGTGACCGATGACGGGCCACGGCACCAACTGCTGCAGCAGTGCAGCTATGCGATGCTGGAACGGACACCACTCATCGCTGCCGCCAAGCACTGCACCGGACTGCAAGTGCCAGTGCCAACCCCAACGGTGTCGGACTGTGCGGCCGTGGCTCGAGCGGGTTGAAGGCACCGTGCTGTAGCCAGGGCTGCATGGCCTGGAAAATGGAGAAGCGGAGGCAATTTGTATTTGCAAGTGGCGGGCAGCTGTCTGAGCTCTATCCACCCCACTTGTCAGGTGAATAAGAAGACTGACTCACAGTTTCGCTTCAATCAACGTCATGAGGTGAACACAGCTGAGGTGTGGTGCCGGCGCCCCATCCAGAGCCGTGTGTACAGAAAGAACTCCGCTCAGTCTCCAGCCCAACGACAGAACTAAGGACAGCAGCCTTGAGCCTACGCTACCTGACCAGGACCCAAGCATCCAACTCCCCGCAAAGAACAATTCCAGGTCCGAAACTGAAAGAAAGCTGAGATCAGTCTGCCCGCATCGATACCTCCCCCGACCCCAAAGTCTACCTAATCTCATCCATCGACAAAATCCACTCTTCGCGACCAACAAAGAGTCCACCGGAAGAGACATCGATTACAAAGAAAAAGACGGACAATCACACACAGACAGACAGACAGACAGACAGACAGACACCACCACACTCTCAAACACACCAGTGGCCCAGCATGGATTCTGAAGTAAGTACCTGGGATGGATCTCCTTGCTTCAGTACACACTCACTACCTCTACGCCCACACAACACACCCTCCGTCCTCCCCGACCCTACCACCACGCTAGAGGCAGACATCTCGAGCCCTGGGGGAGCCACGCTTCTCGGCTAGTCAAAAATAATAAGGAAATAAAAAGTCCCATTCACCACGCTGCCCTGCACACCCCTCACTGTACTCTGCTACCTACGCAGTACAATAATATCCCCGGCCCCAGCCCTCAAGTCCCCTGACGTGTACTGCCCCTCCAAGGCGCCAACCCTCTCCCTCCACCCCAGCCCAAAATCCACCATAAAGTTCTGGCACTCTGCAGCGCGAAAACGCCGCCAATCATCCCAAAAAATTCCGAGCTTTCCTATCCACACTCGACGGCGAAATCCTTGACCGCTATCGCGACTCCCACGACAAGCGCCTTATCCACTCCGAGATACTAACCCTTTAGGCGCCCTCTATCAAAAGACGCCCCTCGCGCAAGTCTGTCACCTTTACCGACGAGAAGCTAGTTGTCAACCCCGACGGTTCTGTCACCATGGACGCTTCTCCCGCCGACGAAATCAAGGAGACTGCCCAGTCCCACTCTGCTCGTACGCCGCCCCTCCACGCCGCTCTCGGGGCCTTTACTGATGCCCCCCAAGCCACCGAGCCCCAGGATGCTGCTGCTGCTGCGGCCCCCGCCGCCGATGATGGCCTCGACCTTTCGCTCATGAAGAAGAAGAAGAAGAAGGTCAAGAAGGAGGACGATGCCGACGCCGCTGCTGATGAGGCCGCCCCTGCCGAGGGTGACGGTGCTATCGACCTCACCATGAAGAAAAAGAAGAAGAAGAAGGTTGTCAAGGAGGATGATGAGTTCGCCAAGAAGCTTGAGGCTCTCAACATCGAGGGCAAGGAGGGCGAGGAGGCCGCCCCCCAGGAGGACGAGCAGGAGGGCGATATGGACCAGGGCACCGGCATTTGGGCCCACGACGAGACCAAGCCCATCAGCTACAACGCTCTTCTGTCCCGTTTCTTCGCCCTTCTCTCGCAAAAGAACCCCGACCACGCCTCTACCGGTACACGGTCGTATAAGATCCCGCCCCCGCAGTGTCTCCGTGAAGGCAACAAGAAGACCATCTTCGCCAACCTGCCCGAGATTTGCAAGCGCATGAAGAGAGCCGACGAGCACGTTACTTCTTACCTTTTCGCCGAATTGGGTACCAGCGGTTCCGTCGACGGCAGCAGGCGTCTGGTCATCAAGGGTCGTTTCCAGCAGAAGCAGATCGAGAACGTTCTGCGTACCTACATTATCGGTATGTCTTTTTGATCATGCTGTCGTTGGGACGTTTTGCGTCCAAGTAGACAATGTCGCCACCAGCACCCAACGTTTTGTTCTGATTACCAATGCTAACGTGCTCAACAGAGTACGTTACCTGCAAGACGTGCCGTTCTCCCAACACCGAGCTCTCCAAGGGCGAGAACCGTCTTTAGTAAGTTGGCCTCTGTTTTACGACGACCATCGCCCCAAATGCTGACACGTCACAGTTTCATTACCTGCAACTCTTGCGGTTCCAGGCGGTCCGTCCAGGCCATCAAGACCGGTTTCTCTGCCCAGGTCGGCAAGAGAAGGAAGATGCAGGGTTAAGCGGTTTTTGTTTTCTTGTTTCGAGACCCTTGCAGTTTGCTTTTCAATGTTTCCACGCTTCAAGGACGGAGTTAAGACGGCATTGTATATGGCTGGTTGGGCACGGGTCTTTTACGAAGTAGCACGGCCCCTCTGAACGGCAATCTCTCATCTCCAGTACACGGAGAGAGAGAATGGAAGAGAGAGTCTGTGCTACAAAATCAGGTGAATTCCTTACGCGGTAGGGTACGGGTTAATATGACGATACTTGATGAAGAATTGGTACACAAAAAGTTCTGGTTTTTGATGATGGTGGCACACTTATCCTTACTTTGCATAGGGAGTCTGACAAAGAGGAGGGCTTTCTCCTTTTCTGAGCATGTCCGATTTATATGGACGAGGGCTGCGAGATTGTATCTAGACTGATGTGGGATTCAGAAGTTCTCAGGTCATTCATAACCATGGTCAGCAAGCTAGACTGGGAGAGCAAGGAGGAGGCTGACTGAGCGCAGGATTACGAAGCGATGGATTTTGAGATCTTGCGAACAGGAATTATTCTCTGTTCTTTGCAGTATGTATAACCATTCAGCCTACCTTTATAAACTACATTAGTTATGTTATCGGAACTCAAAGTGGCAGTTGAATAAAATGATAAACCTTGATACTCCGCGATTGGCGAGAAAAAGCGGCCGCTTAGGGTTCGAAATCTCACCTTGACGCGTATACATTGCGTATACACTACGTTCCAATGTTTTGGCGGTCGATCCATGATATGCCGAGCACATGCATGATAGTTAGCTTCGGGAGAATCTTTCCCCTCCACATTTTGCATCAACAAGCCCATATAAGACGATGGGCCGCAGGCAACAACTCAACGGCTCAACCTCGTCTGTCTGTTCGATAGATTAGTAAACACTTTTCAAATCAACGCGCAACGTGACTCATCAATACTTTACCTGCTCGATTCCACTCATCACTACTTTACCTGCTCGATTCCACTCATCACTCAAGTCTTCCCCTCCATCAATCACAACCACCAGGTACAAGCCAAAATGACCATCCGCGAAACCGGCCCCAGAGGAGCCGATCATCACTCCCCCGACCCTTCTTCTCACCACCACAATGACCTCGGCCGAACCGCCCAACAGACCCAACAAGAAACGAACATGAACACAACCAGCAGCAGCAACATCAACCCTGGTCCCTCCTCTTCAGGCCAGGCCGGACTCCCCTCCACCATTCCCAGCGCCTCCTACTGGCTCCAACCCAGCGATGTTTCTCAAAGGCTTGATGATTATCGGTCTACTCCTGATTTGCCGCAGTCGGCTGATACGGTGATTGTGGGGTCGGGGATCACAGGGGCGTTTGCGGCTTGGTTCCTGTTGGAGCAGACGGGGAGGACGAAGGTTGTTGTTGGATCTGGAGCTGGAGCTGGGTCTGGAGCTGGGAAAGAAGAAGAAGAAAACAGCAACGGAGGCATCCTAATGCTCGAAGCGCGCCGACAACCCTGCTCCGGCGCCACCGGCCGCAACGGCGGACACTGCCAGCCTTATGTCTACTCGGCATCTACCCCGTCTATAGCCGAGTTCGAGCTGGCCACTTACCAGTTCCTCAAGGCCTTTGTGGAGGAGCAGGGGATTGCGGGCGTTGTGGATTGGAGAACGCTAAGGGTTGTTCATGCGTACTTGACGGAGGAGGTGTGGGAGGGGGCAAAAGCGTTGGTGGAAAAGTTGCCGGAGGGACTAAGGGACCAAGTGGATTTGGTTGATGATGAGATCAGAAAGGGGAAAGAGGGAGGAGAGACGCTGAGGGATTTGAGAGTCCCGCGGGCGAAGGGGGCGGTGGTGCAGAAGCATGCGGCGAGTTTGTGGCCTTGGAAGTTGGTGGTTTGGGTGTTGGAGAGGTTGTTGGAGAGGTTTCCGGTTAGGAATGGTAGTATGGGTGGTGAAGGGTTTAACTTGCAGACGAACACACCGGTTTTGGGATTGGAAAAACTCGGCGATGGCAGGTGGACAGTGATAACGAGCAGGGGAAACATCAGGGCGAACAGAGTGTTGTTGGCGATGAACGGGTATACGAGTAATTTGTTGCCGGAGATGAAGGACTTGATCGTCCCGGTGAGGAGCCAAGTTGCGTCGTTGCGGCCACCGAAGGATGCCGCCAGTGGGAAAGTGGCCGAGTTGGATTACAGTTATGCGTTTGTCAGTGAGGAGAAGTTTCCGAGGGATGAGTATCTCATGCAGAGACCTTTGCCCGGAGGAGAGCTAATCTACGGAGGAGCGAGAAGTCATGCGGAGAACAAGGCGGTTGGAGTGTGGCAGGATGATGAAGTCGAGCGAGGCGTCGCGACATATCTGAGACAAAACCTGGCACCATATCCGTTGGATCTGACTCTGGACAAATCTGACTCTACGCCTACGGATACCCCTAAGGAGGGAAATGAGACTACAGAACTCGAGGCGACACATCAATGGACGGGGATCATGGGATTCAGCAGAGACTCGAGTCCTTGGGTCGGACGGGTGCCGGAAAGCCTCGGCGGCGGAGAGAATCTGTATATGTGCGCCGGGTACACCGGACACGGAATGCCGCAGGCCGCATTGGCAGCCCGGATGATTGTGGAGGAGATCACGGGTAAACCATTTGCGGATGACGGGCTCAAGTTGCCTCAGGAGATGGTGTTGACTGAGGAGCGAGTAAGGTGGGTGAGGGAGAACACGAAGACGATGTTGAAAGAGCAGCAGCAGGCACCTGAATGGTCGGCTACCATGCCTGAGTTGTTGACGGCTACGGAGAGGAGAGCCTGAGCAGGGGACTTGATAATGTTGTGAACCAGTCACACCAGTCCGTCCATATGAATGTATAGAACCCAGATAAACTACAGAATTATTTTTGTGTTTCCTGTTCAGACCAGCAAACATACCTCTAACTTGTACGACATGAAGCTGATGGATGTGATCTTACTCAAGTCCGAGATTAGATACCTGCCACTTGCAGATGAGACCGAACCACCTACCTCGGACTTTGTGACGCTTACAGTCAGGACGCTCTCCTATCCTCCGCAAATATTGTTTAAACAAAAAAAGAAAACAGACATCAGAGCGGCTCATTCCGGGTCGTCGTGATCTTCCTTGTTCAGAGTGTCCAGGTGTCCCCGGATAGTTTTTGTCTTAACCGGCAAAAGCACCTGCCAAATCGGGGACGGGCTCCGTGACCCGAAACCGGGCGCCCAACTCCGATCTCCGGTGGGCCACTGAAAGTATGAGAGAGTGAGAGAAGGCCTATGCCGATGCACCGAAAGGCGGCAATCAGCGGAAGATGGGAGCCCCGGGAGCGGGGCAGGCCTGCCGGGTTTTAGTGGCTTTCGCGGAATGCTTCCAGGCAGTAGTTGCCAGGCAGCAACCACCCAATCGCCCGCCTTCCCCTCTTTGGCTCTCACTCACATCGCCGTCCTCCTCAATGTGGTGGCTGACATCAGATGAATTGATGCGAATATAGGTAATCTCTTCGATACATACACAGTAGATATTCATTGATCGCGACTTAGAAGCTTGTTATACTTTTCTCATCTGTCGTCCTTCATCCATTTCTCTCACACGAAGCTGATTCAGTTGGGTCATCTTCCCCTACCCGACCCACAACGCACAACACCACCCCCTCAAACCACCAACCCAACCAACCCCAAGATTCTTCAACCACCAAAACAATACAAAGTAAACAAACCCTCATAATTCCCAAAAGGGCCCAGTCACCATGACAAACCAAATCACCGACGAAGAATGGGCCGACATCCTCGCCCACGAACTCCCCACGCAAAATGACCCCATCCTGCAAAAGTACCACGCCGCCCGCGCCGCCCTCATCGCCGAAGAGCAGAAACAGCGCTCCGACCACGTCTTCCGCCAATCCCTCTCCCCGCTCGCCCGCCGGGCTTGCTCCATCGTCTCCCGCATCCGGCTCGAGGAGCAAAAGGCCATCTGGACGCCCGACCTCGAGGAGCAGCTGGCGCGCAAAGAGGAGAACAACGGCATCATCATTCATCCGGGCATGATGTTTACGCTGGCCAAGGAGACGATGGAGGCGACCAAGCTGTGGAGGATTGTGCGAAAAATGCCCAAAGGGGCGCTGCTGCATAGTCATTGTGATGCCATGGTTGACTTTGATTTTTTGTTGGGCGTGGTGTTGGAGACGGAGGGGATGGGGATCGCGACGCCCGAAAGGGGAGGGCTGGGGACGGAGGAAAGAAGGAGGGAGGGCGAGGTGGTGGTCAAGTTTGTGGGGGAACTGGAGAGGAAAGTGGATGCAAAGTCCATATGGGCTGGTGAGGAGGAGGGAGGAGGAGGATATGAGCCGGGGACGTTTATCAATTTGGTGGAAGCCGCGGATGCGTTTCCTGAGGGAGGGAGAAAGGGGTTTTTGCAGTGGTTGAAGAGTAGGTGTATTCTGAGCCAGACGGACGCGATTGAACAGCGACATGGGTCGGCGGAGATTTGGAGGAAGTTCATGAGGTGCTTCGGTGTGATTGGGTCCATGCTGCATTATGAGCCTATTTGGAGAAGGTTTTTAAGACGGTTGTTGCAGCAGTTGGTGGAGGATGGGGTTTATTGGGTTGAGGTTAGGTGAGCTACCTCTTTCTCCTTGATCATGTCTGTCTGGCTTGTGAGGTGGCCAGGAAAAAAAAAAAACGTCATCTGAGGCCTCATCGGCATCAACTTGTTTGGTAGGTCTCCATGGACTAACATTCGTAGATTCGCCTGGCAACTCGACTACTGCCGCGAAGGCTGCACCACCCCCGAGCCCGACTACACCGCCATGTTCAACGTCATCGAAGAAGAAGTCGCCGCCTTCAAGGCCACTCCCGAAGGCTCCTCCTTCTGGGGCCTCCGGATGATTTGGACCACCGTCCGCGCCTTTGGGCCCCGTACCATCATCCAGTCCATGAACGACTGCATCGCTACCAAGATCAACTTCCCCCATCTCATCGCCGGCTACGACCTTGTCGGACCCGAAGACGCCGGCCGCCACCTTACCGATCTCCTACCGGAACTCTTCTGGTTCAGAAAGCAGTGCGCAGCCGAGGGCGTGGAGATCCCCTTCTTCCTCCACGCCGGAGAAACACTAGGAGACGGTGACGTCGTCGACCACAACCTCTTTGACGCCCTGCTCCTGGGAGCAAGGAGGATTGGCCACGGCTTCTCACTGTATAAGCACCCGCAGCTGATCAAGGCCGTCAAGGACAAGCGCGTGTTGATCGAGAGCTGTCCGATTTCCAACGAAGTGCTGCGGTTGACGGGCAGTATCATGCAGCACCCGCTTCCCGCGCTCTTGGCCAGGGGCGTACCGTGTGCCCTTTGCAATGACGACCCGGCAATTCTGGGTCAGGACATGGCGGGCATGACGCATGATTTCTGGCAGGCGTTGCAGGGGTGGGAGAACCTGGGTCTGGCTGGGTTGGGCTCGTTGGCGGAGAATAGTGTGAGGTGGGCGGCGTTTGAGGATCAGACGGCGGATGAGTGGGCGAGGGATGTGAGGGAGGCAAGTATGGGCAGTGGAACCAAGGCGGAGAGGTTGAAGCAGTGGGCTGTGGAGTGGGAGAAGTTTTGCGTGTGGGTGGTGGATGAGTATGGAGATGAATATGGTGGTGATGAGGCGTGAGTGCGGATGGGATGGGCTGCCTCAGAAGAGTTGGCGATAGACAAATCGGGGCTGTTTGGCGATAACTAAAGTCAGTCTCAATATGGTTACTCAAGTTCTTAGACTTGGCAAAATATACAATGAACGTTCAAACCCCAATTTTTTGGGGCCTTGAGCAAACCATTGAATGCATATTGCAAATGGTTGACAGCCAAACTCGGTCCTATTTACCTACATTTGCCAGCCGATATCCCCATACGACTCATCACACATCTCAGTTCATACCTATATAAACACTATCCTCGTTCAAACAGACACACCGCCCCGTCTACGATTACATACGACCATAGGCACTTGAGAAAACTCGGGATCCCGTCCGCTCTCCGATCGATAAGCCAGTGACCGCCAGGCCAGTAGTCGGCTCGGTGACGACCGGCGAATCACCTGGTGTTGTATGTTGCTTCCTTTTTTTTTTCCTTCCCTTCTTACTCCATCTTAATTTTATGAGTTGAGGAAGTGGCATGTCATCCGCTGCATTCGCTAGATGAACCACTAAATCAGAACCGAATCAGTTGAACTTCCATGCGTTCATATTGCCAAAAACTTCTTTGCTTAGTCCTGATGTCTAGGTATCTATGGAGCTTATAACTACTTGTATACTTATCAAAACCTATTCCTCCCCAAAAACATCCTCATCGCCCCTCCCCTCTTCACTCCATCACCACCACCACCACCAACCATCGGTACACCACCAAACACACCCGCCGCATCATCATTTTCTCCCGCTGTCACTGCTGCTGCTCCCACTTCTCCATATCCAGCAGCACCAACCACATCCTTCCCGCCCAACCTCTTCACATCCCTCACCACCCTCCCCGCCCTCGCCTCCACATCCCTAAAATACAACTCCTCCCCTCTTCCCCCTTGGGCTTCCACGCCCCCAAAGGTAAAAACCTGCTTGGAATCTCCAGACCCAGTACTATTCTTCCCATCCCCAGTCTGCTCATACCACGCCTGCCCCTCCTTCTTCGTCTCCAGCCTCGACTCCTTGTATCTAGGACTCTTCCCCTCCCCATTAAATGCCACAGTATCATAGTCCGGAAACGTCATCTGCCCAGAGACGACAACCGTCTTTCCCTGGATCAAGTGCCCCGATATACTCAAGTTCCCTTGGGGCGAAACGGAGTAGGTGCTGTTGGCAAGTAATGGAAATGTGTAGCTTGTTTCATAGTCGTGAGTGGAAGAGGAGGAAGACGACGACGACTCGGAGCCGGAGATGAGCATGTCGTTGAATTGATTATAGCCCTGTGCTGAGACGAGACCCTTGTTGGTGTAGCTGAGTGTTTGGGTCCATGTTACCAAGGGGGAGCGGACGCGGAGGGAGCGTTTGACGGATGTGGTGTAGGTGATGGATTCTGGGGTTGAGGAGTTGGAGGAGGAGGGGGGAGCGCGGATGGAGGAGACAGTGATGAGGGGGGTGAGACCGTCGATGGTGGGGAGTTTGTTGTCATTGTTGTTGTTGTTGTTGTTGCTTCCGATGGAGTTGGAGTGGGAGTGGGAGTCGGTCCAGATGAAGATTTTTCCCGTGACGTACCACGATTCGTTGACGTGGTCTGTTAGGACTGCATTGTGGCCAGAGGAGGACGAGGACGCGGTGTCGTTGATGCCGGCGATGCGGATGGTGAATTCGTGAGGTTTGCCGTCGGTGAGAACGGCTAGCCAGGGGGTGATGTCGATTTCGTGTTCTTTCAGGTCGAAGGCTTCGATGCCGGCGATGGGTCGATGCAAGGAGGGAACAACGCCGCCGGTGAAGATGACGGGGAAGGGCCAGTAGACGCCGGCTAGGTGGCCGTCGATGAGGATTTGGACCTCGCGGAAGGGCGAGTAGCCGGGGAGTTCGCCGACTGTGTCGGAGAAGGCGTTGGTGTCGCTTTGAAGGACATTGGACCACCAGAACTCTTCGTTACCTTGGCCGTTGGCGGAGACAGAGAAGACGGCGCGGCGGGCGTTGAGTGGAAAGTCGGAGATGGTGTTGGTGGCGTTTTGAGTGGGGAGGGTGAACTGGCTGACGGCGTTGTTGGCGGACTGCCGGGCAGAGATGGGGATAATGAGGTCGCTGGGAGGAGCGGCATTGGTTGCGACGTCGCTATAGAAGAAAGTGGCTGTAAGAGTGGTGTTGAAAATGCCGGTGTACTTGTCGTTGACAAGGTTGCCTAGATCAAAAATGATCTTTTGCTTCTGTTGCCAGAGGGAAAGGTACTCGGTCATGTCCTTGAGATATTCCCATCGAATTCCTGGCGGCGCCACCGGTTCAGCGGTTGAAGTTCTCCCTGATACGAGTTAGCTGTTTTTTTTCTTTGGGTTTCGGTACTGTGATGATTTCAGGTGTCCATGTGCTACATGAAGAAGAGGCTCTGCTCTGCTGTTCATGGGTGTGGCAGGAAGCACTCACAAACTTCGGTATCACCAAGGTACATCAATGCCAGGCGGTCGTACTGTCTCCCCTCACTGACAACGGTGAAGTTCATCACAATTCGGTTAAACTTGCAACTAGGTGGCGTGTAGTCTCCTATATCACGGTGAAACAGCAATGTCAGAAAATTGGTCAAAGGAGATCTTCTGTTTGGATATGGTCCAGCTCACCGATGTACGGAACTCCATAGCTGAAAGCAAAGTCATGGCGCATCAACAACACAGTACATGCTTCCTGAGTTGATCCAGCTGGAATGGGTGTTGTTCCATCGCTATCAGCCGGGCCATAAGGCATCAATACTGGCGGCGCAACCTCAAAGTTTCTCAGGACCGTTTTCTCCGCGGCAGCAGACGAAGTTGTGACGGATGACTGAATTTGCCTTGCTTTTTGCTGTGATTTGAGAAGGTCGAGAGTTGCTGGTTCGGTAGGATGGAGGCCTTCAACCTGATGGCCATAAGTTCCATTTGCCGTTGAGAGTTGCTCGTGGATATCGGATATCGGGCATGACGGTATACCAAGGACATGGAAGACAAACCCCGTAACGAAGAGTGAAGCAAAGAGCCACATGACTGACAAGAGAACCCGTCGTGTTCGGGCTTGCTTGACTGAGCGAGGAATGAGTTCTTCCCTCATGACCACCAAAGGCCGCTTCTCAATGTCCGCAGAAGCCATGTTCATTGTGCCGTAGGTTCCGCTGCGAGGAACTACCGATGTCGAAGATCTTAAGCCATGGGCTGTTGAGACTGAACCGGCGGGGTTGCCGGGGTATAAAAGAGGACGGAGGAACTGTCCTTGATCGCTAACCGTGTTCGCCATGGTACCTCGCGGGAGCGGTCGATGGTGTTACCACCTTCTCAAACTAGAAAGAAGCTTGGCTTGACTGTAGATATAGTCTCGACGAATGTGGCAGGCCAATAGGAACATCAATGGTGCGATACCACCCGGGACGCCGGCACCGCAACGGAACAATCTAACACCTGACTGGCTTGTGTGCTTTCGAGCGGATCGGCGAGGGGATGAAAAGCCATGTAAATTGCGTGCATGAGGTGGTGTTGATGCTCGTGTCTGGTCCGTGCGCTTCTCGCATATGATCGACCGTTGTCAGTTGCGGCTGCAGTGTATTGATACAACGAGTGATACACAATGTGACAATGTAAACAACATGGTGGCACGTAGAATTCCAAACAGCATACTTTCTACCTCGTTCCTCCAACGGGTGGGTAATGACCTAAGCGTGTACAAGTACTACAATGCAAGGTTCAGTATGGTGTTGTCCGGATTATGAGAAAGGGGATTCTTATTTATGTGCAATGCAACCACCACCTACGGAACGCCAGCCTCCAAACAAGGGATATACAACTGAAAGATGAACATGAAGGAAAGATTGAGAAGTTGAAACAGGGTATCCAAGGCAAGGTAAGCACTTTTTTTTTCAAGGCTTCTTGACAACGGTCTTCACCTTCTTTGTGCCGATCTGGTAGCCCCAAGACCTGAGAACCTTGACGACCTTGGGAAGGATAGCAGCCGTCAGAGGGACTCTGATAAAAATGAAGCTCTTGTGGATTGCGTACGCCAGAGCAAGCTGGGTGGCCAAGCCTGAGAAGGAGACGGTCAGCATATGTGCCCATTGGTGTGGTCCGAGGGACATTGTTTTGCAAGTACTTACTGGCTCCAGCTTGCTTGCTCCGCTCCTCAGCGGCCTCAACACCCCATCCGACCTCAGGCTCCTCGCCAGTGCGTTCCCGCTTGTTATCCTTGTAAGCCGTCCGATACTTGTGCCAGAAGTCTTGGACGTTCTGGGGGATGACTGTTTGGAACCACGACACCACGACATGCTCGATGTGGGCTGAAGAGTACCGAGACGTCAGTTTTTGTTCACTTTGCCGATAATCCAAGTCAAACTTACCAATCTTCTCGGTGCCGACGGTGCGCACGAGCAGGAAGCAGAAAGGGAAGTCTAGCACGCTGAGAGCGAGATAGACTCCGACAGCAGTCCAGCCGTACTCCTTGGACAGCTTCTTCATCTTGGCGCTAAATCCGGTCGGCTCGGGCTCCTTCTCCTTGGCCCTGGCCTTCTCCTTGGCTCCCTCGTTCTCCGACGACTTGTCAGACCGGCGCGACCTCGACGACTGGAATGGGCGTCTTGACGACGTGGTAAACTGCTTGGGCTGCCCGGCTCTCGATGCCTGTCTGATTCTGGCCGACAAGCTCGCGTACTGGAACCGTGGTGTCGCTGCGCTCTTGGTAGAGATATGCTGCGCCCATGTCCGAGCCACTGTGGTGTCCCTAGAAACCCCCCGGAAGATGGCGCCTCCTCTAAGGAGGGTCTCGGCAGCTCCGTACCCTGTCCTCAACATGATGATGATCTAAACGGTACGTGGCAGGAATCGGTCGGTCGTGGTCGGTCGCAGAAACGTCGCAAGGTGGCCCAAGCTCCAAGTCTCAAGCTTCTTGAGCTTCGAGGGATCGCTTCGTACAATGCTAGTCTCACTGAGGGGAGTCTAAGGATTATGGATGCGGGTAGACGCCGTCGCCAACAAGCTGGTGCTTGATCGAATTCGAGATGGTTGACCTAGCCGTGCCTGTTTCCGCGGTAGAAAGACGAACGCGTAATCGATCGAGAACTACGACAAGTATCTCCAAAGGCTCAAAGGGGCAGCAGGAGAAGTTTGGGTTGAGGAGATGGAGGGAGGCGTATCGGCTAGGTCAAAGAGAAATCCAGTCGGGGATTTCCTCGTTGCATGGGCTGACGATATCGCAAGGGGTCACGCAACGGCTCTTATTTTATTTTCCTCGACTTCAGTTTCTAGAAGTTCGCGGACCTCTTTGGGTTGCATGTGAGTGATGCAACCAAGTCGTTGCGGCAGGCAGCGCATCATTCCACTACATCCCATTGGTCAATCGACATCCGTCTCTGCCCGGTCAATGTTGGATCCATGACCCCGCCATCTCGTTCCGGCAGGCAACAAAGCTCAGTGCTGACGAGTCTCACCACGGCAGGCCGTTGAGGCCGCTAATGGTATCGCCCCAAGGAACCTCAAAACAACTCAGCCTCTTCAACTTCTTAGCTTACCAACAGAGAGACTTGTCATTCGGCCTTTCGAGCAATACTATTACTTGATTTTCGCCCTACTTATCGACCACTCAATATTCATGGACATTCCAAGCCACGAGTCGAGGCATTATGTGGCTGATATGGTTCTTTGAAAGCCATCGATGGAGTTGCTGTTGGTTTAGGAAGCGTTCGGTGATCTGATCTGATGGGTTCAAACTATTCACGTCCGCACTGACCATTCATCACCTTATCGCAGAGTAAACAAACTTCCCCTTTCGTTCAGGAGCTGAACATCGAAGGCTATGAGCGCAAACAGAACTTTGTGAACCTTCTTCACATGTTCTCCCACTTTGTTTCCAAACATTCATTCCTCTTCGACGCCCAGCGTGTCTCTCGACTTTGGTGAGCTAGAATTGGGATTCGCCATCGGAGATCCGAACAGGACCCTGCTGAGCCTGTAAGACTTGGCCGCCAATCACGTTCCTCGGTTCCCTCTGTAAGCGCCCTCGTCCCGCGCTTGCACTTATTGCTCCATGGCCCCATGAAGACAAGACGGCGCTCTTCCCTTCCTGTCATCTTCAAGGCCCATTGATTGGGCACTTCATCTTCTCCATACACCATGAAGCTTGAATTAGAAAGCAGCCCGCACCACAGCCGCTACGGCGGACGCGCAACGAGAGGCCATCTGGGGCGCTGTTCAGTCCCCTGCTACACTAGGGTAGAGCTGCTCAGGTACCAGTGGCACCCTTCAATAAAATGGGATGAGTCTGGACGCCGACTTGACGTCCGCGTCAGATGCTTTTTCCTGCGGTTCCTTCTTCTCTCCCGATTTCTGAGTCCGTGAATCCGTGTGAACCTTTTTCTTTTGAATCGGCTTCTCACCAAAGTTATCTCTATTTTCTGTTGATGGTCTCACAAACTCGGGCAACACAAGTGATCTGCAGTCAGCTTCTTTTATAAGTGCGGGGAATCCATCGAGTTTACTCCAAAAGTTCCCATCGAGACTTGGCGAGGTTCATCAAGACAAGGACCATTCCTTCAACAAGCTCAAAACTATCTGAGAAAAGATTCGTGTGTTCGAGCAAACAAACAATCAATATGTCTTACTATCCTCGTGAGTATCAGACGCTCTTCGTTATTGTGATATGATAAAGCTAACCAGTATGTCAGCCCCTCCTGGAGCATCCGGTGCTGGAGGTATGTTCCAATCTTGAAAAGCGGATGGAACGGTTGATACTGACGAGGACAACAGCCCCTGCTCAACACAGCTACCCACCTCCTCCCATGTCTGCTCCTCCAACCCAGACAAAGTTCTCTTACCCATCTCCTCCGACCACCCAGCAGCAAGGAAGGCATTATCCTCCTCCTCCTCAGTCCGCCGGCTCGTCTGCCACGCCGCCGCCCAAGTCATCCACTCCTTCGTACCCCTTTCCTCCTCAGCAGCAGCAGCAACAGCAGCAACAGTATCAACAACCACCACAACAACAATTCTCCCCACCACCGGCCCAACAGTTTTCCCCACCACCGACTCAACAACACCAGCAATATGCGCCACCGCCAGCCCAGCAGCAAGTGCAGCAACCGCAGCCTCAATACGCGGCTCCCCCAGCCCAGCAGCAACATCCTCCAACCGCCCTCCCTCTGCACATGAGGACCGATTCCAGCGCCTCCCGAACTTCTGCCCACACCCCTCCTCCTCAGCAACAGTTTGCCGCTCCTCCGCCGTATGCTCAAGGCGAGCAGCAGCCCCAGCAGCAGCCGCAGCAGCCAGCACCCACACAACCGGTTGGTCTGGGGTTGAGCACTTCGGCAGCGGCTGCCATTACTGGTGCACCCGCCGCCGGACAGTTTTCCGGTGTTAGTGCGGTGTCGGATGACGTGGGAACGTTCAATGGTGGCAGTTACCGTATCAGCCATCGGGATTGCAATACTATTTTGACTGTGCAGTTGGCGATTGGTTGCCCGTTGGATGCTAAGCCGGGTATGCTTCCTCTCTTGAAATTCACTCCATAGGTGTATCCAAATGAGTGTGTATTTGGCTAACAGTCTTTATCTTATTTTCGCACAGGATCAATGATTGCCATGTCCCCCTCCGTCTCCCTCAAGGGAGCCTACAAGTTTAGCATGAAGAAACTAGTCGCCGGCGGCGAGATGGGCACCTCAACTTACACCGGTCCGGGTGAGTTGCTTTTGGCCCCTGCCATGCTCGGCGATATCACGAGTCTCCGTCTGGATGGCTCCCAGACCTGGTCTGTCAGCCACGACGGATACCTTGCTTCGACGCAGAACGTCACCAAGGACTATAAGCGCCAGGGACTGGGAAAGGCCATGTTCTCTGGTGAGGGATTGTGGGTGTACAAGATTAGTGGCACGGGGCTGTTGTGGCTGACGAGTTTTGGTGCCATTGTTCGGAAAGATGTGAGTTATCAGTTGTCTGAAGTCCGAGTGGAAGGGTGCGGGTTGCTAACAGAGGAGACAGCTGGCGGACGGCGAGAAGTACATTGTTGACAACGGCCACTTGGTCGCATGGAATACCAAGTACATTCTGGAGCGTGTTGCTTCCGGCGGCTTACTATCGGGCTTCGCTTCTGGCGAAGGACTGGTGTGCAAATTCACTGGTCCTGGAACAATATTCATTCAGACAAGGAATGCGGTTCGTTAAATCCTACACCAGCTTGATACGTTTGGACATGACATGAACTAACTTTCATAAAGACAGCCTTTAGTGCGTTTATGACTGGTCAGACAGCAAAGGCCTAGAACTGGATCAAGACGTAGGAGTTGTATGGGAGATTGATACCTGTGGCGGTCGCATTTGAGGCTGTGAACCTCGCATCACTTGATGTTCTTTCATTTGGTTTATTTTGGGTTCGTTAGCGATGTCATGTCGGCTTTGAGATGTGTTCGTGAATAGTTAAAATGTCACTATCAGTGAACCATGAGCCTCTTGTCCTGTCCTTAAACTAAGAAGCTTGACAACTTCGTTTCCGCTTGGCAACCTGTCGATCCGCCCTGAATGAGGTTTGAAAAACAGGCGACATGAGCCTGGCTCTCCACAAGAGTGATATAGAAGATCCCACCGGGGGAAGATAGACTGAAAAACTATGAACAGTGGAAAGAAAGTCCAAGTTTGCGAGTAAAAGGGTCTTCGGTGACCGGCTGGCTCTCTAGGGTTAGGGTCAAAGCAGCATCGCGCCCAACTTCGCGGACAAAATCAAGCCTGTGATTGGCCAGCATTTTAATTGATTTTGAAAGAGCTGCGCGTCAAAGTAACTTTAGACGCGTCTCCCAGACCAACATCATCCCCAGTCCACGGCTTCCGACCGACAACCTCCCACGTCAGAAAGCCAGAAGGACAGTCCTACCAAGTCTCCATCATGCTACGATCAAACGTCAGTCGCATCGACCCCAAAAGGCGAAACGTACTCGACCACCGCAAGAAACAATTCGCAGAAGCCGCCTACAAGGACACCGATTATCCCCATCGGCTCAACTTCTACTCGACCCCTCCAACAGCCGACATCACCATTGAGCAGTTTGAACAATGGGCCATCGACAGGTTACGAAGTATGCATCATACCACGCTCATATCCTCATATCTCAGTGATTTACAATATTGCCCGTGCCTCTAAACGCTAATTAACCTCTTTCTTATCATAATCCAGTCCTCGCCGAACTCGAAGCATGCTCCTTCCGTAACAAAACCCCCGCCGAGACGGCCTCGCACATGAAACCCTTACTCGACAAGTACCTCCCGCTCGACACCAACAGCTCCTCCTCCTCCCAGCTCTTCGCTCAGCGGCAAAAGGACCACTACAGCCACTTCATTCTTCGTCTCGCTTTTGCATCCACAGAGGACCTCCGACGCCGCTTCACCCGCGTCGAAACCATGTTATTTCGCATGCGCCTGAACGCCGACGACGGGCGCGAGCGCGCGGCGTTTATCAACTCGCTTAATCTCGACTGGGAGACTGTTTCGGATGAAGAGAAGCGCGAACTAGCTGCCGAGTTGGCAGCGACTGCCTCCTTCGGCGGCTTTAAAAAGGGACAACAGCAGCAGCAATACGAAGAAGACCAACAAACATGGTGCAAAGTCTCGTGGCTCCGCGTCCCCGAGCTGGTCGAACAGCGGCGTGTCTTTCTCCGACAAGGCTACGCCTACGTTCCCGCGCGCGAACAGCAGGCGATGGTCGTTTCGGAATTCTCGTCCCGGTTGGAGCGACAACTCGAGTTAACCGCCCGCGCCCTTCCCAGACTAGACGAAGACGACCGCTTGACGCCCATCCTGGCACACTTATCCAAGAACTTCATCACCCCCGACGCTTCGTACGTGGGTACTTCATCTGCCATCTCCTCGGCGGATATCTCAGCGCGGAACATCGACACGCTGGTGAACAACCACCATTTCCCCGCTTGCATGTCCCATTTGCACCGCACCCTGCGGCGGGACGCGCACTTGAAACACTACGGTCGTCTACAGTACACCCTCTTTTTGAAGGGCATCGGCCTCAACCTCGAGGAATGCTTGTTGTTTTGGCGACAGAGTTTCAACAAAATCACCGACGACACGTTCAACAAAGAGTACCGGTACAACGTGCGACACACGTACGGCGACGTGGGCGGCGACAGCAATCGGCGCGGAGGCGGCTATTCGCCATATTCGTGCCAGAAAATCCTAACGGAACATCCGCCCGGACCGGGTGAGGCGCACGGGTGTCCGTATCGACACTTTAACATGGAGAATCTGCAGACGCTGTTGCAGCAGGGGATGGGGGTGACGGATCGCGGGGTGTTGAATGGGGTCAAGGAGGATAAGGAGAAGCAAAAGTTTCATATGGCTTGTAATCGGTATGTTTTCATTCGTATTGCTGCTGCTCTCCTGACGCTGCTGGACTTGAGCAGTGAATTAACGCTGATGTGGGATACAACACAGGGTATTCGAACATCTTCACAAGGAAGAACTCAAAAAGGCCAAGGATGAGGGTATCATGACTGCGGCGCAGCTTGAGACTATTGTCCACCCCAACGAGTACTTCAAGCGGAGTTATCTGCTCAAGAATATGGGCAAGATGCAAGGGGATGTCAAGATGGAGGGTTGAAAATACCATGCATGGTTGATGCGGACGAGCTTGAAAAGAGGTTTGATGTGGAAATATGGATGGGCATGGGATGTGGGACCCGGGTTTCTTTCTGTTGTAGTATTTTCTGGCGTTCAGGCGACATAGCGACGGCATGACACTCGTACAAGTTCACTCACACACACATGTATGGGATATGATTTGATGAACATTTAACTTGATCATATTCAACATGTAGATTGATGGTTCTGACATGCGATCCCATAACACGAGTACAGCAGACACCAAAAGAACTAGGCAACAGATCACAGGGAATTAAAAGGTGAACAGAAAGTGGTGAGAAATGGGTATCAATTGTTTATTCGTTCTACTGCGGCAATGGCTTCCTGAAGCGACCCTGCAACCAGCAACGGTACATCTTGAGCTTCTTTGCGCGGTTGACGAGCAATCTACGATCGACACCAAGGTCCTCAATCACGAAGCGGATGTCAGGCTCAGAAGCGTCCTCGACCTCACTATCCTTGGTGAACAACTTGCCCGACCAAATATCGGCTAGCTCGTCTTGCTCAAAGAAATAGACGCGAGTGCCATCACCACGAATGTAGAAGTTCTCGTCCAGATAACGACCCTTCTTGAAGCGGACCTGAGCCAGGTCTCCTCTTCCATAGTCACGGAAGCACACTTCACCGCCGGGCTTGAGCACACGGTAGACATTCTCGACGGCCTTCTTCCACTGCAACGGGGACAATGCAGAGAAGATAAACACCATGAGGGCGACGTCGACCGAGTTCTCCTCAAGGTGAGGGGGCAGCTCGTCGCCGGCCACGTCCCACACATCGGCCTGCATCTGGTCCGTGTTGTAGGCCTCGTGCGAGCGCATGACCTCGACGGCCTTCTTGGAGAAATCACAGGCGTGGATCTTCAGTTCGGGGTTCTTGTTCTTGGACAGGATGGGGAAGGCTGTGTTGCCCGCGCCAGCTCCTATTTCGAGGAGGGTGCAGGGGCCGTATCCCTCAGAGGTGACCTTGTCCAAGATGGGGAACTCTTGCTGAAGCCACTTGCGATCCTTGAAGAAGTTGGCGGTGTTGTTCTTGTAGAACTGGTTCCACCACTTTGCAGGGTCCGAGTTGAACCGATCTGTTGCAGGCAAGTTGAGTTAGCAGACTGCTCCAAGATCTGAAAGTGCAAACAACTTGTGGTGCGTTCAAAAAACCCAATGGTTAAGGGCAAAATCAGATGGGAGCGAAAGACTATAAAATACGTAGTTGTCTTCATGAATAATTCAGATGAACTATGCTTATGATTGTAAATCATCACGGAAGCCCAAGAGAGTGGTGCAATGGGTATGAACCCCTCTCTTAGCGTGAACCATTGGGGAGAGTGAGGTATGGAAGATGGATGAGTGGTAACTCACGCTTATCAAAGTCCGAGACGGGCGCATTGCGCTGCATCTCGTACTGCTGTTCAGCATACTCCTTGTATGCGTCATCAGTCTCGACATGGTCCCACGCGTTGAACTCAAAGACGTCGTCCTGCTCTTGCAGATAGCGAGATCCGAACTGAAACGGGTCGCTGCGCTTTTGGTTGAACTGGGGATCGTGGGACCGGTGGGGAGGCTGTTGTTCCTCTTGCTGCTGCTCAGGCTGCTGTTTCTCCTCGGCTATTTCAAGCTTGGAGATCTGGGCAGTGAGCTGCTGCTCGGGCTGCTGTTGTTGTTCATCGACGACAACCTGCGCCTGGTCAGAGGCGACAGGAGCGACGACGCCATTCGATGCCATGGCGAAGGACAATGTTGGAGGATCCTGGTTAGTGCACTGGTAAAAAGATGCAGCTAACAATCACCACTGGTCATTGAATGGCACTGGCTTTGTTGAAAGGTTGACGCAGCATATCGTGCTGGTTCTTGAACCGCGGAGGGAACGAAGAATGAAGAGGAGAGGAGAGGAGGGGGAAAAGATTTGCAAATTCCGAAACGAGAAAAAGTACAAAAAATGGTCCAGAGCCTGTGGAGCCAATTGGGTTGTGGAGGGGGCCCACCCAACTTTACACTCAGTGGGCACAGCTCCGATTGCCTTATCCTTATCTACCCCTAACCCTGATTATCCATTGTCGCATCAAGGAGCTGTCCTTCGCTCGCCCCCGAATTCGAATCTGGAGATAACTCGCAGTCAAAGGCTTGAAAACAAATAAAACCAAGATCTTGACGCTGGAATGAGACCAAATGTGTAAATTAGATACGATTTATTGTTTTTTTTCCTCAACTGAACCGTTGGACCTTCGAGTCCCGCAGCAGCTGCCGTACCTTCCCTACGACTCCTTCATCCGATCTCAACCTCAACGCTAATGACCATATAAGGGACCTGGTTGGTCCTTAATTCCAACAACAACCGCTTGGTCAGATGGCACAACGGTCTACCGTTTGAGTTCTCAAAACTCAAAAGCCTATTGCCTGTCCGGATCGGGAACGGTGTGCTAAGATACGAAAAGGGGTCTTCACATCTAGTAGCCGGTCTACCTATATGGTATCTGGGAACGCTCCAGTCGACAGAAGAAATCAAACGGTTCACCGATGCTCTGACCGGGCGGTTGTTGTTTTTTGCTCCTCTCCTCTCTTGCTTGGAGACAGGTGATGCGTTCGAGCCAGTCGTCGATCACTTTTTTTGGCTTCTTTAAATTCATTTGAATACTACCGAACACATTTCAGTCGAGTATTTGTCGACACTAAGCAGTCTCCTTGCCCTTTCCCGCACGCTCCTCCCTCTTCTTCTCGATCCTCTCAAGCTCCATATCGATCCTCTTGAAGCTCCAGCTCTTCCAGAAGGGAGGATACAAGAACGGTCTGAGGTCAAATCTGTTGTCATCCGGCGCTATGATGGGGTCAGCACGAGGTGATTCGACAACTGGACCATGGTAAGAACTTACAGTAATCATTGCAATGCAATGCGGGAGTCAAAGTGGTCATCTTATGCCTGTTGATGGCATAAAAGTGGAAAAACCTCTTGACCTTCTCGGCAACCTGTCTGGGGGTATAGAAAGGCGCCTCGTCACCCTCGACCTTCTCACGGTCAGCGCTCCAGTCGTGGACGAGACGCTGGAACATGGCATAGGGACCAAGCTTGTTCAGCTTTCGAAGACGACCAAAGACTGTGAGCTCGGCGTACGTCATTCCCATGTCGGCTTCGTCGCTTTGGACGTATTCCTGGGTAATGGGCTCCTATAGTGCAAGGTGTGGTTAGGCACCAGGTTCATGAGTCTTCAAAGCACAAATCCGAAAGTACATACCAGCTCAGCAGTAGGGACAGCCGTCAAGAACCCGTGCAGGCAAGGGAGATCAAACTTCTTCTCAGCCCAGGCAATGAAGCGCTTCAAGTCTGCCTTGTCGATCGATCCGATGGGGTTAATGTCGGCACTAGAGCAGTCATACTTGGTCAAGTAACCACGAAGACTCTGCCACACGCATCAGTATCCGTTGACTTGTGTGAACTGAGCATTGCCAAACTTACCTCGCCAACATTGGCACTTCCAAGAACCAAAAGACTGCCACCACCGGGCCTGCCACGGGCAGTCGGGAGGATCTGACCAAATTCCTACATCGTACCGTTAGCATATCATTGTCTCTCGACCCAAGGATGGACCATCACGTACATAGGCAGTAACCATCCTGATACGAGCCTGCAAGCACTGTAACGTCAAGTTCTCCTGGACTGTGCCGCCATGGACCTTGAACCTGGGCTCAAAATTCGTTGTCTGGACGATAAGCTTCTTCTGAGCCTCATACACATCGTCAATGTCGAGGTTAACATGGTAGCTGCCAATAGCGTCGGAAAGCTCCTTGGCACGTCCGCGAGTCTCGGCGGAGCTCTGCTTGCTCATGCCCATGTAGATGGTAGTGAAGACCTGATTGCAAAGCTCTTGGGGCGTCTTGGGAAGCTCGCCTTCCTTGCCATACTTGCAGATGCGCCTGACATCCTCAATGACTTGCTGGTTCCCGTCTTCGATGGCTTGAATGACGATCCGGCACATGGAGAAGACGAGGGTAGCCGTGGCGCAAGAGTCGATGCCTCCGCTCAGGGGCACCAAGTAACCCGCTGTGCCAGACCTTCGGAGGTAATCCCAGAGATAGCAACCACCGCACAGGGCAATCTCCTCCTCAACCGAGTGATACCTTGGTGGCCTGGGAAGGGTGGGCTTCTTCCAGATATCGGTATCTTCCTCCTCGGGGCTGAGCTCGAACGAGGTCTGGATCCTCTGGTACTTGGCATTCGAAGTAGCCGCCTGCAAGCCACGCGAGATCGAAGACCTGTAAGCTCTGACTTCTTCCAGATCGACAGTAGCAGTAACGACCTCCACGTCGTTGAGGCTGAACTGTGAGCCCTGAGCAACGATGTTGCCGTTGACAATAATCATGGCGCAGCCGTCAAAGTAGAGGCGTTCACCATCACAACCTTGTTGGTTGGCATACAGGTAAACACCGCCCGACTTGCGAGTTGCCTCCATGATAAGCTGAAGGCGGACGTCGAGTTTTTGCAGGGTGAAGTGAGAGCCACTGCTGTTGGTGATGATCTCAACGCCGTCAAGAGCCATGTCGATGTGAGGAGCCTTGGGAGTAAAGAGCTCTTCGCAGGTCTCTGCACCGAAAGCTGTCTCGGGGGTGGAAATGACAGCGTCTCCGAAGAGAACGTGGGTTTCGCCCTGGATTTCCTGGAGGATCTTGGGCAGATGGAACAGTTCGGTTTCTCTGGGACGCATCCAGGGGGTGAAGTGTCTCATCTCTCTGTAGTTTCCATCGTTGGCAAGCCACATCTTGGGTCTCTGTTCATACTTGTTAGTGAAGAGTCCGTGATCTAGAAGTAAGGGGTATACTCACGATCAAGAGGATCTTTCCGTTCAGCAAAATAGCCCGGGCATTATATCGGATGTTCCGGTGGAGGATAGGCAGACCGACGTCGATGAGGATGTCATGGCAGCTCTCATCCTCCAACAGCTTGCGGAGCATCTCCAGACTGTGGGTGTAGACATCGAGCTCGTGGAAGTGATCCAAACTTGAGTAACCGCATATCTCCAACTCAGGACCGACACGAAGTCTTGCACCGGCCTTCTTGGCAAGATGGATACTCTCAACGATGCGTTGAAGGTTTCCCTCCCACTGTTTGTTCGAGTTAGTACTGTGCTGTGAAGATATGAAAGTTGACAAGGTTCGACTTACATCTAGAACCCATTGGTTCAGACTGCAGGTCGCAACCGTCACCAGGTGCCCTCCCATTTTCGATGAATCAGGTATACTGTCGACAGTTATGTGTAAGAGAAGGACTTGTAGGTGAGGGGTTGCAGACGACGAAAATGGTCGTGTCAGGTGGGTTGAGTCATAAAAGTCCTCGACGCCAGCCTCTACTGGACAAAATGTCGGACCTACTTTAATGAAGGGAACCAAAGTGATCCGAGACTGACGATGTTACTAAAAGAATCGCGGCCCGTCCCTTGTGAGGTTCGGATGACGTTCTCGACGAGGACCGTGGACGGGGAGACTGGGGTCTCTCGGTGGAAGATGGGACGGATCCGCTATCAGTCCGTTGTTGGTGATCGGAAAAGATTCGGCATCAACGGGGGGTGATTAGACTACATGTCACATTCAACTCCCCTCAATGATAGATAATCATGAAATCTCCCTCATCTCTTCCAGCTTACCCAGACTCTTCACATCAATTCTCGAAGTGTTTGGTGTCGTGATAACTTGGTCGTGATGGATTGCAAGTCTTGATGTCGTGAATTCAGGGTACCCCGCAGAGGTGCTCTGTTGGGCTAAGAACATGGTTGGAATAGCAAATCCTTAGCAACCAACGGACACCTTGAAAGTGGCATTCAGCGCTGGCTGCAATCTCATACAGCACTATCACAGCGCATACTTGAGTGCAGCACATGCACAGTCCGAATAACAACAACTCAACCCCGACCTCGGGATAAATTCCCCGAATTGCGACGGGAATGCCTTCAAAAAGTTCCCAACTTTGTTTATTTCGGCGCATTCGGGTACGCCCAGTCGCCACCCTTCTATAACCTCCACGAATTTCTCTAGACTCCGCTTCTTCCTAATCACTCAAAGAACACAAATACCCGGCACCGAAATCCTCAACAGCCAACCTCCACCACCCTGAACCGCAAACATTCCCAACTACGATAATCGCGGCGCAAACCACCTACCTCGCTCGACCCGTTCACCCAGTCCACGAGACTTGTCCTCGACACAATGCCACCAAGACATACTCTCCTTGTCCCTCCAAGCGCAACGCGCCTCCTCATACCCCGAACGAGCATCGTCCGGTCTCTCTCCTCCCTCACCACCACAACCACAACCAGCAACACCACATCCTCCCACCACCCACACCAGCGGAGGATATCCTCACCACCTACACCAGTAACAACCACTACCACCACCCGTCCTTACTCCTCCTGGCTCCTCTCCGCCGTCTCCTCCGCCGCCTCCGCCCTCAACAACGGTTCTCCCGGTGGTGGTGGTGGTAACAACAGCGCGCCAGAAACCGTCCTCCGCGCACGACGCATCCTTCCCTACCCATCTGCGCACCTCTACAATCTGATCGCCGACGTTTCCTCCTACAGCCAATTCCTGCCGCATTGCAGTCGGAGCGTAGTTACCGCTTGGGCAGAACAACCTATCACAGCAACACCCGCCGAAAAGGGTGAGGCAGGGACAGGGACAGAGACAGAGACAACGGAAGAAAATGGAAAGACAAAAACAAAAACAAAATGGCCAGCCCGCGGCGACCTGACAGTAGGCTGGGGTCCCTTTACCGAGTCCTACTCGTCACGCGTCTATTGCGTTCCGGACGACGGTCAGGGTGTAGGCATCGTGGAGGCTGTTAGTGGGAATGCTTCTACCAATATCCCTGCTACTGTTCTCCAGCAATTTGGATATCAGAGTTCGCCGTCAGATACGACGGAGAAGATGGAGGGCTTGTTTGAGAGTCTGGTGACGAGGTGGACGGTGAGGAACGTGCCGGCTCCGAAGAAGAGCCAAGGGGGAGAGGGGGCCGGCGACAACTGGACAGAGGTGGCGCTGAGTGTGAGGTTCAAGTTTGCGAGTCCGGCGCTGGGGTTTGCCGTGGGACAGTTGGCGGGACAGAAGGTGGATGAGATGGTTGCGGCTTTTGAGGAGAGGGCTAGGAGGACTTGGAGAAGGTGATGAGGGATTGATGTCTGGTAATAGGATGTCAAGCCTGGATTGACGTCGAGGGGACAAGTGGAAGTTAGTGGCTCAACGGGCCGATCTCATGATCTTGGTTAGATAATGGTCGTGAGATGGGGTTGATTGATTGCCCAGGCAAAGAAGGTCCCTGGGTCCAACTGCCCAAGTGTTGGGAGTACTAGACTAGACTAGATGGCATGGCGAGCAGCGCTGCTTCTTGATATCACTGTATTATTACCCTGGCTAGGACACAGAAGGCGTGGCTTGGAAAAGCAAGACATAGACATGGTTTTGTCAGGAATAGACAAGATACCCAAGTACATCACATTACTGAGAGGGTTCTGAACCGGCAAAGGCATACTTGGAGTGCTACGGTCCAACAATGCTCCGTCTACAGCAGAGACATTCATTCACGCTAGGTTTAAAACGCAGCCTCCCAAGTACCGATGTATTGCTAACCAAAACCTATACCATTCAACATCCAACCACTCGCTTTCTCGCTGTCCACGTCCTCATCCGCATCCACATCCTCATCTCTTCCTTTACCCAGGCATAGTGTATAGATAGTCATTCACACATGATCTCGTATCATCAATCATATGACATGAACTATATTACTTCTTCATCTCTCATCCATCATCACGCATCATCCCGCCGTACTACTTTTTCGTCATAAGATTTTGTAACGAAGCAACGCGTGTCAGAAAGCCCCCCCTAAAGGAACGCCTCTGTATCCGCCAAAAGAATAAACAGAACAGAATAAAAAAAACCAGATCAAGCAGAGAGAGAGGTATCAAAAGCCAAAACAAACAAACGCAAAAAAAAAAAAAGCGACGATGAAAAAGAAAGGGAGGAGTAGATCGGCTCTTTGAATCAACCAGCGTGGAGGGTTTGAGAGCCGAATGGGTGTCGTAGTCGAGGACCATACCACACCCTAGAAAGACTAAATTGTCGATGACTCCGGCGTATTCGCCCAATGGACTCGCTTAGTGCTTCTTCCTATTCACAACCCAACACGTTAGCTTTTCTCTCTCCCATTTGATAACCATCAGGGTAAGGGACCGGATGGATACCTGACAAGGACATACTTCTTACTACTACTACTCTTCACCGGCTTCCCGCCCGCCATCCACCCCAGCACCGTCGCCTTGGTCTCCTTCCTGCTGTGGCTCGACGAATGTTTCGACCTGTGCTGCCTGACTTCGGGTTCAACATCGACCACGATGGCCGCGGGTCTCGACGGCGGCGCAGCGGCGTGTCTACTGCCACTAGGGGGCCAACCAGGCGGGGGCGGGGGCGGGATACCACTTCCTCCACCACCACCGCCCCCGCCCATACCCATACCCATACCAGGAGGCATTCCCATAGGCGGACGGACAGGCTGCCCGGGAGGGAACATGTCGTGCGCCATCCTGTGCCCGTGTGCGTCCGAGATGCCGGGTGGCATACGAGAAGCGGGTGGGGCGCCGGGGAACATGGGACGACCTTGGCCGGGGAGACCACCGCCCATTCCGTGACCACCGGGGGCACCGGCGCCGAAGCCCGGAGGTAGAGCACCCGGGGGCATCTGGTTGCGGAGGGGCGCTTTGTCCATGGGCCACATCTGCATGGTGATTTGCCAGTCCGGCTCGATGACGCGCTCCCAGACGGAGGGGAGGATAACCTCGCCGTCGGGGCCGATCAGGTCGTAGTGGCCTTCTTGAACGTGGGGGCCGATGACGTCGACGTGGAGGAAGGCTTGTTTGATGAGTTCTTCCATGCCCTGCGGGAATGTGTTAGTACTTGGGCGGGAAAGGAGGGGATCAGGGAAGGGGACGGAAGCAAAAACATACCTGCCACGTCTGGCACAGACGGAAGGGAAAACTGAACTTGCGGCCTACAGCGTCCTTAAATCTGATGGGGGCCTTATCTTTCTTCTGTTCAGCCTCCTCCTCCTCCTTCTTCTTGGCCGCCTCCTCGGCCAAGATCTTCTTCTTGAGCGCCTCTTCGGCAGCCTTTTTCTCTTCTTCGGCGGCCTTGGCCTTCTCGGCAGCTTCCCGGGCCTTGTTCTCGGCCTCGTCCAGGAGCCGCTTACGCAGTGCCTCCTCCGCCTTCTTGCGCTCCTCCTCGGCGGCTGCGGCCTTGGCGGCTTCCGCTCTTTCTTTTTCCATCCGCTCGCGGGCTTCGATCTCGGCCTTGAGCTTGGCCTCGGCCTCCAGGTGCTTCTGCCACTCCTCAAACTCCTTCTGCTTGCGCGCCTTCTCGGCTTCTTCGGCCGCCTTCTTGGCCGCTTCCTCGGCCGCCTTCTCTCGGTCGGCTCGGATGGCGGCAGCGATCTTTTCCTCGGTCTCCTTAAGCGCCCGGTCCAGCCTCGCTTTGGCTTCATCCTCCAGCCGTTTCCTCTCCGCCGCCTCCTCCGCCGCCTTCTTCTCGGCCGCAATCCGCTGCAGCTCTTCCTCTGCATGCTTCTTCTTGAGCTCTTCCTCCTTTGCCCTCACAGCCGCTTCGATCCTCTGCTTTTCAAGCTCAGCAGCAATCTTGGCAGCCTCCTCCTCGCGTTTGCGCCGTTCCTCAGCAGCCTTAAGCTCAGCCTCAAACTCAGCTCTTGCCTTCCTCTGAGCCTCAGCCAGCGCTTCAGCGTGTTTCCTCTGCCTCTCTTCCTCTTCCTTGCGAGCCTGAGCGGCCTTCTCCTCCGCCGCCCGCTGCGCCTCCTTGACAGCCCGCTCCATCTCAGCGTTCTGCTCCTCTTGGCGCTTCTTCTCCTCTTCGGCGCGTTTACGGTCCTCTTCCTGCTTCTTGCGCAGCTCCTCCTCGGCTTTTTCGCGAATCTTGCGCTCAATCTCGCGATTCTTTTCCTCTTCTTCTTTGCGCTTCTTCTCAAGTTGAAACTCTTCCAGTTGCTTCTTGAGAGCTTCCATTTCTGGGTCGGGCTTCTTCTCGGGCGCCGGGGTTGGTGACTTGCCCGGGTGTTCGGTGGGTGGTGGTGGAGGGGGTTGGAACATGAGCCCGGCCATGTGGCTGGGCCCGGGGGTACCGAAGCCGCCTCCGGCACCGTAGTAACCGAGAGCGCCGGCGGCGGCGCCTGGTCCTCCTCCTCCTCCGTAGGGCATCATGTCGTAGAGATGGCCGCGCGGGTTATGTCCACGCGGATCGTGGCCGCCAAAGTAGTCATCGCCGCCACCACCACCGCGTCTGGTTCTGGCAAGGGTGTCGTTCATGGGAGAGGGAGCGAATGGGTTGTTGTAGTCATAGGGTACCATCTGGTTTCCGAAGTGGCTAGGCACATATCCAGCATGGCTAGGAGCGTAGGCGCTGTGACCCGCGCCACGGCCATAATAGCCGGGTTGTGAGTGATGTCCATGGCCGCGCCCACCGTACCCTCCAAACTCGTCCCCGTATTCCGACTCCATAGGAGGAGGTGCCGTCGGGGCGCGATAAGAGTAAGATTGTCTCCCTGAGGAAACTAGATTCCGGCGCGACGCAGACTCGCTGCGTTCTAGTAGTCGGGGACTCCGAGCGCTATGGGTACTGTGAGAGCGAGAGTGAGGAGAGTGAGGAGGCAGTGGTGAATGCCCGTGATGAGGGTGAGGATAGTACTCCGCGGTCGCCGAGGCAGAATCCGAAGGGTCTATTTCGTCGTAGTGGTCATCCCAATGGTCGTCTTCGGTGGACTCGTCGTCGGTCACCTCTTCATCGTCCTCGTCATCAACTACCGAGTCGTCGCGGCCGTACCCGTACTGGTACTGGGATGAGTCGTATCCGCTCGATGATGTGGTTGAGGAGTACGCAGGACCTGGGTTATTCACAGTGATGTTGATTGATCGTCGGCTCCTATTGCAGGCGTAAAGAGAGGAGGAAAGGGTCCGGGGTTAGCTGGTTCCAAGAAGGGAGAACAGACACAGGCCAGGTAATGTGGCGCAGTCGCGATGTAGAATCGAGGATCCGGACCAGACTTACGACATTGGGAATGTGTATGGGTATCACCCTTTGCTCGTGACAATCTGCAGGGAGAAAGCCGGAGCAAAGGGAGCGGCGAGGGAGGTTTGCCTGACAATAGTTGAAGCACCAACTAGCAAAGAGGACCACCAAAGTTGGTGTGCTTGAGTGCGGACCAGTGCCGGTACTGTAGTTGCCTTGTTTCCTTGCTTGTTCACTCGGAAGAGTTGGAAGCTGAGGTAAGAGGGTAGCAGGCTAAGAACGGATATGGGCGGTAGGAGTGTAAAGCGGAGGAAGAACGAGCAATGGAGGAGGGTGGGGGAGCGGGAGGGACGGTTGAGGGCTCTTCAGACGGCGCTGAAGTGTCTATGACCTGGATAGTTTGGTAGCAGGGTACGTAGCGAGTAACAAGACCCCGGGCGGTGAGTGAGTGGGCAACGGGAATGAAGAGCGAACACAACCTGGACGGTGCGGGAAAAAGATACTTGAGAGCGAGTGGTGAGGTGTGGTGGTGACTGGCGCCCCCCGTGCTATTGGTGGTCGCGGCAGGTTTTGGTGTAATATTTGGAGGAACGTGGATGATTGGTCACGTCTTCTCTCTTCTGGTCAACCTCAAGGTTGTTCAGGGTGACTCTTCGGTACCCGTATGAAGGAGCCGGAGTGAGTAAGCCGAAGTCGAAAGGGTCTCCGTCTTTCACTCAAGAGCTGTTGACTTATAGACTGCAAAGCGCCAGTTCGAAATAGGTAACTGGATTTTGTAATCTTTCGGTGCTCTTGAGACTGAGATAATGATCCAAGTGGCAAAGGCAATATGGCTGAGGGTAGAGATACTGGCAAGGATGGATGAAAAATAGATTGGCTGGGATATCAGGTCAGCATGAGGAAGTAAAACGACAGCAGACAATGTGCCGCCGTTTGGATAGCGAACAAGGGATCTAGATCAGATCGACAACGAGGGGAACGATAGCGGGGCAAGCCGAGGGTTGAGGAGCCAGGCTATGTAACAGAGTTGGCAGGGTTAAGAAGGCTCACTGTTGTCTCGGACAGAGGGCCTGCCTGAATTGGTGGGTGTAGAGACGAGAAACGGATCCGAAAATGGGCTAACAGTGAAAGAGGACGTGTCTGAAAACGTACCAGAAGTGATCTGACAACACAACGCCGAGTGTGTACCCTGTGGTCTTGGCTGTTAGTGCCCAATCAATGAGGGGTTGACTAACATCTAGAAGCCTCAGAGGTTCGATAGAAATGTCACAAGAGAGTCTGGGGTAGGTAGCGTGGACTGCGGGAAGCCTCTTGTCTCGCTAGACGTCCCGATCTCACGGAAGAGGGAAAGAATAAGAAATTTGCAGCCAACAACGACAACAGCTACTTGACAGTTGCACCGAGACAAACCATGGCCGGATTGGCTGGCCTGTCCCTTGACCTCGTGTTTATATAGGCGGTCGGATCGGTTCGTGTTGAGCGCTTCAAGAAACTGGACTGTCCTTACGAGTGATTCTTTCACACCTTCCTCCTCACAATGCTTTAAAGCTTCCCCGCGACTTTGCGAGCTGGCGACCCCGCCAAGACAGAGAGACTGCTGATAGAGGACAGCAGAGAGAAAAGGGGGAGATGCGTGGTTCAAGAGAAAGCAATCAAAGGAGATCACCACGTACCGTTGTATTCCTGTAGGACCCTGTGGGTTTCTGGTTGGCCGGCTTTCGCTGCGCGGTGGTTGCGAGTTCGTGGCGATCTAGGCGTTTTGTGTATGTGAGGTGGTCTAGAATTTCTCATCTGTCGCTGATGGTCGGCATAAGGTTGGCTACTTCACTGGTGAGTAGTTACAAGATTTGAAGCGTATTGGACCGCTTGGATCTTGTTAGATGGTCGTAGAGTAGCAGCGGGGGAAGCGCGAGATGTGTTTACGCAGAACGTAGGCACAGTCTGTAGTGCAAAGGAGGCAGGGAGATGGGGTGCAAAAAGAGCCGCCTAGTATTGGGGTACAGAGTACTCCGTATGGCAAGACGGACAAAAAAGATTTGTTTGGTTGAAGGAGGGCAGACCAAGTGAAGTACTGCCGGCGTTGATACTTCGGGTCCAAGGTCAGCGGATGTAGCTGTAGGCAGCCGTCTTGCCGTATGTATAGGAATATTATTTCATATGGTCAACATGCCCCTGCAAAGTAAAATTCCTCCAGCAGGAAGCACTACTACGAAATCACATACGGCATCCTTCCGTAACGCGAGCTGGACGATGCTGGAAGAGCCGGGAACAGGTATCAGCGGAGGGAACACACAGAAAGGCGCCTCATGGTTGGGCCTGAGACGGTAGTCTTGTCGCTGCGTCTCAGCAAGGCTGGGGGAACTGCAGCACGACGGAGATCGTGTGTAAAGGCGGAGCGTGTTGTCCTGCCTGCGGTGCATAGAGACAGGTAACCCTGTCCTCACCATCCTTACACTAAGCACTGATACACTAGATATGGCCTTACCCGGCTTTCTAGATTGCCAGACTCTTCTGTAGTGTAAGTCGACCGTATCCTTGATAGCTGAAAGGTAACGGTCTTTTTGCGAAAACTCGATGCCTTTGTGTCCTCACCGAGTGACTGTACGCACGACTCATGAGGCAGCAGGAGCATAAGCAACCAGGCAAACGACTCCATCGTGGATAGTGAGTGAAAGAGGTGAGAGTTTTGGTTTCAGAGGGGCTTGGCCCAAGTTGATGCTCAGGGCAGGGGTACTGAAAAGGTTTAGTCTGGTGACGGAAAGGAATCTAAAGACTGGGGAGACAGGGGGGATGGTGGGGATGAGCGACGACCCTCCGTCGTTGGTGACACACTACATACCGCCCAAAGATGTTAGAAGTAGCAGACAGATAGTGTGAATCACACATGTCGACTCTTTAGACTTTTTTTTTCTTTACAAATGAGTCAATGTTAAGAGTCTCCTTCGAAGACGTCTTGTTGAAATGAGTATTTCGTCCAAGTCTTGCTTTCTTCCGTTGTTCTTTAAGCTCAGATTGACTTGTGAGAGGGGAGAATGACAGAGTGGTGTTCAAAGTATCTGGGGTCGCATGTTGCGTAGTTTACGCTAACAGAGACAGACTTGAAGATGCTGGATAATATCGTCGGCTGCTGTTCCGGATTGCTCATGTATAAGCATCATCCGACTCGGCGCCGGCCATGCGGCAGAAAGGTTGTGAAACCATTCATGGTGATCTTGAAATCCCATAACTTTTCTTGATTCATTATCATTATTACCAAGGACCGCTTCAAAAGACACCCCCCAGAGTAAGGCATCAACTATTGTCAAGGATACCTCGTCTTGAGTCTGTACATGGTGTTGGAAGAAAGAAAGTGGAAGATGAGCCGGTATCATGGCCTGGGCTGTTGGCCGGTGACCATGTTGCGATATGTACCACGCAATTCGCAGAGCCAGTCAGATGTCGTTCCGAGCTGAAACCCGGCCACCAGTTATAAACGCCTTTTTCTGCCCCCCAAGAAATTGAAAGAATAAAAAAAATTTCATGAAGGGTTCGAGAGGGTTCGCAACCTGCATCAACGCAACAGTCGCGGGCTTGAAGGCGTTCTCTTTCTGGTTGGGCTGAGAACGCCTGCACCGCCCGTCTTACCACCGGGCAAAGGATCGCCTTTGGGCATCTACTGGAGCCACGTGAAGCCAGATTTCTTGATGCCTTTTCGCTGCCCAAAGACCCACTGCGTCGACTAATGCAGGTAGGAACCAAAGTACCTTGCAAGGATACCAGTGATGCTCACTCGCTAGTCCCAGCCATCGTCAAAGAGGCCGTTCCGATTGCGACGATGGCCTTCCATTATATGCGCGGTGGATGGGGTAACACATTGAACTTGTGCCAAACACCATAGGTACATCCAGCGGGCAATGAACATATCGAATCGGTCACTGGACTGAGCGCCGTACCGTTTGCCTCGTTCAATGGCAGCAAATCTCACCTCTCAATTCCATTTTGTGAGAGCAGTTCTCGGGCAGCTGCAACCTCACGTTCGTCATAGCCGCGCCAGCCTCTGTCCTTCAGAGTGCTATGACGGACGATTTCCGATAGCTTGGCGGTCGCAAGCTCATCGAGACGCTCAATTGTCTTGGGATCAGGCAGAGTGAACTCGCCATCGTCAGTTTGTTTGGCCTGTTTGGCCTGTTCCTTGAGGAGCCTCGTGGTGACCTAGCAGACGGTCAGCATAAATTGTTTTGTTCGCGTATGACGGCTATCGGAAACTTACCAGCTTCAGCCCATAGTAGCCACGGAGATAGTCGTCGCACAGTTCAATGCTCCGAGCAAACCGCTTGAGCGCCTCGGCCAAGTACTTTTGCTGCGATCCACCGCCACTTCCCGAAGTCGTGGCAGCCATGTACTGCACCTCTCCCAGTCGTGCATGTATCTAGATGGGCTACATTAGTATAGGGCTTAGGCTGTTGGGTGAGGGAGGAGCGCATACGTTCCAGGCATTGGGTGACAGAAGGAGGGCCTCTTCCAAGGCGTAGATGGCCTGCGAGTACATTCCTTGTGTGAAGTAGAGATCCGACAGCTCAGACCAGGCCTCGGCATCGGTTGGGGAGAAGTCGAGGAGTTGTACAAGAGCGGTTGCGGCATCCGAGACGCGACCCATGGATCGTAGGAGGGCGATCCGGCGCTTTGTGATAGGCTGTAGATGTAGACATGGCGGGTTAGCAAATCTGCCGTCCGAGAACAGTTGGCGTAAACGGTCATGACCCACGAGATTGGTGCTGTTTCCTTCCAGAATGGCATCGTACTGCTTGAGCACCGCTTCCAGCTCTCCGTTGTTCTCGGCCTGGGCCTCGGACAACAGGCCCCTTAAAGCCATGACTCTCTCATTGTCGGGGCCAAACCGTGCCTCCAGCTGATCCATACATTTTGCGGCCGCTTCATCATCGCCGGTTCGGAGGCACGCTAGCAGCAGATTTTCGTATGTTGCCCATTGGTCCACAGTCTCGGATGGTGATGACGATCCTTGCAAGACAACGGGGGCTTGCTGTGCGAGTTGGAGAGCTTCCGAAGGAGGGAGCTTGGCCGGGTTGAAGAGCAGCGAGGGCGCCATTGTGTATATTCGATATAGTGGTCGGGGTTCGAGCCGGACCAAGAATCACGTCGCTCGTTAAGCTTGAAGGGGACCAATATGTCGTGACTTGTAAACAGCTGAATGACAAGTGGAATTGGCGCAAGTATGATGGAGGCAATCCGAAGTCTCGGCTTAAGCTTGTGGTCTGGAAGCTGACGTCAAATGGTGGAAGAGGAGAAGTTGATGGCCGGGGAAAGCTTCAATCCACTTCGCTGGCGTCAATCTGTACAATGCTGGACGCTGGTAGACGTCGCGCGGCGAGCACTGCAAGCTGGAGCTGAATGCCCGCCCAGGCACTGGATGGGTAGGTGGGGCAAGCATGCCTGGAGCTCCTCGTTTGGAGCTCTCACTGTGTCATAGCTGCTCTTTCAGCGGTAAAACAGCTGGACAGACAGTGCAATCTGGGGTTTTAGGGGACAGTCGCAAACTGTACCTACCATCCTCACCTCAAAGCACAGGCAGGCAGAGACGGGAGGTCAGTCGGGCAGTTCAGCCAGTGACGTGAGATAGCACGACCAGGACGGGGAGGGTGCCACATTGTGAACCCACCACGGACATCGGATCTCCAGCAGCAGCGTCGTTGACGGCCATTGCGTTTCCAAACCAAGATCCGTCAAGCGTGTCTCGACGACGACGACGACAAGTAACCCAAACGGCGTGACGACGAGAAGCGCATTTGCTTACAACCCTCGACCCGGGTGGCGCCCACAGCATCTCCCAGCTCCCCAACTACGGCCGCGGCAAGATGCGTCGAGTTGCGGTTCAGTCCAGACACAGCAACACCTCGTCCCCGTCGCCTCGCTATACCTCCAGCTTGTATTAAACTTGTAACCACTTTCGATTCCTGTCACCAAGTCCTCACGCGAACCGATTGCTACCCGTTGCGCCGCCAGCGTCAAGTCTCCCCAACTTCGATATAATACTCACAACACTGGGAACATCGCCAGTTGGGCCACCACAACCGCAACCATGTGCGTCAAGCTCCGGCTTCCGTCTGCACGATTCGACTTAGCTGATGCCCCCCTAGGTTCGAAAAGTCGCTGTACGACCTCATCCGAGGTCTGCGTAACCACAAGGGAAACGAAAAGGAGTACATCCAGAACTGTCTGAAAGAATGTCGTTCCGAGATCAAAAGCCAAGACATGGGTTCGTCCCTCTTATGTTGTTGCGCCCGTTGCTTTCGCTAACACATGCGCAAAGATGTCAAGGCCACGGCCCTCCTCAAGATCATCTACCTCGAGATGAACGGCCATGACATGTCGTGGGCTTCCTTCCATGTCCTCGAGGTCATGTCCTCGCCAAAATACCACCAGAAGCGCGTTGGATATCTCGGCGCCGTCCAGAGCTTCAAGACCGATACCGAAGTGCTCATGCTAGCCACCAACCTCCTCAAGAAGGACCTCTCGGCCTCCTCCCCGATCGTCATCTCACTTCCCATTGCTGCGCTCCCGCATATCATCACGCCCTCCCTTGCCCTTTCCGTACTAGCAGACCTACTGCCGCGTCTCAGTCACTCGCATTCGGCTATTAGGAAGAAGACCATTGTTACACTATACAGACTAGCCCTGGTATACCCAGAGACCCTCCGAGCAGCATGGCCAAAAATCAAGGAGCGACTTATGGACAAGCACGAGGATCCGAGCGTGACAGCAGCCATTGTGAACGTGGTGTGTGAACTCGGCTGGCGGAGACCCCAGGATTTCTTGCCCCTGGCTCCGCGCCTGTTCGAGCTCTTGGTAGATGGGGGTAACAACTGGATGGCGATAAAGTTGATCAAACTGGTAGGAAGAAACCCGGATTTCCCACTCAACGGCCTCTTTGCTAACTTGCTCAGTTTGCGACCCTCACCCCTCTAGAACCGCGTCTCGTTCGCAAGCTTCTGCCGCCCCTGACCGATCTGATCCGAACAACGCCGGCAATGTCCCTGTTATACGAATGTATCAATGGCATCATACAAGGAGGAATCCTTGGAGACTCGGAAGATGATGGCAGGGAGGAGATTGCTAGTCTGTGCGTTTCAAAGCTTCGTGGCATGATTACTTTCAACGGCGATGCCAACTGTGAGTGCCTTTACCTCTTGCCTTTGTCTGTACAATTCTCACCATGTTATTCGCCCAGTGAAATATGTGGCTCTGTTGGCCTTCAACAGAATCGTGGTCACGCACCCGTTCCTTGTTGCCCAACAAGAGGACGTGATCATGGAGTGCATCGACAGCGAAGACATAACCATCAGGATCAAGGCCCTAGACCTGGTACAAGGGATGGTCAGCAGCGATAACCTGGTATCCATTGTCAGCCGGCTTATGAGGCAGCTGAAAACGTCCACAAACCCGAACAATGATCAGTTGGATGATCTGTCAACCGACTCGAGTGAAGAGATGGGCGCTGAACGACGGTCCAGGAAACGAGATGAGGCTCCTCCTCTCCCCGAAGACTATACGATTGACGTTATTGGCAGGATCCTCAAGATGTGCTCGCAGAACAACTACTCGAGTGTGGTCGACTTTGACTGGTACATTGACGTACTAACACAACTTATCCGGATTGCTCCGGCGTCTCGTAAGGAGGTTGACTCGGGCGGCATGGCACTGGGGCCGAAATCTACCACGGCCGATATTTCGGAGAGTATTGGTAATGAGCTGAGAAACGTGGCCGTCAAGGTGAAAGCAGTGAGAGCTGCCGCTGTCCGGGCTGCCGAGCTTATAATTGCAAAGCTATCGATGGAGACCACGTCACACCAAGTGATATCAGGTTCACTGAAGCCTGTTGCCTGGATCGCCGGAGAATACGCAAATCTGCTCTCAAATCCAAGCGACACACTCAATCACCTGTTACAGTTAATACCGCGTATCAGACCCTCCGAGGTTCTCGCAACCTGCCTGCAGGCCTCCATGAAGTTGTTCGCACTGATTGCTGGTAACGACCAAACATACTGGACAGCAGAACGAAAGTCCATGGTATCTCTGCTCATGGCGCGAGTCATCCATACATACGAGCCCCTAGTGCTTCATCCATCTCTTGAAGTCCAGGAACGCGCGATTGAGTTTACCGAGCTCCTGAAGCTCACCGCCGAGGCAGCATCGGCACAGGCGTCATCAACGGACGAACTCGAGCAAGACCCGCCCCTCCTTCTCACACAAGCGATACCCTCTCTCTTCCAGGGTTGGGAGCTAAACTCCGTCGCAGTTGGCGCTCAGCTGAATGTCCCGATGCCGGAGGGCCTAGACCTGGACGAACCTATTCATTCTAACCTCAGCAGCCTGCTGGCGCAAGCAGACTCATTGATGCTTCCCATCCAGGAAGACGACGAATTCTCAGCTTACTACAACGAAAAGGCAGCACCAACCAGCATCTCCAGCGAGCCAGCAATAAATAGACTACGGGACGCTCCCGAGACGACATCCGGCTCCTACCAGCAAGCGACAGAGGATAGCTACCTCGACGCAGACATCATCGCCCGTCGCAAGGCTGAACGAGCAGAGCGCAACCGTGACGACCCTTTCTACATTGGCGACCTAGGCAGTCCCTCTCGCTCACAAGGCACTTCCACCCCAATACACAACATTCTGCAAAACGAAAACGGCCCCGACCTCGACATCGACTCCATCCCCATTATGAAGCTCGACCTTGGCGCCATCAGCTCCTCCGGTGTCGGCGGCGCTCCCGGAACACCCCAGCGATCCAAGGCACCCAAATCACGCCCACAAATCGTCGTCGCCGCAGACGAAACACTCGTCGGCAGCCGTCCCTCCACCCCGCGGACGGGAAGCCAGCATGACTCGGACGCGGATCCATCTAGCGCTAGCGCCAAGTCCCGCGCAGCACGGAAGCTCAAGCAATCCCTTTTGCAGGTGGATTCCAGCCACTTGCGCAACCTCAGCCTCGAAGCCAGCCATTCTGAGGATTCTGGTGGTGCTCTCCCGCACGAGAAGCTAGCGGAGACAGACGCGGAAATGGCCAAGGCCATGAAGGAAGTCCAGCGGTTGAGGCTGGAGATGCAGAGGGCTAATGAGAGGATACACGTCGCTCAAGGGGTGCCGACAGAAGGGGTGGTGGTGAAGAGCAAGAAGAAGAAGGAGGGGAAGAAGGCCAAGTCCAAGTCGAAATCGGAAGAAGATGGTGCTGGGGCTGGTAAAGATGAGAAGGAGAAGAAGGTGGTGAAGAAGAAGAAAAAGAAGGCGGAGACGGACGCGGCAGAGGGAGGGGAAGGGGAAGGAGGACCAGTGGGTGGAGAGGGAGAGGGAGAGGCGGTGATTGCTGTAAAAAAGAAGGAGAAAGAAAAGGTAAAGAAGAAGAAGCCGAAGAGGATTATACAGCTTGGTGACGAGGATGATGCTGGGGCTGGAGCTAGAGCTGAAGCTGGTGAGCCATAGGTTACAGGCGAGTCACAAAGTGGAGGGGATAAATAGAGTACTGAGGTCAATTAATGGTTATCAACTGCCTGTATGAACGTTCCTTTGGTGGGACTCAAAGTGAGATTGACAATCTGCTTTGAGAGACGATACTGTCAAAAAGAACAAGCAAACAGAACTGACCACTCCTCGCCCAATTGTGGAGAAGTCCTCAATAAAGGCAGATAGGGAAAAGTTGACAGATATTCACAGAAGCAAAACATAAAGGTCACCTTTCACGTCTTGAATCATATCAACATTCATTATCGAGTTACAAGGGCGAATCATAGCCATATATATACTTTATATCCAAAATATAGGTATCATACCATCTCATCAAGCTAACCTCTTCCTCCCCTCCTCCTCCTCCCCAACCACCCCCATAGAACCCCTCTTCTTCACCCTCGACGGCCCCGGAGCCATGGCAATCCACTCCCCCTCCCTCGTCCACACCCCCGCCTTGGTATAATCCTCGCTCTTGTACCCTTGCATCCACGCAAACCTAAAATACTCATTATCTCTCCCAACTTCCTCTCCCTCCCTTGTCCAAGTAAAGTTAGAGGGCGCATTCTTGTCGAACTCATCATCGCTAAAATACGTCCTGAACCGTTCTACATCGTTCACCAGCACGCTGATCCCATCGTAGATCCTCCCCGGCGGCTTGCCCCACGTAAAGGTGATGCTGGAAATATTCGTCCCCAGTGAGATCACGGGCGCGGCGAGGGCTGGCAGGGGAGATCCCAGCTGGGCATCTCCCTGCAGCGCGTAAGCCGTTTGCAGGACGGGATCCCACCCCCAGCGGGCGATGCCGTTGATGAATAACCCGACTAGCAAGCCTTGATAGAGCAGCGACGGACGGGTTTGCATGCTTGTTCCTGGAAGTAAGAGAAGAGCGAGGATGTAATGGTGGATGCGCAGCTTGAGGTCCGGCAGGATTACGCAGAGGATCAGACCGGCGCCGACGAGGGTGTAGAACTTGAGGTAGCGAACTAGTCGACCTTCCTGCCGGAAGAACCAGACCTGCGAGGCCGTGATGATGGTCAAAACGACGATGATGATGGCGAGGGCGGCCCGCGCACCGGGCTGTTGTTGCAGATCGTGAGGTGTGAGACGCTGGATGGGGATGAAATCGAAGGTGTAATTCGTCAGAGCGCCGACCCAGCAGCCGCCAAGCCAGAGGACGGTTTTCTCGAACTGTGCCGTCAGGCCGGTTAAGGAGCGGCGAATGCCCATGTGGTCGTACATGACCCAGGCGACGAGGATGGCCGGGAGGAAGGAGCCGAGCTCGCGCGAGATGAGGGAAGGGACATCGGTGATGTTGGCCGGGTCGGTAGCCAGGCCAACGGTCCAATAGATGCCTGTGAAGACGGGGAAGAAGAAGAGGGTGGGGGAAGTGATCAACACCGAAAGTACGCTGGAAAAGACCACAGAGATGGCGAGGAGCGCCCAGCGCATGTCCTTAGCTGAGCATTGGACGCCCTCCTCAAATGTAAAAGACAGCGGGAAGTAGGAATCGAAGGGGATGCTCTCGATTCCGTTCCGGTAGGAGCTGCTGAAATTCCTCTGCGTCCCGATCAAGCGCACGACACCACAGCCGCCGTGCGCGTTTGACACAACGCCGGCATGGACGGCAGAGCCGCAGAGGTAGGAGTCACCACGGTAGACTGGAATGATATCGTTCCCTGTTGCTGGCGGGCCACCAACAACCAGAGGCCTGTATACAACCTCCTGGTCACCCACAGCGCGCGGGTTCAAGGCCTGGTAACTTGCACAGTTGGCAGGACACTTGAAGGCAAAGCCCGAATCGGTGAAGGGCCGGCATTGCATGCCATTGAGTCCGCAACCATTGTCCATGTTCCAGTAAGCCGCGCCACAGCCAATCGAAACGGGTCTGCCCCATCCGGGAATCTCGTCCACATCTAACTCTTTGCGCATGACCAAGGCGAAGGTGATGATCCATATGGCAATCCAGAAGAACAGTAGCCACAGCCTATGCCTCAACCGTGGGAACTTCTTCTCCAGGAGCAGGATAGGCGCATACTGGACGTTGGGAAACAGTGGCTTGATGCGGAACCGCTGAGGAGTGGCAGGGCCGTGGGCCCATCGAATAACGGCGACAATGGAGCGCCGGACGGGATATGGTACCCATTTCCACCTCTTCCATGAGCCGGCGTCCTGGATGAATCGGGGAGTAGGCGGAGAGCTGTCGGCCTCGAGGGCTTCGACGAGGGTTATTTCGGGAAGTGGTGCGTCGGGGTGGTCGGTCGCAATGAGTATCGTTGCGCTGTTGGCAACGTTCGGAGTGCCGGTGCCGCTGCTGGAACTGCTACTGCTGGCGCTGTTGTCTGAACCGGAGGAGGAAGAGAGGCTCTCGAGATCTTGAACCTGGGGTACCTGATGTGCTTGGTGGGCTGATTTGGGGGACGTCGCCCCGTCTTGGGTTCCCACCATGACTTTTTCTCGTGTATGTTTCTGTGTATCGAATTGAATTTTTCGTATATGTATAGTGAAATGCTGAGATGGCTTCGGAGACCTTGATGGACCGCGTGGAGACTAGTACCGTTCCAAGCAAGCTATGACGAAACGCATCAAAACAAAACAAGTAAAAGTCAACAAGATAATTGAAGTTCGCGATAAGCGATGGGGGGTTATCAATGCAGTTGAACCGCAAAACAACAAGATAAACAAAGCATCTGCGATCCGCGAGTGTATGAGACTATGTTCAACATGAAGTGAACAAAGATGGGAAAAGGGAAACAAGACGGACGGAACAAGGCAAAATGAAGGGATGTATACTAAGGCTACTTGTGTCTTGGAGCCAAGTTGATGCGCAAGGTGCCTTTGCCGGATGCACCGCTTTGGGCGACCCGAGGCCGCAGTGGCCGGATAAGACGGTGCCCGGTTCAGTTCGGTTTCTCTTCGAAACACTGGCCGTGATTGGCACGCACGGACCTGGAAGAAGTTGAATCACAGGCCTGGCAGGGCAGAATGGGACGTGTCGTCGATCATTGCCAATCGGTCCCTGCAGCTCGACCTGTTCGTCATGGCGGAGATGTCATTACATATGTATCTCGGCGTCCGATCTGGATCACTTCAAAGTGTCTTGTTAATCATACCTACCTCTAAGGTATCATTTGGTGATGTGTGGATAATGTCGACGGCCGCCGTATCAAAGTTTCCATAGTTATCACTCTCAACAACACTAAAACATTGACACCCCGACGGCAGGCGAGACACAGACGCAGCGGGAGCGCCAGGCACCACACCCACTGACACTAAACAAGAGAGGCGGGGCGGGACGAGAGGGGCTCTTGAGTCAAGCCCCAGGGACCCGAGAGATCCAGAACCCCACCTTCCCTTCAGCTTTGCCAAGGCGAGGCGGTTCTAGCACCTGAGTTACAGGGAACAGCCCCTGTGCACCCCTCACTCCAGGTGGTCCTTAACAGCTTGGCGGAGCAGAACGGTGAACCACTGCGTAAAAGATACGCAAATACCGTTATTGGAAAGGAAGGCTTGCTAAGGTACACAGACACTGCGCGAACCATCACCAACGGAACTGGCCGATGTAACAAAAACTCCAGAACTGCGTATCACGAAATTTTGAGACTGTAGAAACCACCTAACCTTGAGGGTGAGACCAGACAAAAATTTGAAAAGAGTCTTGGAGACCTCTCATCACCATAACATCAAAAGAGGTCATTGCGTTTGCCGCTTCCATAGCCTGAAAATTTCAGGTCCCAGCATCCATCCCAACACCTCACCTCACTCCAGTATCAAAACTTCCTCTCTCCACCAAGAGGGGTCCATTCAGAAAAGATGTCGAGTGATGGACATGAACCAACAGCCATGACCTTTGAACTGCTCAAGACCGCCGTTAAGGATGGCGGTGCCAGACTCGGTCGTTTGGCCTTTCCAGGTCGTCGGACTGTTGACACTCCCAACTTCTTCGGCCTCACTTCGAGAGGTGTCATCCCTCACGTAACCCCCGACAATGTTGAGAAACACTTGCTCACCAATGGCACATATATGGCCTTGGAGGACTGTAGGTCGTAATTTTTCCACATTTGGAAATCTTGTTTTAACCATGTTCCAGTTATCGAGCGCCCGCAGCAATACATGACCCGTTCACCTCCCGTCTATGAGACTCCCTCGCCCAACAACAAGCCTCTTCAGAGCTTCACAGCCATGCCCTCCTCCATCATCACCGTTCTCGGTTCCCGGAGGATTCCCGCAGTCGCCGCCCCCATGGGCAACACCAACCAGTCCATCTCCGTCTTCACCTCCACCGGCTTCCAAGCCGTCACCACAAAGCAGTACATCAACGCCATCCAGACTCTCAACCCCGACATTGCCATTCCTCTCGCCGACCTCACCCACAAGACCAGCGCGCCCACCTCCAAGCGCGCCCTCCGCATGGCCGAGCGCACCGACGACTGGATCAAGGAGTGGTTCATGGAGATGTACGGCCGAAACAAGGAGCCCTCCAAAATCGCAACCTTCGCCCCCGTCCTTCCCATCAGCTACTCCATCCAATGGGAGTATCTCGAGCGTCTCTCCGAAGAGCATCAGTCCAACCCCTCTGTTCTCTCCGGCCTAGCCGTCTACGATGCCGACCTGATCCCCGACATCTCCTCCTCCTACCAGAACCTCGACACCCTGCCCCGCTTGGCTCTCTCCACGCCCTCCAACCCCCACCAAGTCCTCCGCCAGCTTTCCTTGGGAATGGACATTTTCCTCCTTCCCTTCCTCTCGACCGCCTCCGACGCCGGCATCGCTTTGTCCTTTACGTTTCCCCCACCTTCCTCCGAGTCTTCAGACCTTTTGCCCTTGGGCATCGACATGTCCTCCCCCGAGCACGCCATCTCCCTCCAGCCCCTGACCGAATCCTGCACCTGCTACGCCTGCACCACGCACCACCGTGCTTTTGTTCAGCACTTGCTTTGCGCCAGAGAAATGCTGGGTTGGACGCTGTTGCAAATTCACAACCACGCCGTGCTGGCTTCCTTTTTTGCTTCCATCCGCGAGGCGCTGGCCGACGGTACCTTTGAGGAGAAGGCGAGGCAGTTTGCGTTGAGGTATGAACCCGAGATCCCTCAAGGGTTGGGAGAGAGGCCGAGGGCAAGGGGGTATCACTTTAAGAGCGAGGGACCGGGTGAGCAAAAGAGGAATAGACCTGCTTGGAGCAAGCTTGATGGTGAGAAGAAGATTGAGGACAAGGTTGCGGATCTGAGGATAGAGGATGAGCAGAACGGTACTTCGGGTTTGGGGTCGGGTATGGATTCGGTGGCCGAGACGCCGTTGGTGCCGGATGAGAATGCTGATGCGAAGGATTTGGAGGAGATGGGGTTTGCAGAGAAGGCGGAAAACAAATGATAGACTAGATGAGATACCAACGGAAAAGAACAGAAATTATTGCATTTTGGGCATAAACTCGTTGAAAAATACCTCTACATACGAATTAAGGCCTAGACTAGGTGTGAAGTTCTAGCATTCGCAGGGACATGATGACCTCTGGCAGATCTCTTTACGCTCATCACGTTCTATACTAGAAGACTTCATCCCCATCTTTTTATCAATCGTTTCCCATCACACAGTTGATGATATCAAAGTTGATACCTCCTCTACTTGTAGATGTCCGGCGATCAGGGGATCCACTCGGTTAAAAGCGGGGCTCTCCGAACCCGAAGAAACGGGGGACCCGCTCCGTAACAACCACCTAAGCGAACGAACGATATCGTCATCTCATCAACTCCGCAGCTGGCTTCGTTCAGTTCTCTTTTTCCCTCTACACTACAACTCACAACTCACAACTCATTTCAGCGATCGTCACACTCGGTCAACATTCGGTCCCAATCAGGGTAATCACCGCCCATTTTCTCTGTGTCCCATCGACTTCCGCCACAGAAACTATATATACTCCTCAAATCGGAGCTCAACTACCACCCACCCCACTCAACTTGAACTGAAAACCATCACACCACACCAAACAATCAAATCAACCCAAAATGTCACCAACCCGCATCCCCCAACCCGAGGATTTCAACCCCCTCAAGCCCCAACTCTCCCTGTCTCTGCACTACCCCTCCCCACCCGAATCCACCACCGCCATCCTCCTCCTCTTCCACGGCCTCGGCGACTCCGACACCCCGTTTCTCTCTTTCGCCCGCAACCTCTCCCTGCCCGGCGTCCTCGCCATTTCCGTCCGGGGAATCGCCCCTTTGCCCCATTCCCTCTTAGGCCTACCACTCGACAGCGGGCCGACCAACAACTTCCACTGGGGGGATGACCTGAAACTCGACGGACGGACGGGCGAAATCGACATGGATCCGGGGTACGACAAAGTCTGGGAGTTGGTGATGGGCAAATTGATTGGGGAGGTGTTGATGAAGGAATGTGGATGGGAGTTGAGCGATATCTTGCTGTTTGGGTTTGGACAGGGTGGTGGGGTGGCGTTGGGGTTGGGGAGCAAGGTGCGGACTTGGGAGGGGGTTGGGGTTGGTGAAGATGAAGCTAAGGTTAGGGAGGTAAAGGAGGGAGAGGAGGTGAAGGAAGGAGTGGTTGATGAGAGGAAGGAGAAGGAGAAGGCGTTCAAGGGCATCGTGTCGATTGGAGGGGCGTTGCCGCCTTCCATGATTCCTAGTATCAGTGCAAGGGAGAAGGCGAAGACGCCCGTGTTGGTTTTGCATGGGAGCGAGAGTGAGTATGTGGGTGAGGACGAGGTGGATTTGATCAAGAGGGAGTTTGAGAACGTCAAGGTGGTGGAGTGGAAGAGGCCGGATGATGGGATGCCTAGGAGTAGGGAGGAGGTGCTGCCTATGATGGAGTTCTTTGCTGAGAGGCTGAAGAGTGGGTGGCCGTGAGGGAGCAGGTGTTGGGAATATCATGGAACAGTTGTTGGAACCAAGTCATGGTTTTAGGGCTTTTGTAACTAGGACCATGTCTCCCGTAATCTATCAATGCAGTTCATTTCATTGTGGCTCGATGAATTGCTTGACCAAGGCAATGATGAGTCTTTTCCCAAAATGCCAAGCAAAATACCAACACATATCAACAAGGGACCCAATATCACCAAGATGAAGCAACACATGTCGTCTGTTCACTGATGAAAGTTCCAGCAAAGTAGTGCTGTATTGATTGGGATCTAGTATCCAAAGAATGACTGTCTATCTGTAAATCAACAGCCCAACATGTGATCCTTCTCCTTCCCTTTGTTTCTAGGCAAGGGTACATGTATGTGTATAAAGCAAAACCAAAAGCAAAAACGCCCACGAGACCCGGCATTGGCGATAGCGTAGAAGCATTGTCGCCGCCTCCCTTTCGGGATCAAGGTACTCGGTCCCAACACGCCGTCCCAGCGATGGCGTTAGCGCACTGTCGCTGTCGAGATATTGATGAGGAAGATATGAAAAGGGTATCCTGGTAAAACTCGGCAAAGGCGACAGCGTATTTAAACACGGATGGGGTATCATAACAATAAGCCAAAAGAAACCGAAAAGCAAACCACCATTTTTTTCTCGTTCGTCCCCCTCGTTTCGTATTCGCGTTTGTCGTCTTTTCTTTCTTCATTATTTTCTCAGGGTAACATCTTGCCTCGTGTTGAAGTGAGGATGGGCCAAGACAAAGTAATAGCGTAGAAGCATTGTCACTTTCCCTCGGTCCCATCATCGTTGATTAGTGAGGCAAGAAGTTTGTCGTGTAATCGTGTCGTGAACGGATAGGTGCCGTTCGACAGTTGTCGTAAAGGTCAGTGTCGCAAAGTAAACCGGTGCGACGGAGGTGAACCACATCAGATGTAGCCCTTTTCTGGTGGTTGTGTGTGACAGCAACAAAGCTTCACCCTTTGTGCTTCCGTGGAGAGTTCGGCGGTGATGGTTTGACGAGACCGCAAGTTCAACTCCTCATTCTCTTCAGTGGAAGAGATTAGTTCTTCTTTCTCCCCAACACCCCACCAAATCCACGCATCTGCCTCTCGCGCAACGCAGCACCGTCGATGATTTCTTCTCCATCAGAGCTGCCACTGTTTGCCACAAACCTTCGGCTGGGCTCAGTGCCAAAGATTCTGAGCAGAACCGCCAGGAGAATAGTGCTTGCAATGCTTACAGCAAGAATGCCAATCATGGTGTAGTTGCTCTTGCGGTACTGATGAGGTCCCTTTTTCGCATCTTCAGGCCATCCGGTATACAGTGCGTACGTGGTAGTGATGGAACCCAAGTTTCCAAGCCCGGAGACCAGAGCTGAGGCAGCGGCCACACCAACCTCGCCATGTCGCTTCTGAAAGATCTCGTTCGTCCAGGCCATGCAGTTGGGCACGGTCGGACCGAGACCAAAGCCGATGATGAGCAGGCCACCGTAGCGGGCCCAGTCATTGGAGAGGGCAAAGGTAACAATGATGAGGCCAACAATTTGGATGACACAACCGGCACAGAAGAAGACCCAGCGGTATTTGTGGAAGCGGTCGGCGAGTGGGGTAGAGATGAGGATAGCGAGGAAGTCCATCTGTTGACGTTAGTTGGTATCCCGTAGACAGGAAATAGGAGCTGAACCCATGACTTACCATCCAAATAGGCGCAAACAACAAGCTAACCGTGATGCCGCTGAAGTTCGGGTTGATGGAAGCAATGATGACGCTCCCATACAACTGCGTGCCAATACCAACACCCACGACTCCAAAGTACATGAGCACCAAGGGCCACATACGCCAGTCAATCAAGACATACCACAGATCCTTCATGTTCCAAGGTCTGGAGTGATACACCCTCTTGAGATCCTGATAATGAATCAAGGCGTCCTCGCCCGTCAACGCCTCGGGGCTCGTCGGCAACCAACTCAAATACTTGTGTCTGACCCTCTTCTCGCCCGGAGCCAAAGGCCGGTCCGGCAACCAGAAAAGCAGAGCAATGCCCAACACGATGCCCAGCAGCCCATAGACGAGGAACATCCACTGAAAGCCTGTCAATCCCCTTAGGCCGTCCATCTCCTGGAACCCAGCCGACACCAGGCCGACCACGGCCGCGGACAACTGCGCCGCGGTGAAGTACATGCCGATTCTCTTGCCGGTGCGGCTGGGCGGGTAGAAGAGCGTCAGGTAGTAGGACATGCCAGGCCACATGCCGGCAATTACGAAGCCGAGCAGGAAGCGGAGGAATTTGACGCTCCAGGGGGCTTTGACGGCCGTGAAGCAACAACCGATGATGCCCACGGCGAAGACGATTCTAGCCATCCAGGCGCGGGGAGAAAGTCGGCTCATGATCAGGTTTGAGGGCAGGTCGAAGAGGACGTAGGCGACGTAGAAGAGGGCGAGGGCCGTGGACAGGTCTCTCGGGGTCAGGCCGAGGACGGAGACGAGGTCGTGGTGGACGTTTTTATTCATGGTCTGGGCAATGCCGATGTTGGAACGGATGGCGGAGCAGAGGAAGTAAAGGACCCAGAAGGCGGGGATGATTCGAAAGTCGAGCTTGCTGTGGTCATGTCAGTGGTGAGGAGAGTGGTGATGCAGTAATGAGTGACATACCGGTAGATCTTCTCGACCCTGGCGGTGTCGTATTGGATCTCTTCAGGCATAGGAACATGGCCTTCCTCTAGCTGGTGGGCATCATGGCCACTTCCGCCCTCTGATGGGACCTTCGCTGCGGGATAGGGGACAACGTGTGTGGCAGTCTCCCCTACGGGAGTGTGTGAAGATTTCTGCGCCATACTAGGACGAGAAAGCAATGGAGGTGCCTGCTAATCGTCTGTTCTGACCAGAATATTGTGTTGGTGGTGTAAGGAAATCAGAGGAAATGGATAAATGGGGAGGAGGCGTGTTTGGTATGGTTGGCCGAGAGGGTGGAAGATGGCTCGTGAGAAAAATGGATTAACAGTGAGGGGAGAAAGGATGGAGGCGCCTTATATAATGTCCGATGATGACTCTTCAGCCCTGGCCAAGAAAGTGTTGGAGGTGTGGAAAAGGTCGAGACTCGAGGCGACGTTGAGGTGGTCCGCGGATGGATTGATGGAGCCCCGGGAAAAAAAGACGCTGATGCAGGTCGGAGTTGCTATGACAAAACAAAACGGAAACCCCTCGGTACTAGTTTAGAGCCTCAAGAGATTAGAGATTAAGCCGAAAGTTTACAAGATGCAATGTTTCAAAGATGCAAGATCTCGGCAGAACCAAAGTCAGCTTCGGAATCCGCGCGCAGAGCAACTTGCCCCAACGTCGAGATGACACCACTGCATCCACCTGCATCCTCATTGCTGCTTCCCTTCTTCTCCAACACTCAACACAGCGATCAGCACTGGAGAGGAGCCCAGGGAGGGCAAGAACTCAACACAAATTTTGCTCAACGATAGCGCCGTTCGAGAGCTTCTTCAGTGGATCGATCGTTTTAGCGATCCCACCACGAACGAACGGGCGGGTCACCCCCACGTGCCCACCTCTTATGCCGAGCTTATGGGGCCATGGCAACTTCCGCCAAACATGCGTGATTTGTGAATGGCTTCCACTTTTTGTAGCATTCGCCGACAACTTGCATCTGGGCTTTGTAGGGTACGACAAGGATTGAGACTGGAGTCTTCAACTTTACCTGACTCATGTCAGAATAGAGTTTTGATCCCATCGAGAGAGACAGACTCCTGTACACTTTACTCTTATGCAGCTTATTCCAACCCCAAAGCGGAGTACGCATTCAGTGCCAGTTGCCCTCCAAGGTGCGCATACAGCACATTGCTTCCCGCGTCAATCTCCCCATTCTTAATCATATCCATCATGCCCGCCAGACTTTTGCCTTCATACACCGGATCGGTAATGAACGCCTCCGTCCGCGCCCCAAACTTGATAGCCTCAATCGTCCTCTCGTCCGGCACCCCATAAACCCCCGCATGGTACCGATCATCCAGCACGACATCCTCCTCCGTGATATCCTCCTCCTCCAACCCAATCTTGGCCGCCGTCTGCTTCGCAATCCTCAGCACCTGCGCTCTTGTCTGCTCAACCTTGGCGGACGCATCAATCCCAATCACCCTCCTCTTATTTACCTTGCCCAGCTTTTCCGAGTGGCGTTCCAACTTCTCAACCAACTTGAACCCGGCCACCATGCCCGCCATCGTCGACCCTGTCACCGCACAGACCACCACCGTGTCGAAATAAATCCCCAACTCCTCCTCCTGCGCCACCACCTCGAACGCCCACCTCGCGAACCCCAACCCTCCAAGGGGGTGATCCGACGCCCCAGCCGGGATATAATACGGCTTTCTTCCCTCCTTCTCCAGATCATCTTTGAGTTTCGCCAGCGTCTGCTTGTGCTCGATCCCGAACCCGGCTAGCGGTTCAAGACGGACGTCGGCCCCCATCAGCCGGGAGAGCTGGATGTTGCCGACTTTGTCGTAGCCGGGATCGGTCCAGTCGGGGACCCAGTGTTCTTGGACGAGAGCGGCGTGCAGGCCGAGCTTGGAGGCGGCGGCGGCGACTTGGCGCGTGTGGTTGGATTGGATGCCCCCGATGGAGACGAGGGTGTTGCAGCCTTGGGAGATGGCGTCGGGGACGAGGTATCTGGCCGGGCTTGTTAGTCAAGCTGCTGGTAGACAGACAGACAGACGAGTAGGTGGTGAAATATACTCTAGCTTTCTGGTCTTGTTGCCTCCAAAGGCAAGACCGGAGTTGAGGTCCTCGCGTTTAGCAAAGACATTGACTCTTCCACCAAGGGCTTGGGAGATGCGGGGGAGGGGCTGGATCGGAGAAGGTCCAAAGGTTAGCGGCTCCCGAGGGATGCTGGCGAACGGTTCGGGGAGTAGTAAGTCGGCCATTTCTTCGTGCTGAAACTGTCGTCGTCTTTGGTGATAATGTTGCCGTGAGTTTGTTGACCTCGCAAATTGGGAAAGGTAAGTGATCGCGAGACCTTATATTGCATGGCTTATCATCCAGCCTGTACGTTAGCCCCATGCCTCCCCCGCTCCTGGCTTGCTGCAGGGAGCGCACTCAGAACCACTGGAGGGGCGCCATCTTCCATCTTGACTTGGCTTCATGTCTTGGAGTATGTATACCATGGGCCACTGAGCCGCTTATCCGATATGCTTGGACGCTGTTGGTAGCAATAGCACCTTGGCATCATGCGAACCGGATAGACGTCGCTTTTATTGACCAAGCGTGGTTTAGCCTTGAGATTATCACACCAATATAACATGTCTCGTAAGCTTATCGTTGCCACTCAGCTACCGAAGCTCTTCAGCAGTAATGTGTATCGTTTCTTCTGTAAGGCTCTCGCTCCCGTGTCACTCAACAGAGCCTCATCGTTGAAATCGCATTTTGGAGTTCCCGACGTGTAGCGTCCATTGATTCGGACTACAATATATCATGCAGCAAGTCTAGCCTGGGTGAAGACCTCAGCAAGATACTGTAATGTCGGCATTTGGTTTGACTCATCCTAACCCCAAGGAGATGGTGCTAAACTCCCCGTTCTTATACGCAGTAGAAGACACTCACGGACACACTTGTCCAGAATACAATCATCCGTGACAGTCTCTCTCCTTCTCTCAGTGTCGATGCTGCTTTTATTTCACAGTCACCTCCACAATTCCCTTCAAGTTGTTTCATTTCACTCTAGACAACATGCAGTACTGTGAGGTCCCTTCTAGCCTTCTCGCCTTATATGATCTTCGTGAGATGACGGATATCCACCTATCACAGACCAACCATACAACAAGCCACAAGTATACCAAGATCTTGGATCCTGGCGGCGGGATTGAGCCTCCAAGTTTACCGAGTGAAACGTGATGGGACCAGGGGAAGGGGGTATCATTACTCCGAGTCACCATCACTAGACTGGAGGTGATGGTTGATCTTGAGCGCGTGATAGTAGTGTGGGATCTTCTTGTCTGTTATGGTTGTTCATTTACGAGCGACATCAACGGGCGACGAAAATGAGGAAAGCGCTATCCCAGTACTAACAAAGAAGCTGCGGCTCAATGTGAAGGGCTGAGATGGTCAATAATGAGAGTAACTGTGGAACGTAAAGTTATTATCACTACCTTGTTCGCGCTCCCTTTCGGTCTAATTTGCCTTTCCGGTCGCTGGCGATCACCAGGCTTCGCTCGTCCTCATCGTTCACGAAAACGGCCCTTCTTGGGCATACGAAGTCCGAAACCGTTCGGCGAAGCACTTTTCATCATGCCCGTCGACAGGGGCACTGTACTCATCTCGCCGTGACCGGGTCGAAGCCTGATGCGCGGCATGGAATTTTTCCCTCTCCGTTGACTCCTTACACAATCAAAGAGATGCAGAAATGCACAACGAACGAAAGCTTACTGCTCTCGGGCCCGTTAGTGCCACGCAAGCATGTCAGAGCCTTGCCCTTCATGCGTGAGTGACAAAGAAGAAGGAAAAGGCTGGACAAGCAAACATCCATCCTTCTTGTTTGACTTTTCCTATGCATCGTCTTGCATCCTCAACTGTGCTTGCTTGTTATTGCTCATCTAACCGCATTCCCAGCTTTACCTCTGTGCAATGGAAAACAGATTAGAACACGGGCAGCAGCGGGGAACAAAAGCATGGCAATCCACGAGAGAGCATGTTTGTTCCCAAAGTTTCCATCTTTGTACGACCAACGAGTACAATATCTAGCTAGAAGCAGACGGGAAGGATTGCGCCTTTCTGTCCGTGCATGGCTTTCCATGGCTAAATGGACATGCATGTTTTTGACGCTGCGCTTCATTGCGTTGAAGTATCCGTCCGTTGGCAAGGTATCTAGAAGTAAGTATGCGAAAACGGCCGGGTACATGGCGGGAGGAGACATGGAAATGTGGCTTATATGGAATCCAGAAGGGCGATTTCTTTTCGGGAATGCAAATCTTGGCGCAGGAAATATATTGAACAAGGCATCCAGAAGTGGTCGATAACTCTGACTCCATGGTCTTGTACCTTTTGGGGACTCCTTCTTGGTCGTCTTGGTGTTGTTTGTGGCTTGGTGTCTTCTATGGCAAACTCTCTTTTAGGAAGAAAGGTGGACAATGATATTGATTATTCCAAACATTGGCCGCACTTCCCGAGAGGCTTATGCTGTCATGCTCATTGAATCCGTCAGGTCGTTAGTTTGTGCGACCACCGCATTGTCGTGATTGAGTGTATGATGACTCTCTCTGTGAGCGCGAATGTCAAGGGGAGGAATTGGGAAAAGGTGAGTTGAATTGTTTGATTGGTGTGGCAGGGTATCGTCGTCGTCGTTGTCGTCGTCATCATCGGTTGTGCAATGGGGGTGAATTATTGTCCGGGGCTAGGCCGGGGATACCGATAGCAGCGATAAACGACTTCGTTAATGTCTGACGACTGACCCTGACGACCTTGTCGATATTTCGCCGTAATAATTTGAGGAGCGCGGTGGACGAGCCTGGACAAGTCTTTGACTGGCGGGAAGTGGGCAAGATCTGCCGTTTTGTATATTCCCCTGACGGGGTTCGGGCCTGCTGGTGGCCTGTTGCAAGATTGGCAATACCTTTTTCGGGACTCGGCAGTGGAGTTGAAGAAAGTCTCGGGAGCTTGACTTTCAACTCCGGGTTCCATTCCAGAGGGGAGCCTGAGGTTAACCCCACGATCAGGATTTTGGCAGCTTTACATAGTTCGTTCCCTTCTCTCCACTGCTCCGTACCCACATTCTTTGCGATATCCCCGGCTGGCCGAACCAAGAGTCGGTACCGGCATCGGTCTTTCCCTTTGATGGTACGGATGCGGTCTTCACTTTGTCCAGTTTTAGAGGCCCGTGCCGTGGTGGCTTCCATTCTTGCGAGATCAACATCCTCCCGGGTTGCCGACACGAGTTGAGAGTATGCCGAAGTAAGCAAGCAAGGGAATCCAGAGAACCTGATGCACGTGCGCTGATAAAGCCTTCCTCTTGCCTTGTGATCATCGACAGTCACTTATGGACGGTGGGACTGCTCTAAGCCGACGAGGGGTGTCGTGTCTTCCATGTCTGTGGGAAGATGTTGGAGGGACAGGCATCATGCCGGGGGAAAACAGAGGTTCATCTGAAGTTGGCGTGCAGAGGGGACGTGAAAGGGACATCCCGAGATTGTTTTTCGCTGGTGCGTCGCTCGTCACCGTTGATCAATGATGGCACCTTCTCCAGACTCCGCATTGGCATGATCTTTAAAGCAGCTGCAGGTCCGAGCACCACACTGCTCCCGGATCATGATAACCCAATGCTACCCTGAGGTTTTTGTCGACGACGCCAACTGTCTCCTGAGCAAGCCGAACTTTGCTTAGTTGTTTCGAGTATCAATAGTGGCGAATCTACAACGGCGAGCTTTTCTTTTTATTGCTTTTTCTTTTTTTTTTCTTTTTTCTTTCTTCATGCCAGACGCATCGCGCTTTTAGTGGTTAATGTTTGGTTCAATGACGATTTTAAACATTTTCTCTGCCAGGGGAAAAAGGACGAGACCGTTCAGTCACATTCGGGTACCTGGAATTCAACTTGACGGCGGACGTAGGGCAGGCACAGGACAGCCCAGGCACAGGGTCAGGTGTGCAAGGGGGCCCCTGCCGTCTTCAAGCTGATGATCCACCTTTGCCGGCTGGAATGACCCCATTTCACCAAAGTGGGTGGGCCTTGAACACTGGGCATCCCCACTCTCTTGAGGTGCCTCTTAGCTTCACAGTTTAATCCCCGCTGGAGGCAGGAGTACCCGGCACAAGCAGAAAGAGAAAGAGAGAGATGGGAGGTGAGAGGCATCAAGGGAAGGCACGGCTTGGGATCATAGGTATCAACAACAATGAGCAGACGGAACAAACAGTTCACGATACGATGACAGGCTCAGAACGAACAATACGAACTGTTAACATATTCCCGTGTAGCGAAATGTCATGGAACAATGAAGAGCAAAAAGAGTCAGGGAGAGCTTGGGCTAGCTTGACTAGCGCCAGGTCCCGTCCTGGAAATCAATGCTGTTATTGGGAGGAAGGGATCCTCAATCTCCATTTGCGCTGGAGCAATTATAGGTCCCGAAGTGGGTGAAACCAAACCGTTGCTGGACCCTCTTAACCCTCCGGCTTAACCCCCGAGCTCCCGTACACGTAACCTAGGTACCTGGGCCGGGCTCCCCCAAAAAACACAGGCAGGGTTGCAGTAGCAGAGTCAGGAACTTGTGGAATCTTAAATTCAATGAGGCAACGCCGTCGAACAAGGGAAAAGAGGTGAATGCCCCGATCCCCCGGCTTTTGAACGGGACGCCGCCCCTGAGCGAGGATTTACTTGCAGCTTGTCATCTCGTTCATTTCTCATCTTCCACCATCATCACCGTCATCGCCGTCGTTGATCACCCAGCTGCCGACAGTACGTATCGCTAATCTCGATTCCGAGACACTCTCGGGTAGTTGTTGGCACTGGGGAGGCCTTGTACCGAAACGGTACGGGAAAAATACATCATTGGCCACTGACAGATTGGGACTGTTCAGTTACCAAAGGCCGCATCTGGATTTCATCTCTTTCCTTGGTCCCGTCTTCCATTCCATCTTTCAGTTCCTCCTTCCCGCACCGGGACTCTTTCGACTTTCAAGTTGACGTATCATCCCTTTCGAACTGTCTATTACACGGCCATAGCACCATCTGTTTTGTACCTCTTCACCTATTCTTGATCCATTCACTATTTCTCAATTTGCGCCCTTGCGTTATCCACCCGCCGCCCTCTTTCGGTCATCAGCCAGTGGATTTTCGTGTAAATCCAGCACAGCATCACCCACCTCGTCCACCCATTTTCGAATTTGAGATCGGAAAATATCTCCTTGACTTTACACAACAGAGTCGGCAGCCAGGACTAATTGGTCCATCATCTCAAGGTGCGTAGTTCCATTAGTCGTCACAAGGTCGCACGGGGCACATTTGGGTCAGTCTGGAGGAGGGGGTCCGGGACATGTTATGTTGGCAAATACATGGAACCCCCAACGATAGGGGAAAAAAAAAAAAAAAAAAAAAAGGCAAAAAAAAAAGACCAACGGCTGGCTGGCTCGTCTGCTTGCATCCCCACCTGTTTTGTGTCGGTACCGCAGAAGAGGAAGCGTCGAGAGATGATGGGATATGGTTGATGGTTGCATGGCCATCCGAATCTCCCGTTATTGTTTCGTTGCAGAGGACGTACAAGTCCAGGGTAGATTCCTCTTCCCAACACTCAGCCATGTTTGTTGCATCCAGTGCCGCTTGGTCGCATTTCTAGTGTACGGACTGAGGTTGAATTTGGGGTTGATACGGCAGCACCGAGTTGTTCTACCTTGGCGCCATCTTACACCATCTTCCTGTTGCCCAAGCCATACATTGGCTATATACTACTCCTATACTCCCATACTCCCATCTTCATTCCCTCCCTTTCCCGCCAACGTGTTTCAGCCTCGGCGCCTTATCCTCCATGCCTCTTCCATCTTATACGTCAACAGCTCTATGTCAATGAGTAGCTCAACTAACGAATCAGCGCACAAAAGCAGCCTCCCGCACGCTCACCTGCGAGATATATCGCCTCTTCTGGATACTTCCTGGCCCTCTGGTCTCACCCTACCACCCACTCGCCATACAATATCCAGCCGCCCCGGCCTCTTGCTTGCTCACTTCTTGCGCATTTTCCAACACGACGAATGCTCGGCCCTGTTGTGCTCCCCCGCTGGCCTGACGCCTCGTCGCGCTAGCTACCTGTCGTGTCGCCGGAACACCAGACGACCTGCATCCCGCTAGATTAGCAACCCCCTAATTCACCACACAAAGACCAGCTGCATTCTCGCGTGTGTACGAACATGGCTTCCTCGTCAGACCAAACCATGTCTCGGCCGGAGTCGGCCATCATTTCTCCCTCGATAAAGACGCATTCCCGCTCGAGGGCCCTGAGTATATCGAGCGACAAACCGTCTACCATTGCGACCAGCTTCATGTCGCCTCCGCTAACCGTGTCCCCTGAAGCGGCCTTCATCGCCGCCTCGGCCGCCTCACAAATCATCACCAACGACCACGACAGCCATGCCGACGCTTGGCTCGATCAGCATGGCATTGAGCCTTCCAGCGAACCAGCAGTCGTTTCTCCAGCCGCCCTACAGCTGGTCAATAATTTTCTCGATCATCTGCTGTTCAACTTCATATCGGTTGCGCGCTCAGCTACGCTAGCTGCCCTTCGTGCAGCCATAACCGAAGTCCTCAAGCCGAAACTCGCCAAAGATGTCATCAGCCAGGCGGATGAGGAGTTGCAGGAATACATGGGGGACACTGAGGAGGACATACCAGATCCCAGCGCAACCAAAGACTGGGACTTGGAGCTGATCTGGAAACAGACTCGGCTACGATGTATGGTATACTCGTCACTGGGTGACTTGGAAGAGGAGGATGAGGACTATTATATGGAGAAGGAGCTTCTGAACTCACGGCAGGAGGATCAGTCTTCCGAATTGGTGTCTTCTGCTGCCTCCGTATTCTTGACCTCGATCATTGAATATCTCGGCGAACAAGCGCTGACCATTGCGGGGCAGGCCGCCTTTCAACGCATTCGTGTCAAGTACGAGAAGGAGTTGAAAGAGGGCCTGCGGAAACACGGCGTGGCAGCAGAACAGATTGTGGTGCAGGAACACGACATGGAGCGAGTCGCGCTTGATCGTACTCTGGGAAGACTGTGGAGGACGTGGAAGAAAAAGATCAGATCACCCTTGATCACCAATCTGGACAGAGGCTTGTCCCACTCCTTTTCGAGAGACTCGATGCGCTCGTCTCGTGGAACACCGACGCACCTGCGCTCATCTAGCGTCACAGAAACCCCAGTACCCGAAACCATTCCAGAGCCTACGAACGGAACAGGAGCCAAGGCTGATGCGAACGAGACCGGGACAAAGGAGACAGCCAAGGAGGAAACGGTGGAGGAGTATTTGATTGCTGCAGCCATTCCTCTGCCAATGGGTGAGAATGACGTCGAAGAGATCGAAGGTATTAGTTTGTTAGCTCGTTCTCAGAGCAGGGACGGAGCAAAAGAGAGAGCAGCTCGCAAGAGGGCAGTGCGGCCAAAGAGCTTGATGGTATGGCCCGTGACCAAGCCTGCCAACCCGCCCACTCCCACTCTGTCGCCGTCGCATACTCCTCTGTCAGCGTCCAAGAAACGCTCTAATTCACTCCCAACGCCTATTGCCACTCCCAGCGGTTCGCCTGTACGAGCGGATCCACAAGCGAGCGAACTTGCACCCCTTCCCTCAGCTGTCGAGAGGAATTTCGAACAGTCTCGGACTTCAGATGACACGCAGCCGGTTCGGGACGAAAAGTCAGACAACCTCAAAGGTGCAGAAATGAGCCGAGTTGGAGCTTCGCTTGTGGGTGCCCCCGCCTCCTCACAGCAGGCTGAGACGAAGCCTCGAACGCAGAACTCTGGCAATTCTGGCACCGAAGATGAGGTCAAGGTTAGCGATGAAAGCGAGTATGACGATGAGTTTATGGACGAAGAACCACAGATTCTCACCTCATCAAGGATATCCATCTCTGGCCGAAGCTCATCTCCGGCGGTGTCTGAGCAAGGAAGACCAGCACCCATCATCACGACGCTGGGAAGGACTAGAACGCCCAGCATCTACTCGGCACGCTTGATCGAAGTAACCAGTCCTCGCAGCCCTGGCACGGCCGCCCGTAACAGCCCAATACTAGATTCGAGCGAGCACATGCGCTTATCCCGAAGCAGTAGTCTCAGAACGGCCTCAATCACCGAGGAACGATTGCGACATTCGCCGGACAGTGCATCCGGGGCACGGATCTCTGGGCACGGCGGTAACAAGTCGGCGTTGTCTGCTCAAGTCGCCCCCGAAAATGTCTCTCCTGTTACGGATGATGGTGTTCTCGAAGCGATTCCCGAGCCTCCTTCACCAGATGAGCTTGAGGGTCACGATCTTTCACGTGGTTCTAACCCCTTTGTAGGCTCAATTGTTGAGCGTGGGTCGCCCGGCTCATCTCCCATCCGCTCCACGCCCAAGATTACAACCCCCACTAGTTTGGCTGGGACATTTTACTTTGAGGATAGGCCCAAACCGCCTCCTAAACACCACGCTCAAAGTCGCCCAAGGGTCTCCGTTGTGCCCGAGATGCCTGATCGGAGTTCCATCAGAAGGAGTCCCAGCAACCATTCCACGGATGATCGACCGACTTCGATCGGTAAAATATCCGTGCAACGGTCTCGTGGTCGCAGCCCATCTGAGACAGGCTTCATATCTCGGTTCCCGGAACCGCCGAAACCTGGTGTAATGGTGCGACACGAAACAGCCAGCTCGATATCGTCCACATCGACGAGGTCGACGAACAAGCTGAGGCTGGTAAGGACTTCAGAGGAAGGCTCGACGGCGGGACAATCTCGGCAAGATGTTGCGCGAAACTTTGAAGAGCTCATCCAGAGCGATCAGACCATCCAGTTCACGCTAACGCCCGAAAGCATGCGAGACATTGACGTAAGTTGGATCTCATTCGTTTAACTAGCGCCCAAAAGGCTCGGATATTAACTTCCAGAAACAGTCTCAGTCAACGCGGTCCGCCGGTAGCGCCATCCTATCTGTTAAAACCAGGAAGAGCCAGGATTCCCGTCGCGACTCAGACCGGTCTCGATCATCGTCGTCTAATCGCAAGAAAGATGCCAAGAAGGACAAGGGTGCCCATTCGCAGCATCCCTTGCCCGAGTCGAATCGCAACAGCAATCACAGCACAGCATCCGGCCCGATCCTGCATGCAATTCCACAACCCCCACGTGCGCACCCGCCGCAAGCGAGAGATCCGAGAATAGCCCGAGAGTCGGTAGCTGATTTTGCCGACTTCATTCGCGCAACGGGTCCTACTGGTATTAACACTGCCGCCATGAACCGTTCGTCAGGGCAGCAGAGCGGACTCCGGAATGTCTCCGGGCCTGTCTCCCCTCCTTATGTTCCCCTTATTACTGAGGCTCCCCGACCTCTCACAGCCCGACCGCTCACAGCCCGTGATCCCCATACCGAGGCGGACGATAACTCAGATCTCATCGACTTCATCCGACGCGGCCCACCTACCGCGGGCAATCCACGGATCCCGCAAGCAGTTGCACCTTTGCGGAGCACGCCGGACTCCGATCAGATGTCTACCCTCGAAGCCGGCGGTAAAGCTGCGGATGCCCAACTACACGACGTCGACGTTAGAAACAGCCAGGCCTCGACTGATCTCGCCAGTAACTCAATGCATTCGCTCCAATCATCGGTCAACTCGCAGAGTGCTCTGCTCAGCAAGAACAAGTCCCAGCCTACCACTGCCACCGGGCGATTTGAAGGAATAGAGGAGGACGATGTGGTGATGCCAATGCCATCAGCTATGCCGCAGCGCAAGCGCCGCGGGCCACGCGACCCATATGCTATCGACCTTACAGATGAGGAGGACTTTGATGAGGATGATGATTACCCGGTTAAGCCCAAGCGACCTCCGACAAACGAGGAGAGCTTGATGGACTTTTTGCGAAACGTCCCCCCGCCGCCGGAACCCACTGTCTCTCGCGTGGTGACCTCACCAAAGCAGCCGCAACCGAAGAAGAAATCAAGCGCCACGAGCTTGATGTCACGATTTACTAGACGCGAAAACAAGTCGAATGCCCCTCCAAGCTCGTCCGGCAGCATGAGCCCTCAAAGCCCCGCAAGGCCTATCGAATCCCGAGGTCTCAGCAGACGCGCCAGCGCCAGCAGCGGAAGGGGCTACACCCCGATCCAAGTTCACATGCCCCCCGGCGTTGATCGATATGCACCTTCCTCCGTCAATCACAACCCAAACATGCCAATGTCAAGAGGACGAGGCATGTCACAATCAAGCGGTATCACCGCTCCGCGCGTAGCCACGAAGAGGTTCGAGCCAAGGGACGCCTACGTAGCTCCCACGTCGGAACTCTCGGATCTGGCTTCATTCCTGAAGAACTCGACGCCGCCGCCTAGCATGGGGGCTGCGGCGCCGTTCGATTTTGGCGGGCCGCCGCCGCCGACTGCCAGTGCCACGGGTTCGAGAGGGGGGGATGGGGCTGGGGACTCGAACAGTTTCTCGAGGGTGTTTTCGAGGAGGAGTAGGAAGGCTAGCATTGTTTGAGCGACATCTACTACCCGTTTTTTTCTTCTGTTTTTCCAAACTGCATACACTCTACATCCCTTCTACCAGTGTCTCTTCTGGCATAATTGGGCTGCGCATCGCATCATCATATAATCTAGGCAGATTTTCTTTTCTCATTATTGATACCATAACAGACGGAGGGTTACCTTTGCCGATTGGTTCTTTTACTCGTTTTGTATCCATGGTCACAAAGCGTGGGGTTGGGAAAATCATGGTATATGGGTAGTGTCTTGTTTCTTGTTCCTTCTTTTTCTCCTTCACTTGTTGAATACTGTCTTGGATATAGGGTTGGTGGAGGCGTTGGATGACTTGTACTTGAAGGTCATGAAGAAGCACGGAAGGAAGGCGAGAAAGAAACGAAGAAGGACGACGAACGTTTAATGCGCTGCTTTTGCACTATTTACTGGTTCGTCTTCAAGTACAGATGTACTGCGTGATGCGTGAAAATCCATCTTGGTGACCCTGCTATCGGACTCCGGTTAAACGACGTACCATACATATCTCACGTCAACCGTATCCCTCCCTCCGTTCAGTGGTTAATCACGGATTCAGAAGGTGATACCAAATTGACCACGTGCGGTTTTGATGGTTACAGAAAGCTGACCACCATGCCATTATCTTTACTTATTACACACGGCACCGTTGTATCTCTTTTGTCTCATCGGTGAGATGATTGTGTGGAATGAGAGTATGTAAGACGGAGAGGATTGGTGGACCATTGAAGATGTTGATGAACTGATCCAGACTGGCATCTACAAAGGCAAAGGCAGCTCCTCGCAACTCTTTGGCTCAGTTCTCGGTCTTCGTATTCAGAATCCGAATTCCCCATAAGAAGCGGAAGGATAGGGTGCAAACTCAAAAGTGAGTGGGAGGGCATTTCGAAATCTCCGTCAGTTGTACTCCGTGATCTTCGAACATTACCTCGTACGGAGTACATCTAGATTTCCGTGAAAGGGTCAGTACTCACTAAGTACTAACGATAAATTGCGAGTGGTAAACTCTGCACCAACGAATGAAGCCCGTCGTCGTCGTTGTCGTCGTTTATCTGTAGCTGAGAGCACTATTTACTATTTAGCGCACCGTCCAATAGGTAGTGTTACGAACTATTTGAATGGTACGTACGTGCCTGAAACCTAGGCCAGCTGGGTACGACCCGCTTACAGTTTTACTACTAGTCTCGGCAAGGTCACCCCGAACCAAACATAGCAAGCATGACTTGCGGAATGCGAAGTACATATGTAGGCAATCTTCGGACCTTCTAGAAATAGAACATCAATGAACGGAGGAAAAGGATCTGGATTCACTCGATCAAGTCAGGTCATTTTCCTGCACGCTTGCGCTTGACGCACGCTTGGTGCCTGTCCTGTCGGTCGGTTGGCCCTGTCAACAACTCTGTCACACCATGTGGTTTTTCTCGGCACGGTCGGGTACGGAGCCTAATGAGGCAGTCGGTTGCGATGTTACAGCGGGAATAATGGCGTGGTTTGATAAAGGCTGTCGGGGGAGAGATAGGACAGTGTTAAAACGGGGAACTAGTGTCGTTTGGGTGAAGATGCTTAAAATGTTCCGAGAACCGGAGGAGGGAGGTCTTCACACGGTTCTGTGACGATTCTCGAAAGAATTCCCAAGAAAGAGGTTTTCCCGCGAGTCTCCCGGAGTTCGTGCTTTCATCGGAAGTAGTGCCAAGTGGAACCGAGGATCTGGATACGCTAGTGTAAAGAGCGCGCGGGTTGTAGTAATGGTAGTGGTATGTAGTGGTGGTGATGGTTGACGATGTCCCTCTTCAGCCCACACACAGTCACTTGCAGGACCATCCTGCCCGTGCGCTTTTCTTCTTCTTGTAATCGTACCACATTGATCGTTAGGCTTCACAGGAGATGGGAAAATCGACCACAGTTCAGCTTCTTAGGCTTCCAAAGAGGCGTCGTTCGCTTCGCGCTAAAACTGTCTCGTCGCTGCACGTTCTACAGTGTCGGAAGCATCTACTATGCTAAGCGAGAGACGCCCAACGATCACGGGGTCCTGGAAGGTTTGGAAAATTCGCAAGGTGGGCGCTCTAGAACAAAAGGGAAACGAACCATCAGGCCATTTCGACTATCAAACTGTTAATCAAGAGGCTTGCTTTTGCCAGTCAACTGGGACCCAAGGCGGGAGGTTTATGTACCTCAGAAAAAGCGATTGGTAGATGGGTTCCCGTAGGACTGAAACGTGCTCGCCACCATCCTGTCCCATCCCATCCATCCTCCCGGGTCGTTGTTGGTAGACTGCTACGCTGAGGAGGACAACTTTCGGGGCTGGCTGAAGCAAGGGCAAGCTCCTTGCATAGTGGTTAACAGCACACGGTGAATATTCTTATAACCGACATCTCGGAACCAAAGGCAGCGTAGTACAGTATGAGTTCCCTTGAGTTTGAAGTCCAGCCGCATCGCGTCGTGACATGCATCATGTAAAGGCAGGTCAGCTGCAGACTTGCAGTGGACATCAAACGCGGGCCAGGAGCATCATGCGCTAGGTTGGGGGAGAACGAAAGATACTGTACCGGTACAGGTACCTTACGAGCGTCGGTACTCGGAACCTTGATGTCGGGGTCCACTCTTCGCCCCGTTCGGTTCTTCGGTTCCGTGGCTAACAATTATCGCTGACGGGTTGAGCTTCCAACTCGCCCGCTGTAAGCCACTGTCACTAGCATCATCACCACCATGGCGGCGGACACACCTATGGTAAGCTCCGAAACACCACAGACTTGCTACGCAGTATTACATGAACCAAGCAAAATTGAATCAATATTTTGTCGCTAAATATGACTTGCCGCAATGTGTGTGTACTCAGACTTGGTCGTCTCTATCCAAGGCAGTCACGATGACGGGATGCACCACTGTATCACCTGCCATACCCCACTGTAGCTACCCGCTAACAACTCACCGTCATCTGAACTTCAACGTCACCTCAACCACCCGCCTTACTTCACGAAACAAAGACGAGGAAGAAGCAAAGAAACAGGAATACCATCACTACAGCCATCGATAACCAACTTGCTTCTGACCGGCTACATTTTACTGTATGAAACAGTAACAGCCCCCGCCAATCTCGTTGATCAGCAAACCCCCTCCCTGCAAAAGCAAGGCCCCAAACATCGCGACCCTCGCCGCCACCGCAGCCAAGACAAGAGGACATCGCACATCCCACTCCGTGCCACCCACCTGTCCACCGGCCCGGCAGCTTTCAACCGGTCAGGTCAGGTTAGCCGCAGCCCAGCAGTAGACTCGGCCGGTCCCTGAGGTAGCTAGCCTGCACGGTGGCCATGGCATCCCCAAACCCCTACTCCTATTCCCCACAGCTTCCGCAACGGGAAGAGTCCCCCTACCAAGAAGACCAGTACCAATCATCTCCTTCGTTCCGCTCTACTCCGTTCCGATCCTCACGAGGTACCGGAGCCGGAGCCGGAGTCGGTCTCGGCTTGAGTTCGGGCTTCACTTCAAGTCTCCGGGGTGGAGCCGGAGGGCCATCCGAACCAAGATCCGGAGACGGCAGCCACGATGACCTCCCCCAAAGATCATCATCATCATCCACCGTAATTCCCTCCCTACCCCCCAAACCAAAACCAACCTCCATCCCCGAAACCCTCTGGTCCTTACAAATCCCTCTCCACATCACACACCAGTCACATCCCAAGACGCCCTACATCTGCTCGGTGCCGCGCTTCAGCTACCTCGCTTTGCTGCTGCCACGGTTGACCGCCTACTACGGTACTCCGTGCTCGAGTTTCCACCATGAGGAAGTCCATCTCCGTAACTTTGCGGTCGGGTTACTGGTGGATCTATACCAGCCGAGTGAGCTGCCATGGAGGTTGACGGTTGCTGATGGGATGGAGTGGGATATTTGTGACACCTTTATGAATAGTGCCAAGGAGGTGAGTTTGTTTGGCTCTTCGTGAAAAGTAAAAACTTTATAGGGATATGGCCGGTGTTGACAAGAATGTATGCTTAGGCGGATTTTATCCGAAATGGAAATGCAAAACGGATCATGGGTCTGAGTAAGGAGCATACCACAGCGTTATGGAATGCTGTGCAGGATAGTATGTTTACTCCTCTTTACTCCTCCCCCCCTTTTTTTCTGCTCTTCCTCCCAAGAGGGAGGAGGACATACTAACTTACGGAACTAGATGACTACCAAGCCTTTACAAAAGTAAACACCCACCTGCTCAACGCTCCCACAGCCCTCAAAAACGTTCCCATACGGATCTACATCCCTTCCTCACCACCACCACCTTCATCAGACCAGCAACAACCCCAAAGACCCGGCGGCTCCAGCTCCTCCGGCTCTTACCGCGTGATGCAAACCCTCGTTCCTCCACGGGGTTCAAACAACCGTAGGGCTTTTTTTTTTTTTTTTTTTTTTTTTCGGGGCGATCTCCGCCCCTATCCGATGTCCTTCATTCCACCTCCAAACTAACTCCCGAAATCGAAACACAGGAACACCCCAAACCCTAGGACAAGCCCTCAAGTCCCTCCTTCCTGCCCTCTTCCCTAGCAGCCGGGACCCCGTCTTAGCCAACGTCATTTTGCACGGAGCTCCCGTGCCTTTTAGCGCGCCGCTCGAGGAGTTGATGAGGGACGCGGCGTATCCGGATGGGTGGCTTTGTTTGATTGTTGTTTTGTTGTGAGCATGTGAGCAGAGGTTACTGTGAGTGAGAGGTGTTGATGGGTTATGAAGCTTGAAAAAAAAGAGGAATGAATAGATGGGGCAGAGAGATTGTGGGTAAGAAGGATGAATGGATGAGGTTACAAGTTGACTTGGTCATTGGCGTTTTTGAAGTATCATTACGCACGGTATTATATCAATAGGTGATGCAAAAAACCGTAATGGTATTTGATGAAGGCTAGCAATCCTAATAGCATGGTATGGCACGCTTGATGCTTGCTTGCTTATGGCATTAATGCAAATGGAATCTTAGGGTTGAATTGAGCAGAGATGGGGGGATGTCATCAACTACAACTACACACAATAAGTCGCCCATCAACAACAGTTGTACACCCAGATTGTGCAGTGGTATAGTTAATAATCCAAGTTAGTTTTGATTGTTGGCTGGTATTGTGATTTCCTCCTCCCAATGCTACCTAGTATTCCCATGTTCCTTTCGCGCACGCCACCAGTTATTTTGACACTGTTCAACAGGATGGATAATAAATACAAGAAAAGAAAAAAAAAAAAAGTAAAAAGTACGGTACATAATTGTAAGTAGGTAGATAGACAAGTCGGGAAAAAAAAAACCAAATTCTTGACAGATACACACGATAATAAGTACCTAAAGATAAAAAAAAAGGAAAATGCAGACATGCAGCGTACAAACATTTCACACATACAGGTAGAAGATAGATGGACAAGACAGACAAAGTGGTATATCCTCCGTGGACCCCCATTTTTTTGTGCTCCCCTCCTCTCTCCCTTGATAACGATACCTATGCAGATGCTAGAGACAGGTCGGTTGATGTTGTTTGTTGTTGTGGGCGGTAGACGACAGAAGAGGGTCGGACCGGCTGTATGTAGTAGGGGGTGTTTGACGGGGTCGACGAGTAGTAGTTGTGCGTGGGTTGTTTCCGAAAGTACTCTCTTTTGGTCGGTCGGTGTGAAGGAGTGGGTTGTCATAAAGACGATGTAATGTAGGAGGCGTTTGAGTTGAAAGGTATGTAGTAAGATGTCAAGACTGAGTGACATTGTTCGATTGGTATGAGTATCTGTTGAGAATAGATGGGCTGTTGGTAGGTAGTAGGGATGTAAGCTTGACAGATAGGTAGGTAACTGACAACGCCAAAGCAGTGTGGCAGACATGCTCTTTCCTTCTCTCTCTCTCTCTCTTCCCTCTTCTCTCTCAAAATATGCTGATGCAAGTATGATTATGCAGCGCCCGTGTGTATACCATGGTGCATCCTGAGTATGAGTTGATGTGTATCCGCTTCGATGTCCGAGGGAAAAGGACAGTGTCATGTCCACTTCATCCTATATGCTAACCAACATCGCCTAATGACCCTTCAATTGTTACGCTCACTCGCAAAGACCTCTATTCTTCTCTTTCTGTTCGTACATAAGTGAAATTATAACTTTCGGGTCAAGCGTCGTAAAAAACCTTCACCTTATCCAAAATGCCAGAACACATATTGTGGTTGAGATGCAAAATCTCTCTCAAAGGGGATGTGTGTGTTGGTGTTGATGAATAGGAGGTAAAGGAGGCATCATGCCATCTGGACCCCCAGGGCCATGCATGTTATGCTGCATTGGCGGTATAGGACTCCTGGGCATCTGCGGTGATGGCCCTGGTGGCCCTAGTGGTGGTGCAGAGTGTGTTGCCGGCCTTGGACCTGAGGGCGGCGGCGGCGGGCCTGGAATTGGTGTGCTCACAAAGGAAGTAACATGGTGGTTATTACCCATCAACATGTCCACACTGTTCGGCTTGTGCCACAACTCGCGCTCCAAGCCCTCGAGAATGCGCATGTCAACGGCCAGTGCGCTAGTTGGTTGGGCGATGATCCGGAAAAAGGCTATGGTCCTCGAGAAGAGCTCCTTAAGCGTCTGCTCGTCAACATGAGGGTGAAGTGTCGGATCCCTGAACACCGCTGCAAGTGTGAGAAGGTTGCCCCATTGACTGCGAATTGAATGTCAGTACTGCATATATCATTGAATTGGTTAAGAAGAGGTACTTACGCATGTGCAGTGCCAAAAATATTAGTGACAACAAACCGCTTGTCTGGCAAACCATGAAACGCCCTGGTACTTTCAATAAGAGCCCGGATTCCCTTCTTTGCATATTCAATAGTATCCTGTGTGATCTCGCCATTTACGCTGTGCATCTGGGTATCGAGAGGAGTCATGGCTTCACTGGGAGTGCTGGCTGGCATCGGGGATTCGGCTGTCGCCATCTGAGCCATGTTCGACTCCAGAATCTGTCGGATGTACGGCCTGTAGGTGATAACTTGGGCGCCCCAGTATTTGGCACGCAATCGGGCGGAAAGAAGGTCTCCAGCTGGCGGATCTTCGTGCGTGAACTTGTACTCGGGAGGGACGAAGCGTAGATCGAGAGATTTCGTGATGACCTCAATGATATTTCCGGGCGGGGTGCCGTTCTGCGCCCGTAGCGATCGCGGATCCTCGGGGTTATAAAGCATTTGATGAATTTGATTCAACGACTTCCGGAGGTATAGTTGTGCAAGGTAGCTTTGCAAGACATGCTCCTCAAAGCCGTGGGTCTTGGCCAGGTTGATGTTGGGATATGGCATAATTTCCTCAAACGCAAGGATGTGCGATTGCGGGAGAGGAAGCTCGGCCACGATGTCACTATGGTGTACGTGTTAGCCTATTCCCCTTCATCAAATCCTCACAATGTTTGCCTACCTCTCAAGCTGCAGACACGTCCAAAAGGCAAAGACGATCTGGTTATCCGACTTCTCTTTAACAGCATTAATATTGAACGGATGGTTTTCTTGAAGTTTTTTCAGCCGATCCAAACTCCTGTACTCGGGTTAGCACTCAGTCAAGAAAGAGAAGCAGAAGTTGACTTACGGTCTCATCTTAATCTGCAGAGCCCAACCAGCCTCCTTGATATAGGCATAGCTCTCCATGACTCTTCCCAACTGCCCATGATACAGACCTGCCAAGATGTATGCGTGAATGTGCCGCAAGCTCGTTCCCGCCAGCTGTCCTCCCAAGATATCTGTCGCGTATGCGAAATAGTCCAGGCCGGGAATCACATCCATGTTCCGTTTGAGCGATCCTACCCTCATAGCAGGCGCGCCGCCTCCCTGAAACGACTGCCGCCTACTAGGGCCTGACCTATCTGCGCTATCCTTGGGCGAAGGCAAGCCCGCCGAGTGCGATTGTGAACTATACGACGGCGGAGATCCATGTATGGGAGAGGCAGGATAGCCGTTACGTACCATTGGCGACCCATGCGAAGGCTCGCTCACAGGCACGACATCCGGGAGCTTTCTATCCTTGATTAGGCAAATCTTGCCCAGCGCGAGAACCAGCAACACAAGCGCGTTGTTGATGGATCGCTGAAATGTCGGCTTACCCGACCTGGGTAGCATCGTTGGCGAGTCTGCGCCGTCGGGTACGGGGGAGCGCTTCCTCTTGGCCCCTGTCTCGCCCTGCACGCTCAGCGGGGGCGCTCCAACGAACTTTGCGATTCCAGCACTACCCTTGGGCTTCTTGGTACTTTGCTGAATACCATCCAAAAACAACCGGACCATCGCATGCAACTCTCTCGGTATTATGAGCGGATGCATATTTTGAATGTTGTCCAGATAGCTCTGCACGTACTTCCAGACGGTTTCCTCCGAAAAGTCCAATGTTTGGACTCCGACCATGGTAGACCTGTGGTCCATCGGCCCAGGCGAGCCGCTAATCCCACCCCAACAATCCGCAGGCGAAGGCGCTCCCGTTTCCGAGTAGTCATCAATAACTTCCATCATACCCAGGTTGTGGTTGGACTCTCTGTCCATGCGGCTGCTGTCGAGGCCTTCTCCTCTGCCCCATAACCTAAGAAGTCCCCGCCTCTCTTCCTGTCGGATGGGATATTCTTCAACAAACTTGATGTTTTCGGCATCCAAAAAACGTTGCGCTAGGCGCTTTATCGACTTCCACTTGAGCAGAAGAGCAGCCAGGGTCGTATGATTAAGCGGAATGGCGGGCGCTCCAGGTCGTACAAATGGGCCAGGCTCTTGTTCCCTCTCTTCGTCCATAATTTTCGTGATGTTGCGCGCT